TGCATATCAAGTCTAAGACAAATTACAGGTAAAACAAAATTTAACAGATCAATACACCTAAATGTTTGAGTTTATCTTTGAAAAGACAAAATGTGTAAGAAAATAAATATAGATGTCTAGACCTAATTACAGTATTTTTGCTTGGATGCATTCAAGTGGTCACATGATTAAATCATCATCTATTGTATTTCTGTATTTCATCTGAACTCCTTTATTTACTCATGACCTTAACTTTACTTACTCATACAAAAATATCTTTAAAAATGAGGCTTCTTATTTAGTGAAAGAAAACATTGTTGTGGCTACCATTCCTGGATTTGAAGGTCAGATTTGATATGAAACCGAATATTGGTTATTAAACGAGTAGTTGTTAATTACATCCTTAATTCTTAGGCAATCAAGTCTAAGATGATTATTAAAAAGACAGGTTGCAAGGGTAACAAAAATACCCCCAATTAATTGAGATCTGAGAATAAGTATACTGTTCAATTGCACAGAATTCATTTAATGTGGTCAAATGTGAGACAATCTGCAGTGCACATTATTGAAGATTAAAGCTTGTACCTTGTCCGACTACTAGCCCTGGGATAGTGGATTCAAATTTTTTATTTTTACGTCCCTGGTGTGTAACCTAATTTATATGGTTGGGTGATAGGTACAGCACAAGCATGCTTATGCCAAATAATTCAAATTGTGAATTTAAAATTTTCAAAAAAATAGAGGATAGGCTGCATTCGAAACTACCGGAAATGTTCACCCAACAGACTATTGTACCTTTTTACAAATTTATTTTTATCTTCAACAGTGTAACAAAGAAATTTAAAATTCAAACACAATGTAAATGAAATATTTGATTGTAACAAGAAGATGTTTGATTTCAAAGACGTTTGTTACTCTCTTACGATTTTAACAAACAAGAAAAAACAACAAGAGTGTCATGTTTGTCTCGTGTGGATGGCATAGCTGTGGTGGGTTGTCCTAACAGTCAACTCAGTTAAAGTGTGCTTCTGTCACACAATCATGATGACACACTGGCCTACTGACAAAGATACAGAGAGACAATCAAAAAGGTGCCAGAAACCTTTATATGTGTAATTAGTGAATATGATGATTATATTTAATACTCAGCTACAACAGAACAGTTTTCATTCATTTTATATTCTGTAATTAATATTTTATTGGTCCCTAGCAAGTTTTATTAGCAAGTCATGTTATTACTTGTGTAGAATAATAACAATAGTAAGCATATCCTGCCTTGTACACAGCATGTCACAAATAATTAAATGGACTTGCAGCTTTATAATCCTTTATTTGGGATATCAGATCACAGAAACATGTCTCTTATTACTGTAATATGTTGTCTATATGACGATGTAACTGCTTTCTTAACAGCCAACCAATTAACATAAAATTACATTAAAAAGACATTATTATTACATTAAAAACATCCATAGATACATCAAATGACTATTACTGTACATGTATGTGAATTTATTTCAAATTTACTAATTATTAATTGTGCTGTTGTTATTTAGAAATCTATGGTACTCTATGTAAAAACATATTTCTTCCTTATTAGTACATGTACATATAAATATTTAGAATGAACACTTATATATATATATATATATATATATATATATATATATATATATACACACTATTTTTGAGATTTATGTCCATATTCCATTAACAATTGTAGAATCTACTATGTAAATAATTGTACAGCATAAACCTATATGGCATACTCCATGTGGGGACGTTGGTTTAATAAACTTAGTACAAAACCATGTGAATTTAACACAAACCTATACCTATATTAATAATACAAGTATCTACATTTCAATATTTCATAATGGAAAGCTGTTTAATGAAATCAAGCATGCATGACTGGATAACAATTACATACATGTACCAAGTCAATAGCCTTAATTTATTTCCTAGTGTATTCTAATACTATATGTATGTAACAATACAAAGATATTTATAAGTGATCATACCCCATCATTATCTAAATGATAGTACAGTATCGGGCTACATTATGTAGATCTATAAGTTGTTTCATTTATATACACATGTGCTACTAATGCGCTTGTTTGGTCCATGTTAAAAGAGCCATTAAAACATAATTGATCAATTATTGATTGACAAAACAAGTACATGTATACAAATAATCAATAGTGTAGTACATTTACTATGATTTACGGTCATACACTAGTATTCAAGTCAGCTAATTTGGAAATAGTCCACAAAATAAACCTTTATTGCATTTTACAAATAATACTGTATAAAACAGATATACATAGAACAGTCAAGTCAACACTCCTGTGTCGGTGAAGGGAACTTCGTCTCATAAATACTTTTTAGGGGAATTTTTGTACTTGTAGAAAGACACTAAATCCATAATTTCTGCTGAAAAGAATTTTGTCGACCTTGATAAGCTGAATATGAAATTATCTTTTAGGACCTCAAATACATGTACAAACAATGCATTACGAGAATTCATACAGGTAATTTCAAAATTACATGTATTCAAGATTCTACGAATGTGAATTTGAGTGTTTGATAGCATAGATCATTGGATATTCGTCTAAGTTCAAGGCAGAAAATACAGAAAAATTTCATAATAAAAACTTGTCACAACTATCATTCTACAGGTATTCAATAGAACTATGATAATATTATACATTATAAAGCAGGCAAGTTGGATAACAAGATTTCCCATTGTCCTTGTAAGTTCCAGTAAGAGAAGTGTTTCTGACTTTGTGTATTATGTACATGTACCTAATTTGTATTTCAGTAGTTAATACACATGTATCCACATGCTAAGTGTTTTATGATGTATGGCAAAGATTAATAGATCTACTTCTTCAACAGATTAATCAAGTGTTAATCTAATCAATTACCCTAATCTGTTTGTTTGCTTATATAATTAATGACACATACTTCCGATATCTTAACAGGATTACATTGATTGTAAAGACACAGGATTACATTGATTGTGGCAGTTTTGAAACTGTCACTTTAATAAAGGAAATTAAGTTTCAAGGGCTGTGTTATCTTTTGTGAATTTTTCTTTTTAAAACCCCGGAATTGAAGTAGTTTTTGAATACTAGTACATGTACATGACAAGCCTATGGTATCTTGTATATGCCCATTGATTTTAATATAGACCTAGCTACATGTATGTATGCTTTCTTTTTGTAAAATCTACCACATAAACAGGGATGTAGATCAGTATGCAACTAGCAGGAAAAGGATTCAATGTAATATGAAACTATTGAAAGTTTTTATATTTTTTGCAATACAATGTACCTTGACATCCAGGATACGGTAAAGAAAACTTGAAGTAGGTAGGTGATTTGGGAAAAAAAACAATGCAAATTTTACAGTCTACATAATATCATATCCTTGATACACATTAGATAACAGGAAAGGAACACAATGTGATAAAAAAAATAAAAAAAATCCCCAAAAACATTTAGATTCCAATGTACTTATATAACACCTACATAAACATTTTAATTATATTATCGTTTTTTCACTCTGCCAGTTTCCTAATTATTACTGACCTAAGTCATTTTCTTCAAAATTAAAATTATGTCAATAAGGCTATCAATATATTTTAATTAAATTTCATATCCATACCGCATGGACTACTTCATGTTATGCTGGTATCAAATAAGACATATAATAATATTAGTTAACAATGAAAAGTACGAAGCACACTCCAAAGAATTTATCTACCAGTATTAAACCAATAAATGAAAAGAGTACAGACAGAACAGGAGTATAATTTTGAATGTATAACTGTATTGTCAAAAATTTGTTTGAATATCAACAGGAATGCTTACTGAAATATTCACTGATTTTTACGTATGGGTATTCATTATTCTATGTCAATTCAAACTAATGGAATATTATCAGAATTTTTTGAACAGACATTGTATGGTTTGTATTAAAAAAATATTTCCGGACGTCAACAGTGACTATAAATTGTTATCCGCAAATGATTGTCAAATTGACATTGTACCTTGTGTATTGTATGTAATAATAATAAAAAATATATTGTAAATATAAAATAGAAAGTAAATTATGAAGAATTTCAATATTGAAACTGATAAAATGTCAATGTGGGCATATATTATGGGCATCCTCTGGTGTTGGCTGTGGTGAGGAAGGACAATTATGATATTGTCATCACTTTATAAAAATTAAAAAAATATTATTAAAATATTACATCTATAAATGAGGTTTTTTTTGGTGTTAAAACAAATATTTTCTAACTTTTGTTGTGAGGTGAGAAAGTGCAGGTCACAGGGGCAGGGAAGGAAGAACAGATGTCATACTGAGGGGAAAAAGGTACCTTTTGAGTTCCCTTGTAATTTGTAAACAAAGACAATTTGACCACAACTGATATGATGACTAAAGCAGCAAATTGGTGCCATTATATTAAATTATGATTCAGAAGAAATGCATTTCAGAGAATGAGCCATCATAAAACCATAATGGGCAATAAGCCTATAATAGTAAATAGAGTAGTCTATTTGCTTGGCTTGCCTTTAGTCTAACTCAGTCAATGACTCGCAGACTCACTGGTGCTAAAAAGCTAAATTAGAAGTGTGAAACCGAAGTATGAAGGCAACGGGTGATAAGCCGACACACACATGTATGACAGAAAATGGCAAATTTCCTTACCTCTCATGTGGTTATCAAACTCGCTAACTATCTCCTTCTCTTTCTTACTTTTTCTTTCTAGTGCCATCTTGGTTTTTCACCAACTATTCAACTCCAATTATTAATTATTCCACTCAATCTTTATTTTGAAGTTTAAGAAGACATAAACACAACATTTTACCCGCAAGATCGGCGGGAATTCTGGGATATTCCGGTAAATCTCGCGTGCATTCGCGTGACTTATTGCAGACGAAACATTCTGGGCTTATCCAATCAAATGAAAAGTATGGACAAGCATTATCGGTATTAACCAATCACTTATCTCTAAGCTGCAACAAGGTGTAAATACAGACACATGTCACAATCAGGCTTTCTGCGACGTCCGTTTTGAAAGTGCACGATAAATAACTTGCTTATTTGTTGATTCAGTTTATTCATTCCATAACCTATCAAAATGAGTAAAGACGAACTTCACCCAGCTTTCAGGAAGAAAATTGTCTACAATCTTGATTGTAATGCGTGTGGAATGACGCTATGTCGAAGAGGAATGCGAGCTTTTCTCCTGTCCGACACGAAAATAAAATTATTTTCCACTGATATTCCAGAGTTCGGGTAAGGATTTCTTTTGCCACTCTAAATCTGGTTGACTTTTCATATATTCTTAATTCGTAGCAAGATTTTTTGCGCATTTTTCGGACATCAAGCAGTTAAAACCGAAAACCTGTATTGTTGGCATTCAATGGTTGAAGATTGTCTATTTTTAGATGACAGCCAGGAAAACTTGAACAAACTAAAAGTAGATAAACTGAAAGTAAATATAAATGCCATAACAACTTGTCACAGATTTGAACAATTTGTTTCAGTGCTGTAGAGGTGGTACCACAGATGTTATTGGTTGAAAAATGTGCATGTAAGCAGCAAGATGTAGCATGTCTTGGCTGGTAAGTGAATCTTTAAAGGAGCTAAATCGCTAACATTTGGGACCTAGAAATTGACACAAGTGGGTCGCAACTCATATAATACTGTAATATGAATGTATATAAACTGATATACTTTCAACGGTTTCCGTTTTTACTCTAATTTCAAATCAGTTATGTTCTGCGAAATAAGCCAGCAGTCTCAATCGAATGCAAATTTCTAGCGCCTGGTTATTCCAGTCTACATACGCCGTTTGGTTTGGTGCAATATGTCTAGCCTCGTTCCTCGAGTCTCTTGCTAGAACTGGGGCTAAAACGCATTATGGTACACGATTCGTGTACCAATGGTAAAATCTTTATTTTGTCTTAAATATTGGATATCAGAAGCCCATCTTTTTCCGGTAAGATCACAGCATCAATGTTGATTTAAATTGACAAATAATTTGTGTTTTCAATGTTGAAGATTTTGGATGATATTGAGTTAGAGACTTAGCTACTTTAACCATGCCCGCATATATATGGGGCCTCCCTATGACAAGTAATAAATTTGTTTCATTGCCTGGCATTCCATCTTTGCATTTATTAGGCTGCGATATTATATTTAAGAAACAAAGTTTATATTACCAGAGACTCACTTTTCATGTAGATTAATCCCCACCCCAGCTTTTTGACTACAGTAATTAGTGTATTTGTATTTTATAGTTGTCTATCATTTATTAATTGAATATTAAATAATTTATGTTTGTATATTTCAGTGGTAATGTAGTAGGGTACCATGTAGCTTTACCGTGCAGAAAATGTTTAGTATCTTGTAATAATGGTCATCTATGGATGTTTGAAAGTCAAAGTGTATCGTCTATAGAAAGATTTGATTCAGATGGTTAGAAGTTTATTTTCATTTACTTACAAATCTGTGAACCTCTAAAATATGAGAAGTGATATCAGATGTTCTAGAAATAGTAAACATAATCTGGACCATGTTCAGCTATTTATAACATGGGTTTCATAATTTTTTTTCAGATGAAGGTTTTTTAGTGTGGGGTAATTTAAAGTCTGTAGAAGATGACAGTGTATTTAATATAGAAGAATGTATACGATAACAACATTAAGTATCTCCATACAAGTGTAAAATAGACTGATAACTTATGAAATGACCTTTTTTATTCAAACAGTCCTTTGATTTATATGTGAAATAACACCATCCAGTGACACAGTCTTGATCCACAAACGTTATCTCTCATTTTACGCAATCAATTTTTTATCAACCATTGAAGACCTCAAAAAGCATTAATGCCTCTTTGACATTGAAAGGAGTATGGAACAGACATAGTCTATATGACCATTCTCCAAAATAAACCAACAGTAAACCGAAAAATTAATTACTTGAACATGTTTTTAGTTTTCAATGTTAAAAATTTAATGAAAGCGAGACATTAGAAATTAAAATCTAAAAACTTTTGGAACATCATAGGGTATGTAACTGACCAAAAAGTCAGTCAACCACTGCCAAATAACTACAGTTAGATTTTATATTGTCAAATTTGTTCATATACCATTGATACAATGAATAATTTATTATTTTTTCAAATTGTACTTTTTATATGCAATGAAAAAGACTCTATATTCTAAGAAAGATTGTTCAAGTACACATGTGAGCTGTGTAAAAATAAATATATTATTAATTTTAGAATGAAAAAAAAATGAAACAGATAAGATCAGTAAGTCACACAACTTTGAGTAGTATCAGATGTCTAATTTAGGTTGTGGTTGCGGTAATTATAAGTGTTTGATTTGAATATATTGGTCAATTCATGTTACTCTTAACAAGCCTGGACATAAGGCACCTGTCACAGACTTTGTCCGGTATAAATTATTATGCAACGATAGAAGCCTGGACATAAGGCACCTGGAGATTGTCAGGCACAAATTATTACACAACGTACATGTATATTTTGTGACTGGTGCCTTATGTCCAGGCATGCTCTAGTCATATTTTCTTCTTGCATACACTCAAGTGTCAAACTAATTTTCGAGTTTGCAATTAGAAAATAGAACTAGAGACATGATTTGACCAATATATTCAAATCAAAAACTATTAATTATCATAAACACTACTTTATTAGGGCTATACAAATATGCTATATATATTTTGTAAATTACTGTAAAGTGTTACTGTGGTATAAATTGGCAATCAACAATATCTCCACAAAATTCTCTTTTAAAAAGTATTTAATATCTATCTCAATTTTATTATTATTTGTATAATATATAGGGCCAGGTGTTGTTAAATATATTACCAGGTATTTTTGTTATGTTCAAGAAACTAGTACCAGTATATTATATATGGTGTTGCAATAAAAGGAATATATTAAATTTTATTATATATACTTGTTTTGATTATTATATACTATTCAAAAAAAGTAGGGGATATTTGATTTTGGGGGCATAATACTAAAATATGCAAATGACTACGAAAAAAAGTCACTATAGAACCTAACAGAAGAAACATTTCCAGTTACATGTGACGCCCAAACGCACCAATAGCTACCGCATGGAATCCAGGTGATGCTTGGGATCATCATGGGGGTCCAACCCAAGATTTGCAAGACTCTGACTTTGAATGTTACAGTCATTGTGGCATTGAATTCCAGGGTGGAAACATCAGTTTAATTGTTTTAGTGACCAGAAAACAAATTTTGATATGCGTCGGCTTACCCAAAATGAAAGGTTACGTGCCCTTAGCATGCTACAGATCGGCACAACACAGGCGGTTGTGGCGCGGACGATGAATGTTTCTCAGTCTGTCATAAGCAGGCTATGGTCCAGATACCGTGATACACAATCTGTACAGGACAGACCACGCTCAGGTCGACCAAGGGCGACAACTCAAGCCCAGGATCGATTTATCCGTACCTTGGCCTTGAGAAATCGTGTCATCACAGCAAATCAGATCAGCGCTCGTCTTCAAACAGACACTGGTGTGAGAGTGAGTGGCCAGACGATTCGGAATCGACTGCATAGGGGTCACCTTCGTGCCCGACGTCCTCGCGTGATCCCTTGTTTGAGAGATCATCACATTCAGGCAAGACGTCGTTGGTGTAGGGATCGTCAACACTGGGATAATCAAGCTAGAGCAATGTGATGTTTTCAGATGAGTCAAGGTTCACTGTTGATTTTTTGGACAGACGTTGGAGGGTGTGGCGTCGTCGAAACGAGCGCTTCCAAGACGTTAACGTCATCAGACATGATCGATTTGGGGGTGGTTCTGTTATGGTGTGGGGAGGCATCACTGTTGCTGGAAGAACGGCTTTACATGTTGTTGCAGGGCGTGTTACAGGCCAGTACTACCGGGACAACATCTTGGCAGTCCATGTTGTGCCGTTCGCACGACGTCATCAGGATCGTTACAGGTTACCTCCAACAACAGAACATCACCACATTACCTTGGCCAGCACTGAGTCCCGACCTCTCCCCCATCGAGCATGTCTGGGACATGCTTGGACAGAGGTTACGTCAACGTCCTGCCAATGTCCAAGAACTTGCTGCTGCGTTGCAACAGGAATGGGACAATCTGGACCAAAATGACCTTAGACGTCTCATTAGGAGTATGCTACGTCGGATCAATGCTTGTTTGGCAAACAGAGGAGGATTTACCCGTTACTGACTTGGTTGTGATGCTGTGGTAACTTTGCTGTTTGACCCCGGGTATCATTTTACCCTTATAATGGTCAGTCTGTGCCTTACTTAGTCTAACGATCATTTGGAATAAATCGATGAATGTGAACTTCATTTCATTTTGTCATTTGTTTCTTCGTCAGTTTCATTAGGTGACTTTAATAGAACTTAAAAATCAAATATCCCCTACTTTTTTTGAATAGTATATTTTAAATGATATAGTTAAAGATGCATTATGAAAGATTTAGATAGTGCTGCCAAATCTTGCTATAATAGTTTCAAAATAGATGAGTTCCAGGGGATTACTTGCAAAATTTGATAAAATCAGAAGTTCTGGGAAAATAATTTTGCTCATTTAAGTGCATCCATGTATAGGAGTGGAGTGAGGCCAAAATGGTGGCAATGTTTCATACATTTATTTTCAGCCTTATTTCGATGAATGTAGGAGCAAGAGAGGGCCAGAAATTATCCTAGCATTGATAATTTGGATTTCTTCATTAAATATTAAATAATCAATCTGAGTACAAATTAAACATCTTATTAAGCCGTGAAACATTTGATATTTCAGCCTTTAAATATCAAATAGTTTAATGTAAGAGATTATCCTTTGGTTTATCAGAAAGATCTGTCAGCAGTTTCTAGGCCAGTCTTAAAATCCATTCCCTATGAATCACTAAGTTGTTTTTAGTGTATGGTCTTTCAGAAGTGTTGATTTCTCTCTTCCTACATGACCTAATTAGGTTAATTTTTGACTCGCGTCACATATTCAATAATTGTTTAGACAGATGACCTGACATGTCGCATTCAAGGCATGGGGCTGAATCCATGACATACATAGACAATAGGCCTTATGATATACAGCACATGCATTAGACCACTTGATCATCCCCCGCTGACCACAAGATTGTTTGTATACTCCACCCACCCCAGATGGTTTGGATCATTATCTAACATACATATTGTCCTGGCAAACTTTTCTGTACACGACAGGGAATTATACTCTGGGCAGTGGCACTCATGTTTACACAAACTGCACACATATTTTCACAAAAATTTGACATGTTTTGGTCCTTGTTTTTTTCAAGTTTGCCAAAATGCAAATAGAAAATTCAAAAACATAAGTGACAATAGCCTAAAATGAAACCTGTTAGATGTAGTCAGTGATGGGATTTAAAAAATAACAAAACAATTTATTTGGAGTATGGACATAAATATTCTTGATAATTTATAATGCTGAAATTTATCACAGTTTATAAAAAATATAAATAACTTTACAATAAATAGAAATACAAAATTTACATTAATTATTTCTCTAAAATTATATATAAAACAACAATGAAAACAAATTGTACATATATTTGAATGACAATAACTTTTTTCTATTTACATATCACACATTCAGATAAGATGTAAGTTAATCAGGTACTAACATGAATCAAATATATCATTCTCTTATTTTAGAAATCTATTAATAATGTACATAACTGTATAAAATCAATTGCTGATTTTAGGAAAATTTTATGAGAGATAATTTAATGTAATTTCTGCTCAAAGAAACATTATAATTACCGTACAGTAATAACATATGATTTTACTAATTTTAGAATCATATCAAAGCATATCTGTAGACCCTCGGACAATATTTCAGATGTAAAATTCATGATGTGATATTTATATTATGCCAGATATATGCCAAGTAATGTTATAATGCTTATGATATCTAAAAGTATACCACATAATCAAATATGTACAAATTTCATCACTGAAGAAAAAGATTTTAAATGGTAATTGTAATGTGATTTATCCATCCTTTTACCACAAAACCACAAAATGAAAGGAATGTTGTTATTTAAGGGAACAATTTAAAGAGCCATGACAACAGATCTCCATTTTTAAGTATCAGACCAAGAGCTGGGTCAAACATAGCTTCTAAAGTCTTGATGTTTGTTTTATTTACTTCAAATGGTATCTGAAAAATAATAGTAGTAATGAAATACAAAATGATTTATTAGAAACGATCCAATGTGGACATTTCAATTCACTATGGATGTGTACACAAGTTATGTCATGTTTGAAGTACAGGAATGAATTTGTCCTCATGGCATTCCAACAACCATAAGCAGTTTTCTGAAGGACAGTAAAATGTAAACAACATGACCAGAGTTCCGATATTCTAAAGGACTCCTCCTTATGAACTGTCTTAGCAAAATAAATCTAAAAAATCACTTACTTGTAATAGTGCTTACAAGAATTGTACATGGACCTTGGGGACTACATTATAAAACCATATCAAATTTTGGCATGTAAAAGTTCCTTGATTATCAATATTTTTATTAAAGATGCATTATGTAAGAGCTAAATCTGCCTAATGCAGATCTTTTTTTTGGCCTCAAATGTTATATAAATCATTAATTAGACAATAACTCCACTTAGAATGAAGTAATTTGACAGAAATTTCCAACATATTCCCTTTTTATTATCTATTTTTTAAATTATTATAGCGAGAACTGTCAGCTCATTATCAATATCTTACATAATTCATCTTTAAACCTTCATCATCAGCAGCAAAACAAATAATGGACTAAATGAAATTTTCTGATATAATAAAAGTATTATTGTACCTCTAATGGTGAATCTTGTTCTGTTTGTGAAGCTAGCAGTAAACAACAGTCTTCTAGACACTGGCTTAATAAATTCTACAACATATATAATTTTATAATAATTCTTGTTTTTAATTTAAACCTATATGATACATTTTACTTTGTCCAGTTTGCAAGTCAATAATTTCAGGGACAGTACAGGAGAGAAGCAGCACATTCTAGCTGTGTTAAATCCTTGTTTCCTTGAATATGGCACAGTATCTCTAGTGTATTTCTGTCTACCCAGCTGCAACTGAATTCTGGTACTACAGTGCATGGTAAATTTAATGTATAGTTTGATTATATAATAATGAAATGAAATGGGGTTTGACATCAAACTTTTCTGCACCATACAGGTTAATATGTCAGGCAGTGTGTCTTGAGGGAAATTTTGTCTGGACATAAATGTTTTCCCGCAAATTATATATCAAATTACAACTGCCAAGTATACCGGCAGACCTCGATTTTTCGTCCCATCCTGCCAGGTCCTCCATTTGGCACCACTGACAAGGAAGAAGCCAGAGGAACCTGCACAATACTCTTTGAGGCATATCATGGCTCCTACATTGTAACAAAGACAGTAATTTAATATAAAATGTGGATGCATTGTTTGCAGATCTAGTTATAAATTTATGTATAATGTGACAAATCCTACCTCCAACAGTTCATCTCTTTGTAATTTAGGACTAAGAGGTTTAATTCTCTGTGTTTTTTTAAGTTTAGTTTGACTACTGGATAAAGATGGTTCTTTCTTCTGTTTATCCAATAGTGATATCTCTCCTCTTTGAGTTAACACAGCCAATCTACAAGAACATTGATAAAAAAATCGATCTGTTTGAATGATATTTAGAAAATGAAATTTGATTAACTATGTTTTTCCGGTTTAAACAAATTTCATTTGAAAGTAACCCCATAAACATTGAAATGTGGCATCTAAAATAACTTTTAATAATTAAGAATTTATTATACTACATTTGCAATAGGACAGGTAAGCAAAAGCAACAGGCATACATGTAACATTATACTACTATCACAATACGGTCAGAGGTGAGAATTTTATTTGGTCAGTGATATTCTCTCCCACTCATCTTCAAATTTCAACCAAATCATGCATGATACCAAATGTTCATGTTTTAAAAAAAAGAATTTGTAGACATTTTTCTTGACATTATCAAAAAGCATGGTTGCATATTTGTAGTTTGTACGGATGAAATCTGTCATACTATAGTACTTGTTTTTGACCAAAACAAATTTTGATACCCAAAATTGTCAAATACTACATAGCAACACTCATGAAGACAAATCTGGAAATAAAACACCGGTCGCTTACAATGTTGGGTACAAAATCAGGTTCTGTCAGGCACAGTTCTCTTGGTGACTGCCATTATGTCTGGCACACATTTGTCTTTTGTCTGTCTTTTTATTGATATTTTTAAATCATTATTTCCATGCCTGCATGAAGAATATTCTAAATACATCACTCACCTATCATGCAAATCATTTAACTGAGCCAAAGATACCCATAGATACCCTGGAGAAAAGATAGCAGATACATTCTTCTTAAATAAGGCAAATAATAACATGATCTTTTTATCTGGTGAGTCGGGTTGGGAAGGATCCGATTCCTCTAGTGTTGGTTGATACCACTGTACACAGATCTCATTATCGTCTGGGGTAATGATAGTTTTATCTGATGGCATGTATGGTTCTTTTATAAATCCTGGAGGAGCTACTGTCTTGACGTCAACTAAACTGCACGTGGAGCTATCGATATCTAGTTCAGTGGCCTCACTCATATTTGATGAGTAAGATTTAATAGTAGGTGCAGTGCTTGTTGGGGTTTCTGGAACCTGTAACATTAATCCTGCAGGTGGATAGATGGCGCAACAGTTTGCAGAGTAGCTTGGTAAATTAGCTGCTAAATAATGATGCATGGATGTCATACGGGCCACCCATGGTCCAGAACATAACATATATTTAATCAATTCATTATTTGATGTTGTACTTGACTGAGCGTGGCTGATAAAACCTAGATCAAAATCTGGACCAAGATCTCCACCATCAACCTGTGTATTGCTCTTGGTATCAGGTACTGTAGGTACACTAAATGCTGATACTGTTTGTGTACTACACATTCTCTGTAATATAGTCTGATAACCTACGAAAAACGAAAAAAGAAATTAAAAAAAAATAATCTGGAATACCACTGAACATCTCACTACTGATAAATAATTTGTATTTCAGGACCTTATTGAACAAAACTTTTAAAACTAAAATATTTAAAAATGTTGCTATTCCAATGGCCAATGTCTAAAAATCTGGGCTGTGATTAAATGCTCAACAAATAAACAGCCCACATTGTTAAAAAAATTTCGGACAGGAATATTCTTTGAATAGAACAAAATGTACATGGTATCCTAGTTAAATATGAATTTTTCCTCAACTATCCTAGTAGGAGAATACCCTTAAAAGAAATACATATTTACCTTTATCTTGTGAGCATTTAACCACTTTACAACAAATAAATTTCTTTTAGGAATAGGCTGGTGAGATAGGTATAGCTCCTTGAACAAAGACCAAATCTTTCCAAAATAGAAAATAGAAGTCTTACCTAATAACTGAATCCAACTGAGATCTTGTGAACCAATTTTAGCCTTAAGAATCTGTTCTTCATATGTATCTGTCTGTTTTACTTCCTCAGCTTCAACCATTGTAGATAATTCTTCTTCTATTTCATCTATCGGATACGGACAGAAAAACAATGTAATAATATAATGGGTGAAAATATGAATCGACTGGAGGACAGTTGGTATTATTCAGGATAAAATAAAAATGAGGTAAGAGCATTTGCGTGAAGAAAAGCAGGATAATGTAACTAAAGTCTCAACAAGTTCGATTTTTCACATATCTACACACATCAGAGTTAAAGAAAAACTTTCATGAAGAATGGACTGGTTTGCATTTTACTATATTTGTCTAACACTAACAGTAAGTACAAGGGGATCACCCCATACGAAAACATAAGGCAATACACAATCAATAGAAACTAATAAAACTGAAAATGGCAATAGCTTAGAATTGATTGATTTAAATAATTTTTGGACCAGAATAATTTCTAATAAAAGTATTTTTGAAAGTGTATTGTTATTCAACCATTATTCTTGTAGTAGTTTATTTTACATGGAAATATAGAAAAGAAGAATTCCTTATTGTATCTAATGAGAAAAATACATAATTTTCGAAATATATGTTATTGTTATAGTTATTTGAGGTACACTGATTATTAATTAGCAATTAATTAGTCTATTTTTACGGAGACAAATACACATAAATCTTTAATCGAATATAAAGGAAATGGCTACTGTTTACGTTAATGTGATTAACATCTTAACACATCATATAATAATGTTATGAATAATGAAATTTATCTACTGCCATGTTAATAGAAGAAATCATATAGTATACAACTAGAAATTTGATCATTCATATCATCGGCTTACGTAAATTAAAACCCTTTCATAAACATTGCAATAATTATTTATAATTTCTTGAAATAAGAATTCACTGAAGAAGTGCTGTGGCAGGTTTGACAAAATTTGTAGACTAAAGGGGAATAACTCATGTAAGAAGCACTATTTCACTACCGGTAGACAGAATGATTTAGAAATTATTCTTGTTCATAAACAGGCATTATGCAAGAGCTAAATCTGCCTATTGCAGTTCTTTCTTTAAGTCTTGTATCATAAAGCCTGTCATTGAGTCAACTGAATTGGTTTCGAATCTCCGGTTGTACGTGACAAGGAGTAGGGTTGCCTGTCAGAACCTCATGGGTTTTCTCCGGGCTCTCCCAATGCTAAAGACCCCTACACGCAAGCGAATTATGGAAATGAAATTGAACCATATGTTGTTAGTCCCGAAATGACCTAGTTTGTGTCGAATGGACGTTAAACCCCATTTCTCTCTCTCTCTCTTTCTTTAGGGCTTAAATGTTATATATACTATTAATTAGACATTTGTTAACATGACAAGACCATAATCAACTCATCTGATGGGTCCAATTTTCAACAGATTTTAATCTGATCTGCGGTTCAACAGCGGTTGATGATTAACAGTAAAATTGGATAATCAAGACTTTGTTTATTATCATAACAATGGTAACAATGGAAATCGAGGCTACAGTGTTATTGAAATGAGAATTTCTCGGCTCACAGTGAAGTAATTTGACTGAAATTTTCATCTTCCATAATGCTGCTGAAAATAATTTTCTTTGTTTGTTTAAATGATGTGGGAAGTACACAATTAACTATATGCTGAGATTGATCTTTTTTCAAGAAAAATAAAATAAAAACTCACTTTTATAAATCTTTTTCTTCTCACCCAGGACATAAGCTCCAACAAGATCAAGAGCTAAGAAATCAGGTATTTCTTTAATAGCTTTCTCCGTTAGTTTCTGAGTAACAGCCATGTTGCCCTTCAATAACAACCTTTCCCTCTGTGCTTGTCCTGTAGCTGCTGCACATCGAATAGCTAACCAAGCAGCTCGTCTTTCTGTCTCACTTTCTGCTACTGTATCTTCTTCTTTAGTTAGTTTACTCTTGCTTGCTCTCTCTTTCTTAGACTAAAATTAAAATAAAAAAACCTCTTTGATAATAGGCAAAAATAAAATTTCCGATTGGACTGATCTGATGCGTTATTTCAAATGACCATTTCACGGTTCATGACCTCATAAAATGTCAATTGTGTCAACAATAGATTTTTAGGTGACAAGGGATGCACCTACTATCTCAACCATTTCTGCTTCGTCTATCATGGGAATATATATAATTACAACAAATCAATAACATTACAATTTCAAGGTTTACTTTAGCCTTTGGCCTCTGAACTTTCATTTATTTCACTCTTTATCCAATGAGGACATCAACAACAATTAATCTATTTTATTTTACCTGGCTTAGTCGGCTTTTTATTTGTGATAAAGTGGTGAGATAGTTAGAGATAGATGAGATAGTTATATTCTCGGGTGAAAGAAAATTGGTTGAAGAAGATGCATCATCTATATCAGTATTCAGTGGCTCTGGTCTCTCGATGTGAGACAAGGCAGTTCTTTGGCCACTTGGCAATAAAGACTGATCAATTTGAGACAAGGTGGCTCTTTGGCCACTTTGTGATGGACTTTTATTGATTTCATTTGGCAAAGCTGGTCTACTTTTAGCTACATCTGCACTTGGTGAAACACTTATGAGACCATCAAAGGATGACATCCGTCTAGCCGACGGAGGGTTTATATCAAAATTTGTTTGTGTATTTCCAAAATCAGGCATGGTAACTTCCTCTTGAGCTGCGTGTGTTTCATCTTCCTCTTCCTCTAAAATATTCTGAGTTAAGCCCAGACTCTGTGAAGATGTGTGACTTGATTGACCAGGCATTTTATAATGTAACAGTGCACCGAGGTCATCACCTATTTCTTCCACCATATCTTCTTCAGATATAACAGTGGGCTAGATGGATTGACAGAAGAAAGAACAGAAGAGAGAAAGAAAAAGGATTAAAGGAAAAAATAGAAGAAATTAAGGTTGAGATGAGAGAAATAAAGAAAAATCTTACTTTTACATCATACATGTATTTTTTAATTCAAATGAGCAGCCTAATTATTTTGCTGATGTGATTTCTAGATCTCATATTTTTTTTTGTTCATACCTTCCATTTTTTCTTGCTCTGACTGCTACCTGGTGGTTTAGCAGTGTTAGGTGGTACTGGAGTAGTTATATTACTCTCATCACCACTATCACCAGCTGTATCTGGAGGCACCACTTCTTTAGCTGCTAACAGGTTGCTACTATACAGATAGATTTGACTGATCTCTAGATATGCTTGTCGAATTAAACTGAAATAAACCACCCATAATATTGTTCAGTTTCAACTAATAGATAATACGAAGTTTGTGATAATTTCAGTAAGCACTTATTTGGAATGCCATGGATTTTATGCTTCATAAACACAATACTTTAGTCATTATGAGACTAAAATTGTAAAAGCTTCTATGGTCACATTTTGCCAAATGACTACATTTCCACCAACTCTTCATTGCATTCTGTCAAGGTTCTTTTACATGCACACTAATATGTCAGTTTTTAGTATCCTCTGAATGACTAGGCAGTCATTTCCTTTTCAGCCCTGCCCTTGACAAATGGGATTTGAAAAGGTATGAGTTTCTTCTCAGATTCTATACAGTCAGTATATTTATTATTATTTCTATACCTTAAGTTGTGATCTGTACAATAAGATGTTTTTATAGCTTCTATAATTGTATTTGCTGCTTTTCTTGGAGAAAATTTACCCAAATACATCATCATCTTCTGTACTTTGCCTAGAATAAAAAAATTAAAACCAAACAGATAAAATACTATACAGGAAGGTATTTTTTAAGTGCCAGAAGATGGTGATGACATTACAGTATCAACTGGTCCTAAGTTCCAGGGAGGCTGTAGCAATGAAATTTGTTTTTGCAGATGGACAATTACAAATACCACTTAAAAGTTTTGATAGGTCAAATATATAACAGGCTTCATGTTTACACAGAAATTTTGTTAGTGCACTCACTGATCAATAAAAATGAAGGGCATTGATAAGCAACAATGTCAACATACTTTTTATGACATGAGACTTTTGCCAGAAATTGTATCATCATGTAGGCCTACAGTTTGAATCCATAAATTCTGAATTAACATAAACAGTTATTTACCAAGATCAAAAAGTATTTCTGCTTCTAGACTGGAATCTCTGTTAACACTTGATCGAGATAGATCTAAAGCGGAGACTAAAACACCGTAAGCATCTATCCAGAGATAAACAGCATCTTGTTCTGGTAATCTGAAATTATAAAATAGAGATAGTACAGATATGGTAACTAAATTCAAATAGCTAGAGCTCTTTGATCTTTGGCAAAAAATGATTCTTCAGATTTCATATTTTGATTCACTTTGTGGGATGACAATCTGTCTTTCTTAGGGCTTTTATATCTACAGGCAGAGTCAGTGTTGAGATATAACTGATTAAACTTAGTAAGCAAGCTGACTTCCGCCTAATCCTTTGGAACAAAAATTTTATCATACAGTGCTTGCCTCATCCTTAAACATACATTATGCAAGAGCTAAATTTGCCAATTGCAAGTCTTTCTTTAGGCCTGAAACATTATCTAAATTATTAATTAGACATATAATTAACTTATCCAGACCATAATCAACTCTCGATGGCATCGCTAGCCTGCAATATTAACTGGAGTAGAACCCGTACTGCTGCTTCAGATTAAATAAAAAAAAATGGATAATTGAGACTATGTTTTTTATCGTACCAAATTTAGTAATGATGATTGAGGCTAGGTCCAAAATTCAATTGCTAAATACTCGGTTCAGGGTGGATCAATTTGACTGAAATTTTCATCAAATTCCCTTTACATTATGTAGTTTTTAACTATTATAGTGAGAACTACCAGCTCCATTTAATCTCCCATAGTGTATCTTTAAGTAGTTACTTTAAGTATGACAATTAATAATCAAGGTAACTATTCATTCGGGGTTAGCCAAAACAATGAAGATGATGATTTCAGATCCACCGATATCAATGCCAGCAGAGAATCACTTTTATCAACAAAAATAAGTGTTACACCAAAAAATGAAAAAATGCCAATTTTGAAGACCATTACATAGTTATCATTTCCATTCTCTAAGTTGTCATAATTATGATAACTCTAAAGTGTCCTGAAGAAAAATAAAATATATCTTTTATGAGGGACATGAAAACATATAAGTATTTTAGCCTTACCCTTTACTAGCTGTTATAGCAGCGTTTCTAGCTATCCTATGTCCTATACGTAATTTAAGTTGACATAATCGTAGTAAATGTGGTAGATATATATTTTTAATTGGACTGACAAGTGATGAGTGATGTTGATCTTTTCCTGATCTATATCTTTCTATCTTCTCTCCTAAACTTTCCATCTACATTAACAGAAACACAAGAAATTAGTTATTTCATATTAAATGCAAACTACATCTCCATTTAAGCCAATTTTCAAATTAATAAGCTTGTATTGTATTTTTTATCAACAAGATATTTTATCAAAATAATGGGACCCTGGTCTTGATAGTAAGTGCAGGAGACTCCCACCACACATAAACAAAAAAATAGATACCACAGAAGACAGAGAGAGAGAGAAATTGGGTTTAATGTAGGGACTAGCACATGGTTCAATTTTATTTCAATAATTCGCTTGCGCGTAGGGGTCTTTAGCAGTGAGAGGAAACCGGAGGACCCGGACAAACCCATGAGATTGGACAGGCGACCCTACTCTTTGTCATGTACAACCGGGGAATCGGAACCCCGCCAGTTGACTCAATGACAGACCATATGATACAGCGCGCGCGTGCTAACCATTCGGCCATCCAACCCCCCTACCCAGAAGACAACCTGTGGATAAATGAATGAAATAAAATAATATTTACCTGTGTAAGAAGATTATTCTGTATTTTAATATAACTATTCAATGATCGTTCTAGTATGTTAGTTTCACCACTTTTAGTTATTAATTCTAGATCTGTTATCAACATCTGACACAATACAACAAGTTGTTGTCCGGGTTCAGATAATTTACCTACTGTATTCAGTTGACCAGATGCTTCCTGGAAAATATAAAACAGTAATAGACAAAAGAGCATTAATATCCATTCAATATAACTAAAGGCAGATCATTAACATACAATTGGACATTAGAGAAAAGGTTTAAAGACAAGCTATCTGATACAAATAACTGTGGTGCTGAGCATATAACACTACCACTCTTCACATGATGGATTTCATTAAAAATAATATAATAATGCAGGTATCAGGGCTTCCACTTCAAAATTTTCCCAGCCGGTCATTTTTCACACAGAGAAAGTGGTGTTATTTTTAGTATAGGGTGCCTGTAATTATGACATAATCACAGGTTTAAAATCAAGATTGCGGCCATTATTTTTATATAGAAAAGAATGTGAATAAATAAGGAATTTTTACCTGCAGAAGAGAAACTGTGTGTTCCAGATTTTTTCCTTCTATTATATTTAAGAAGGCACCTTGTATAAAGAATTCGGCCTGCATCTCAACATCACCTAACATTTCTGCCTCTCCGACACCCTCTACACAATATTGACGACAATCAGCTAACTCAGTTACAAATTTATTATCACTACCTATAGCAAACAAGATTATTAAAAATCAGTTGAGTATAAGTACAGAGTTATTAAGATGCATGAACAAATGTTCAACATTTGGTCCAAAGTAAATTTTAGACTATAAATAGTATAAAGAAGATCATTTTTCTTGAATGATGACAAAGCTTTATTTTTAATACCACTTGTTAGATTTGTTAAATGTTAAATTCACAGTACATTTTAGCATGATCAGCGGTTTAACCTAAAGTGATAATTTAGACATGGAATTTGGAAGCATGATACACAAACCTTTAACATCCCCCATTCCTTTTATTTCCATCATTAAACATTTGATTAATTCTAATCGACATTTTAACCACAGCCTGGTATCCAAACGGGATCGACTCTGGAAGTTTTGGTACTGGAACTGTGTATTATTTGATTGGGTTAATTTTATATCACCATGGTTACGCTTAGATCCAGTTTTAGTATGTCCTTTCAAAGATGATGGCCTGTAAAAAGAATCGTAAGGGTAAATTTTTTCGGTAAGTAAAATGTAAAAAATACACAGTGTAACATTAGTGTTATAGATTGAAGAATGGTGCACTTGGAAGAACAACCACCCAGAGGTAACTGAATGTCCTGAATATAAACTTAAAAAAATTTTTCACAAATGTGCTCACACCTATACAGAAATGAAATGAAATGGGGTTTAACGTCCTACTGTTCTGCTCCTATACTGGGCTAATGAAGACGGGCATACGCCATAGAGGGAAATTTTGCCTGGGCAGCGGCACTATCGCCTACTCTTATATCGTATTCCAACTGCCAAGGGATCTTTTACGTGCATTCTAATGTATACACGGGACCTCAGTTTTTCGTCTCATCCGAATGACTAGACAGCTGTCCTGGTCAGGCCCTCCGTTCTGCACCACTGACAAGGGGAAACCACGTCAGAAAATCCAGATGAACTTTCTCGGCCAATGCAGGGATCGAACACCCGACCTCCAGGCTAGCGAGCCAGCGTCTTAACCACCTAGCCACCGTGGCTCCCCACACACACCTATACAAACCTGGGAATAAAATAAGCCACATGTCATTGAATATACCAGGCTTAAACTCAGGCTTATTCAATTCCTTTAGTAATTTTTTTAATGCACTATATATTTAAATTAGTGTTTTTCACTAAAATTAACAGAGAAACAATGACGACCAATATATGAAGTAGGAATATTGAATTTAACTTTTGTAATACAATTATATTATTCTTTCAAAACAGGAAAAAAAGTTACTGTGAACTTAGAAAAAATTTAACCGGATCATAATATACATTTAATTGTCATAAGTTACAAAGTTATTATAAAATAAAGTAAGAGAGAACAACTGATTGACAGTTGGATTGACAGTGCAAAAGCAAAATAAATAAAAGTGCTTCTTAATATAAGTCATCTTCAACTTCAGAATTCAGTTTCTGATCTACTCACCAAAAGAATTATGATATGAAGTAACATGTTACTGTGAATGAAGCTGATGATTATCAACAAGCTGATGATTATCAAGCTAAGAGGGACTAGTTGTAAACAACCCTTAAATCTACTATAACATATGATTGTTTTGTCTTTATCGTGATTATGGTGATGTTTTCTGCTGGGTGGATGGATAAATGGATGCTTGTGATTTTATATCAGTACAAAGTTTTGTTACAGTGGGGCTGTGGCAACAATTTTTGCAATTAACAACAATCTTTGCTATTAACAACCATTTTTGGAATAAAAGTAAATGGTTGATATTGCGAAAGTAGAACACAGAGTGAAGCATTTTTATAAAAAATTTCCTGATTTGTCATTTTCATGATCGTCATGATCATTTTTTTCACCCTGATGATTGTTGGAATCATTATTGATGTATTCATCATGCACATTATCATCACCAACATAATTTCCATACACATTTTTTTATGAAAGTTTCAATTATTTGCAAAAATGGTTGTTAATGGAAAAGTGGTTGCTAAAGTGGGACTAATTATGGGAGTAAAGATATATTCTTTTGTTAAATTAGCTAAATTGGTTATCACTCAAGAGTAAAAAGTGTTCAGTTATTACTGGCTTGTTGTTGAATAATTTTTACTTATTAGTTATTATAAGACCAGCAAATCGACTATATTATTTAAATGGCAAATGCACAACTTGATTACAGCTTTCTAGCAAGATATACATGGATATTGTGTAAGCAAGAGCCAAGATACATGCTTCCTAATTACTTAAGTCCCCAAAAATTTAATCAAATAGTTTGGCTTTAATCATTTAATCAATCTTTTTAGAGACTTCATGGGAATAAGAGAGAGATAGAAATGGGGTTTAACGTCCACTCGACACAAAGTAAATCATTTTGGGACTAACATATGGTTCAATTTTATTTCAATAATTCACTTGCACGTAGGGGTCTTTAGCAGCAGAAGACACAGAGAAAACCCACAAGATTGGACAGGTGACCCTACATCTTGTGACGTACAACAGGGGAATCAAAACCACACCAGTTGACCGAATGACAGACCTCATGATAGAGCGCGCACATGCTAACCATTCGGCCATCCAATCCCCCTAATGGGAATAAACCTGTTGTCAGAATTGATCCGTCTTACTCAAAAGAAGGTATCATATAATTACAATATGTGATATTGACATGCAAAACAAAAGAACAATTGGTGGCATTGCAGGAACGTTAAACAGTGATTAAGTTTGATTAAATCTTCTTGGTGTATCAATTTTTTACCTTTCTTGTGAATTAAGTGTTTTCCTAGTTTAGATATAAAAAATAAAGTAATATAAAAGATATAAAAACTACTCAGTTGTAAAGTGGTTGATTAAATCATGATTCAAAAAAACCCCCAAAGAACAGGAAATAAATCTAAAGTAATACCCCCAATAACTAAAAATACACTTTACTGGTACTGTAAATACTAATAGTTAATAATAGTACAATATATAATTGGAGGCATAAATTTTGTTATAAACACCCATAATACAAAAACAACTACAAAAAAATATTTTAACCACTAATAATTGATAATGATTATCATAAATAATTAAACCCTATATTCTAAAACACTGATTATGATACAGACTTTACCTGCAAACGGTAAAGAACAGTTTTAATCATCTCTAATGAGAATTTCGAAATTATTATTTTCTTATGCTATTCTAAAACTACTTTCACAAAGAAACAAGCATTTGGAAATATAGCCCTTATTAATTTCTATGCCGTTATTAAAACTACTTTCACCAAAGGATCAAACATTTAGAAAAATTGTCCTTATCAATTTCTATGATATTATTAAAACTACTTTGACTAAAAAAATCCATATAACTGTTTTTCTAGCTTACCTTGATGGCGTTTTAGAACATTTTTTGGGTTTAAACAGATCTGATGTTTGAAGAAGTTTAAGAGCTGAGAAAACACCATGAGCTGCCAGGGGTGCATGATGTTTCTGCCGTGAAATATAACCTTGTTCCAATTTACATAATACGACTAATTCAAGCTCCGACGCTGATAACTTCTCTACCCCTTTTCCTGAAATATCAATGTTTTATTTCGAAATAATAAAAGCTTATTCATGCAATACTGTGAGGCAACATATATTTGATTCATCAATGTCTCATGAAGACCTTAATAAAATGCCACATTGTTTCAACCAGTGTTCAGTAATATAACCTACAATATATAATTAATTTACACAAGCATACAAGTTCAAAATACTGATAATTAATAAAGTAATAGCTTTCTCTTTGATTGACTTACTTACTAAAGTAATATGTATTGAAAATGATGCAACTGATGATGGGTCAAATTGGATGCACAAATTTTGTGCTTTACAGTATACATTTGTAAATTATACAAAAGGTCTTCACTAGAAAGCTCCTAGAACCATGCTATAGTGATGTCTCATTGTATTTTGTTTATTCATGTTAGCTAATTACAATTACCTGTTTTATCGTGTTCAGCACTATCTACTATAACATCAGATAATGTTGTCACCATTTGTTCAGCCATATTTAATAAAGTTGCTTTAACTATCTCTATGGTAACCTTTTTCTTACTCTCAGTAAATCTTCTGTTATAGCATGGTATTTCATTCTCACTCTCTTCACCTACACCTTTAAAACAGAGGTATCATTTAAATGAAGGAAAGGGAATGAAACTAACATCTCATCAACCAAAATACCTTGTCACTTATTTATTTTCCATGTTCATCAAATTTCAACTGTAAAATGGTACCTTTATGTGTACACAAACATTCTCACAGGTGGATCTCAGTTCTTGCACCATCTCAATGACTAGGTAGGCAGGTGTGACTCCTGATACATGGGAACAAGGCTTGAAAAATCCCAAGATTCCTCTCGGGCCAACCCAGGGTTCCAACCTCAGTCATTCTAGTCTAGAGTCTATGGTGCTCTCACAGCAATGCGACAACAGAACAATAAACATTTCCCAAAATTTAGCAAAAATAATGGCTAAAAAGAATTAACCAGTGCTTGCCAGGCAAGATATGCCCACATTTTGCAAGAGATGGATAGAGAACAAGCTAAAACTAAACCCACAGTTTTTCATACAACCAGGGGCCATAAACCAGGAAGCCATGGTCTGAAATGTGCGAATATAGACAGGAACTGAAATCTTTGGGATATAAACATATATTTTAAGTTTTATCAAAATCGGACAAAAATTGTGACTTCTAGAAGATCCACAATCTTCGTATTACATACTTTTACACTATTTGCGTTCAAGCAGCTGCCATTTTGTCGGGAAGTTTCGGTCCTATTTTCCCGAAATTTGAACTCAACCATCAACAGGATGTAACGATGATATATTAAAATCAGATAAAAATTGTGATCTCTAGAGGGTCCACAAGCTAAAAATGTGATTTTTTGTACAATCAAGGGCCATAATCCAGAATGTTGTCTAATAGTAATATACACGAATATTGACAGGAAACTGAGATCTTTGGGATAAAAACATATATTGTTATATTCATCAAAATCAGATAACAATTGTGACCTCTAGAGTGTTCACAAGCTAAAAACGTGATTTTTCGTACAATCAGGGGCCATAATCCATGAAGTTATGGTCTGATACATGCCAATATCAAAAAGAACCGAGATATTTGGGAGATAGACCTATATTTCAAGTTTCGTCACAATCTGATAAAAATTGTGACCTGTAGAGTGTCCACAAACAAATTGTGGACGGACGGACAGGGGCGACGACAAAATACGTCCACATAAAAATGGGCTCTCCCTCAATCAATTTAGGTGACAAACATGGCTTCTAAAAAAATAATTTGTATAGCGTGGGGTATTTGCTTACGAAAACAAAGTTTTGAGAATGATTTATAGAAAATTTTTGATAGATTAATTAGTTTGAATATGTTTTTAGCCCAAATATATCATCAAATCAAATCAAGGTATCTTTAACACACAATTGGTTTTATTTGATCACTATTAGACCAAATTTTCAATTGCCACTCCCATCAATCAAATAAAAATTGTGAACTCTAGATGGTCCACAAGCTAAACACACAATTTTTCGTACAATTAGGGACCATAATCGATGAAGTTACGGTCTGATATGCACAAATACCAAAAGGAACCAAGATCTTTGGGTTATAAACATACATTTCAATTTTCATTAAAATTGTATAAAAATTGTGACCTCTAGAGTGTCCTCAAGCTAAACACATGATTTTTGGGTTATAAACCTACATTTCAAGTTTCGTCAAAATCGGATAAAAAATTGGGACCTGTAGTGTGTCCACAAACAAATTGTGGACAGACAGATGTACAGGGGCAATGAAAATATATGTCTACATAAAAATATGGGGGTATAAACATACATTTCAGTTTTCATCAAAATTGTATAAAAATTGTGACCTCTAGAGTGTCCTCAAGCTAAACACATGATTTTTGGGTTATAAACCTACATTTCAAGTTTCGTCAAAATCGGAAAAAAAATTGGGACCTGTAGTGTGTCCACAAACAAATTGTGGACAGACAGATGTACAGGGGCAATGAAAATATATGTCTACATAAAAATATGGGGGTATAAAAAAGCTGCTGTCCTTTTTCTCAATCATTGCTTATGAAGTCCTTATATCAGTTCTGTCCAAATTTGAAATCAACATTTCCAAAATCCAAATTTGTGAATAGGCTTGGTACTAGCTGAATGGATGGAAGCGTATAATTTATGATCAGAAATATAGATTCAGAGAAATCGTGTTAAATTAATCAATCTGATTTATTTATATTATAGCTGCAAACTTCAAGGTCCATTTGGGGAAACAAAATTTTGATAATAACCATTATTTCTTACCCTCTCTTTTTTCCTCAAAATCCACAGGCTGTGATGTAGCTGATACAAGTCTTGGTGCTCTAGTTCCCATACCAACATGTGATCCTGTACTAATAGTTCTAGCTTTAATTACTATAAATTGACTCTCTAGAGCTCTGTAATACAATAAATTAAAACAGAATCTTAAATAAACATTTATTTGCAAAAGACAAACACATAATTTGATTAATTATATTATCAATGATATTTATTTGATCTAGGGGATTATAAGCATCCAAACTTTACATTTATAAAGAAAATACTAGTGTAAGATATGCATATTAATATATTGTTTCACTTATCAGCAATTCTAGTAAAAATATGTAATTAATATGTATCTACAGTTGAAGTACTAGTGTAGTTTATCAAGTATCCAAGATTGCTATTATGCTAATTTGATCAGAAGATTACTTAGATTAGAAATATGCAATCTGGTTAAAATGTAAATCTAAATTTCTTTACACTTTTGCTTGGCTCAACTACACTATATTTGATTAGTTGGGGTAGGCAGTCGTGTCAGTTGTCATTTAATTGAATTTGTAACATGGACCGGAAATTTTCCATTGTTCTTTTCGGTGAATAAGCAGATTGTTTTCCCTCTAGTAGATTGGGTCGAGCTAAACCGTGCAATAACTAAACTCTTTTGCTGGTTTACACTAGTTTTAGTAGAAATCATATAGAGAAGTGGGGTGGGTTTTCTGTGCAATAACAACAAGCATGTTGAGCAAGTCATTTATAGCACACTTCATTCGTTAACAGGTTTAACATCTCATGAAAGCTGTGCTATAAATATAACTTTGACTATATGAGATAAACTATGAAGATTGACTAAACAGAACAATACAAATTGTTAAATCCAGGTAACTTAAAACAATTTATATATTTATAAAAAAGAGAAATAGGATTTGTGTCTTAATCAGACTGGAAGTACATCTTAGTTAAGCTGAAATTGTATAGTAAAGAAGGGTATAGTTCTAGATATTATGGTAAAAAGAGAAAAGAAAATAAGAATTAAGGTATTATATTTTCTATCTATAATGTGAAGTGAACGAAAAGAGGTACAAGATATTACAAAGAAGTTATTGTATCTACATCTGATACAGAGGTTAGGACATCTTATATACATACCCACTAGGAACACTGTAAATATTCAATCATAGTATTTTTATTGTAGGTTTTATTATACATAATTATAAGCCTTCTTTCAATAGCTGCTTTTTTTTCAATTAATCATAATTTCTAAAGAAAATGAGGACATTTTGGCAAACACATCATAAATACTGAAAAGATTTATTCTTTTGGAAATCAAATGTTATAGAAACTAAAAGCCTCCAAAAAAAAGTAAACTTACGCAGCTTCACTTAATGCTGGAATAACAGGAAGTGTATCTGCTACAGTCACCAATAAATGAGCTTGTACTAAGAGAAGATGGCAGGTTAGATGTGGACCATATAAAGAAGCAAGATTTGATGGTAATCTCTTATCTATAACTCCTTCCAATATCTACAAAGCAGTTAACAAATGAAATGATGAACTCAAAACTTTCAAATTTACATAAAACTTGAGATACTGTAACAGAAGATAATATTTTTTATTAAAATGGTTTAAAATAGCTTACTCACATCATAATGGAATATTTTTTTTTGTTTACCCCTCAGGATATATTCTGTACATTACATTTAATATGAAAGATTTATTGTACTTACCTTTAGATTTGTAGTATCCAGAATTGGTTTTGAAGTGTTAAACTGAATGCTTCCTACTTTTGATTCTACATGTCGAAATCCACTATCACCAACCTGAGGTAGGCGTTCCCCATGTAAGAGGCGTCTCAATATGATGAATGCCTCAGTAAAGAGATTAAGATCTGTTAGTACTCGAACCTTGAGAATTCTACCATCTACAGATCTCTGTAAATCTCTACACACAAAGTTAGTGAAATACTGGTAAAGTGTTAATAAAGGTAGAACCTGTAAATAAATAAAAAAAACTTTTTGAGCAATGAGTTTGATAATACCATATAAATTTGAAGATACATTATGGGAGATTAGATAATAGTTAAAAACTAGATAATGTAAAGGCAATTTGCTGAAAATTTCATTCAAATTGATCCACTATGAACCAAGAATTAAGCGACTGAAATTTCCGCCTAGCCTCGATCATCATTACTAAAGTCGGAACAACAAAAATCATAGTCTCGATTATCCATTTAATCATTAAACTGTGAAGGAAACTTATGCAGTAAATCTGATCATAATCCACTACAGATCGGAGGTTAGCGATGCCATCGAGAGTTGATTATGGTCTGGATAAGTTAATTAATGTCTAATTAATAGTTTATATAACATTTGCAGAAAGACCTGTAATAGGCAGATTTAGCTCTTGCATAATGTATGTTTAATTAAGATCTATTTTTGATAGTATCCCTAAGCAAATATTTGCATAATACTCGTAAGGCATCACTAAAAATATAATGCAGGACTTCATACATTTCCCAACCTGAATACCAATCCTTTGATGCACAATTATGTGAACTTTCATTTTGTACAAAAGAATAAGTTATCATCTACTTACAAATAGGTTATGTCGTCCTCTAGATAGTTCTTCTGTTACCCATCTTAAAGCTGCTACAACTTGTCTTCCATCAGCACGGAATCTCTCTGACAGTAGATCAATACCAGGAACAAGACTAGTGACCTCACATCCCTCACCAACATCATACAGAGCATAGTCTCTATCAGCTACAGGATGTGGCATAGATGCCCTAAACAATGCCTAGTAAAACAATTTGACAGGAATAATGTAGGCTTCAAAAAACAAGAGGAGAGTACTGGTAGTTACTTAGCAGTGAAATGAAATTTTTTTAATCATGAGAAAGACAATAATGGTAACATTTTTACCTTAAAGAAATATCCTGATAAGAAACAGCAGTCCATTCTTAATCCAAGATCTGAGGTTAAAATATACCTAAAATGTAGAGAATTAGTAAATTGTTTTAAAGATATATTTATTCAACAGTCAATCGAAACCCACCAAACATGCCCTATAAGATATTACAAGCAAAACTCATTTTACATGTATCTGCCATCATTTAGGATTTATTATGAGTGAGTGTTGATGTTGCCATGCAATGTGTGTACAAGGAGAGCAGTGATTGGCTATTCAAATGACTATGCTTTTATTATGAAACTTGAATCTGTAACTATTCGTATGATAATACTTTTGGACAAAACTAAGTTTATGGAGCTAATTATGGTAAAGGGTAAGTTTGATATTAAAATAAATTTCTTCTTCACGACAGCATGAAAAATAGGTAGTTATGAAAAAAAGGAAGTGTCTTTCCATGTAAAACTTCATTCATGGTTACTATTTGAGATGCATGCTTAATTAGAAGGCTTATTATTTCCATTTATCTGGAAGCTGACATTTTAGCTGATATTTGTGACTACTTACTGTGCTATACAGGAAGATATAATTCCACCTAAAACACAGCCCCATAATCCACAACGGTCCAACAAATCCCTACTTTCATCCCCACTCTCAGCCAATGTTGAACGCCAAGAATGGATGGCATCATTTGTATTTAAAACAATATCCAGGGCCTCACACCACCATTTAAATGTTAATCTAAAATAAAGCACATTAGTAAATATCATATTTGATATAAATACAAGTTGTTGAGGATTTCATTGATTGACAAGTGAGCATACTTCTTATTTTGATACCCAAATCTTGATTCGTCTGTATCAAAATAGAAATAAAATGAGTTTTAACGCCAAAGTTTTCAACACCAACAGGGCTATGGAAGACAGTGCGAAATGAGCGAGATTATGCTTGGATAGTGGCACTATGGTCTAGTTTTAGTTTGATTCCCAGCTGTCAAACGATCTTTAATATACTGCCACACCCAGGGCTTAAGTTTTTCATACCATCTGAATGAATATATCCTTTTCCTTGCCAAGCCCCCATCCTGCACATATCAGAAAGACAAAATATAATTTTTTTTAAAAATTGAAGATTGTCCAGAGCATTACATTATAAAATCTTAAAGCTATCTGTTAATGGAAAGAAGGAAACATGTGTAACTTGACAAAATGCCAACTAAGTTTTTTGATAAGTATTTCAAGATAATAAAACATCTAATTGACTGATGATTATTGTTTAATTACCTGAGATTTTTTGTATGGTAGTGAAGATTTCCTAATTCAAACATTGCTTGAGCAGTCAATCCTTTCTGATTCTTGGAAATCAGTGTATCTGTAATAAGAAATAAACAAAATAACATAAATTTGCTTTAACATATTTGATACTTTTTGATACTAACATGTAATGTAAGGGTAAAGTTTGCAGAACATCAACCAAACTTCAACTCTTAGCAATGTTACAAATTATCGGGAAATTGGAACTCTTTCTTAAATCGTACATTAATAAAATGGGATCTTACAAGTTTCAATTTTTAATTGTATACACTGGCCCTTCTTTTTTTTTGTCCCATCTGAATGGCTAGATGCTTTTCCATGTCAACAATTAATGAAGAATATATCTTTTGCTTTGTTGTTCTTATAAGCGTAGGAGCCGGGGGGCAGGGGGGTCATTTGCCCCCCCCCAAAATTTATTTTCGGGCAATAAAAAATTTGACGACCTTTTTTTTCTATTAACGTTTAGAGAAAAAATATAACTAACTTATTTCTATGAGATCCACACTGCCCGAAAAGTATTTTCTCGTCTTTTTCTTGTCCACTGCATGCACGAAAATATGCCCGAAGCTCTCTTATGATATGTATGCCCGAAAAAACGGTATTGATTTCGGGCAATTTTCTCTTATGCCCCCCTGAATTACTTTGAGCTCCTACGCCTATGGTTGTTCTTACCTATAGTTTTCTCATAAGATTCTATAATTAAAGGTAATTGAGATTTCGGTACAGGTGAGGTCTGGACATCATCAGTAGATAAATACAGCTCAGTACTTAGATCTGGTGGTGCTGTTGGCTGAGGATGAGCTGTGTTTTTCAGAAAGTCAACTTTACTTGGTGATTTAGGAAGCATACTATCTGTATCTACTACAAATGAAAATGTTTAATGAATGAATAAAGTTATGTGATATACAACACAGAAAGATTTTTTTTTTTTTTTGCTAGGACGTACAGGTATTTAGAAGTGGGAGGAAACCATAGAACCTGGAGGTTAGGCGGGTAACTCTATTCTCTGTCACATACAAGCATGGGATCACCACAAGGTCTCGTGCGCGACCCTACTACATTGTCTTGTTCAAGCACAGGATTGCCAACAAGTTAGACAGGTGACCTTATGTACAAGCATGGGACCGAAATCACTACACTTGACTTGATGACAGACATAATGATCTAAAGAAGATACATTAGACAAAGAGAGAGAGAGAGAGAGATAAATGGGGTTTAACGTCCACTCGACACAAACTACGTCATTTCAATAATTCACTTGCCCATAGGAGTCTTTAGCAGTGGGATGTAACCGGAAGTCACATTAGAACACAAGAGTTATTTAAAGACATTTTCATAGTATGTATAAATACAGAAGTAAAAGTGTGTTGGTTTAGCGTTGTAAGTTAATTTAGAACAAATTAGCACACTGCCATTCAGAGGCTAAAGCAACATCATGTCTTCTGTTCTACTATAGAAACTTATACTTACTGTTTTGTTGTCCTGCTAGATAAAGAACCAGCAGTTTTCTACAGTGATGTAGAGCTCTAGCGGAGTAGTTTGATTTCATTAAAACTTGACGTAATTTATCTAGACTATATTCATAATCTAAAGGTACTGATATCAACCTCCGAGCATCATCAGCTAAAATCAGAAAATTATTACATCTATATTTAGTGTTACATTCTAAAATTTTGCAGGATTTTAATTATAATGCTAGATAATGTTAAATACATATTTTCGTTTCAAAAAATGTTTCAAAAATGATTAAAATACACAGATGTTTGTTCATTTTTAGAAATGAAATGAAATGGGGTTTAACGTTCTACTGTTCTGCTCCTAACCTGGGCTAATGAAGACGGGCATACGCCATACAGTGTGCTATGAGGGAAATTTTGCCCTATGGCCTACTCTTATATCGAATTCCAACTGCCAAGGGATCTTTTACGTGCACGCCAATGTGTACACAGGACCTCGGTTTTTCGTCCCTTCCGTACAACTAGACAGCTGTCCTTGTCAGGCCCTCCGTCCTGCACCACTGACAAGGGGAAACCACGCCGTAAAATCGTGATGAACTTCCTCGGCCAATGCAGGGATCGAACACCCGACCTCAAAGCTAGCGAGCTAGGGTCTTACCCACTTAGCCACATGATCACTTGTTCATTTTTAGACAAATAGTCTATGTGCAATGCAAGGCAGAAGAATGTTTAGTCCAGACAGTAGCATTTCAAATTCCAACTGCCAATTAAGGTATGTTTTACTTATAATACCAATCTGTACCATTTGAAAGGTTACACAGCCCTTGTCAAGTTATAGATATATGAACTTAACTTACGTGTATAGACATTATGTCCCAGAGGATCAATGTGAGCTCCAGGTTCCACTGGTTTCAGGTTAGTTTTATCAACCTCAACCTTTAATTGACATTGTAGATAATCTTTAGCAGAAATCACACCGCCTAGTTGTGCCAATAATGTCTGGTAATGTTTCTGTGGTGCTGGACTACCACCAACCTGTTTCAAGATTCCTGTTAGTTTCCTTTGCGCCTGAACTAATAGAGGTAGCACCTGTTCTGCGTAACGGTCACTTGAAAAAAAAAAAAACAACATCAGGAAGATAAAATAACACATTCACAGGAACAAAAGAGAGAGGGAGAAAGAGATGGGGTTTAACATCCACTTGACACTGAACTGGTAAATATTTCAGAAATCTTGGTGTATTCTTTGACTCGTCCTTAGATATGAAAACCCATGTATCAAGACTGTGCAAAAAGGCGAACTTTCACCTGTATAACATTGGCAAAATTCGATCCTATATTGACCTTGATGCCACTAAAATGTTAATAAACGCTTTTGTTATGTCATCTTTAGATTATTGTAATTCATTATTGTATTCTCTTCCTAAAACTCTTGTAAGTCAGCTACAAAAAATCCAGAATAAAGCAGCTCGAATTGTATCTCTCACCAAACCATCTGATCATATTACACCTGTTCTAAAACAGTTACATTGGCTACCGGTTAATCAACGCATCATTTTCAAAATTAACACAATCACTTTCAACTGTTTAAACGATCCTTTGGCACCATCCTATTTATCCGATTTGATTAAACAATATGTACCTTCTCGTTCCTTACGTTCATCTCATAAAAACCAACTTGTATGCCCAGTACAGAAGTCAAAATTTGGTGAGAGAGCTTTTGCGTACGCAGCACCAAAAGAGTGGAACAAATTGCCTCTGGAAGTCCAAAATAGTCCAAACTTAGCTATATTTAAACGACGTTTAAAAACTCTGTTTTTTACCCAAACTTTTAAACAATAATTTAAATGCTTCACTTTCCATTTGTATATTGTAACTATTCCTTTGTATTCTTTTGTTTATTTGTATATACATGTATGCTTGTTTTTGTTTTTTATAATCATATCTACATTGTAAAGCGCCACAGAGCAGTCAGACTGACTGAATGTTCAGCGCTATAGAAAACGATTATTATTATTATTATTATTATTCAATAACATGCATTTACAACACCACACCCCCATGGACACAAGACACACAGTATCCATAATACTAGAATATGATATGAATGAAATAGGGATTGACGTCTTGTTAGTACAATAATTCAATAATTTTGAGACAAACATATGGTATTTTTATTGAGCAATGCAAGAGCTGAGAATTTTAGGGTTAGGGCATGTCAACTTCCTCATCTTTGAATTCAAACTGTCATGGGTTCTTTTACATAACATAGACGAACCCTTTTTTATTTGGTACAAAGGAATAAGCACAGCCCACACCCATGAAAGCAGGGATAAGCTTTAAAATAATTATAGGGTTTTCTGGTCTTACATCTGGCCCGGAATTCAAGCTGAAAAAATTAGTAGAGTTTTCTTATCCTACGCCTGAAATTCAAACTGAGGACATTCTGGCTGACAGTCCAGCTGACATTCATTATCTTGGCATGACAGAATTGAGCATGATATGTCTTGTTACAATAGCAACGATGGCAAAATGTAGCGAAGACTACTATGCTTCTATAGAACCAATGCCTGTCCTCTAACCTCATAACTACCACAACCCCTATTTGTCAACAAAACTGGAAATAACATAAAATGTCAAATTTAGACTTACTTTGAAATGGCATTAAATCGTAAAGCGATATCAACAAGTTTCTCCCACTTTTGTTCATAATACAACATCTCTATCACACGTAAAACATAGCGTCGGATCCAGCGTACATCTATGATACTTCTATCATCTAGAGGATCTTCAAACTTGAGACTAGCACCACCTTTCTCACTTCGTATATTTCCATACCAGTCTTCAAAATAAGTCCCTAATACTTTTTTTTTATTCATGGCCTGAACAAAAAAAATATGTAATATCATGCACACCGAAAGTTTTCCCTTATAAAAAATTGTTTTAATGCAATCAATCATTATTTGCAGATTATATTATACTGAAAGATTAATCTTTAAAAGGAATATCAGTCCTAGAAGGTTCAGCGTGGATTAAGTTGTGAAAAACTTGATTTTGTTCAAATTTTTTTTACTATAAAATAGTTAATATAAGCTGCCCATCAAAAAATCTTAATCATTTACATCAAAAAAACATCATCTACTATAATATACCAGTACATATACTTATTTCTGACATTTTTCTCAATCAAGTCAAGCTTCTGATTGTCTAACTAATAAATTAAACTAAATCTATAATAGAGGCAATGACAAATACCTTAGCTGTTTGTTGATCAAGATTAATCTGTAGCTTAACCATCATATCTAAAAGACAATCTACAGATAGATAAAATGGCTTCCATACCAACGACCTCAATACTTCCACAGTCAAAAGACCCGTTTCATTCTTACTTTGATTGGCTGTTGTTGCTCGTAATAACGCAGTATGAGCACAGTTCCATAGAGTGTTACAAGCATTTTGAAACATTGTCCAGTGGTTGCCTCGGTATGCTATTATCTGTCAAAATATTATACAATCATTTCATTAAAAACATTGATACATATTAGATTTAGTAAAACAAGTACAATAGTATTATATGAATCAGAGAGAGAAATTAGGTTTAATGTTCATTAAGTTATTTTGGGACTAACATATGGTACATATTTATTTCCATAATGTGCTTGTGCACAGGGTTCTTTGGCAGCTGGAGGAAACAAGGAAAAACCCACAAGATTTAGCAAGAGACCCTACTATTTGTCTCATCCAAGCATTCGATCGAATCCATGCCATTTAACTCAATGACTGACCTTGCGATCCATAAAGTTTGTGTTAGACCACATGGTCAATATAAGAAGAGAGATAGTGTGTCTCACATTTAATAATTATGATTACTAACCATACATTGTTTAAGATAAGTAAATGTTTTATCAAGAGCTTGTAGAGTAGCTTTAGTAGATAATAGAGCTGATTCATCTTCTTGATGACGTTTAGTGGGACGAGTCTCTGGTACAGCACTAAAATCACTACGATATGTTCTTGGTGTATCATCAAGCTCTTGTATTGGATTTTTGGTTCCCGGGACGGGAGCATACACGCCTATAAAATTAATGGGTGATTAATAATTATGTAGATACTAGAGATTCAATAATACTGATGATGTTCTGTTTGATAAATCCAGGCTTAATACTGCTGTATCAATGCATACATTTTGTATCTGACTTAGTAAACCAGAAGGCTACTGGCATATCCAACAGCATGCTTCAAGTTGGTTTTTAATAATTTCAGTTAAAATAGTGATAACATATTTAGTCTCAGTTGTTAAAATTTGTTACACAGTGATTGATTGGTTGTTAAGTATTTGTTAACTAATCATAAAGTGAGACAGAAAATGCTGTTCAGTCCATCAAGGCTCATGTTGAGGTTTTAAAGAAAATGAAATCCAAGATTTGTGAAAGGAAATGGTAGTCTACAGACTATAGCAAAAAAGCCATAGATTGAGGTTCAAATTCATCAAGCTCAAATACAAGATAATTAATATGTAGACTCTGAATTTTATTTATAAAAAAATGGTCAAAAATGTACCAGTAACAGCTGCTGCAGCTATTTCTATAGCCGTTTTGTGTTTATTAGCATCAGTGTTAAAATCCAACTTAGTATGGAAAGCTCTATCATCTTCAGATTGGCCTGTAGCATGTCGAGATGACTGACGTGTTGGACCACCCTCCCATCCTACCACTAATGTACCAGCTGTTTCAAATGTAAACCATTCATGATCCAAAAACGACGATCTGAAAATGAAATAAATTGATGTTTTATCAGAAGTGGCTAAACGCTATATAAACGCTGACTTGTCGAAAGGCTGTCAAATTTCAATTTAGTTTTATGATCCACAGGTTAGGTGCAAGATGATCTGAAATCAACTTGCACTCCAAACTTGATAAAGGTACTGAACCTATCTTATTAATATATAGACAGAAATCAATTCATAACAAATTAACAGCATTTGTCCATATTTATTTTGCGTGTGAAATGGTTTTAACTGATAGAAACTTCCCAAGCTAACAAAAACATTTTTTCCCTTTGATTACAAACCTTTTTATTCTCTTGTAAATTTGAAAATAATTTACCTGTACATGTTGCTGCCTGCAGATCCTAAAATCTTTTCACGTTTTTCTAATTTCTGTAAAAATGCTGAGAAATAGCTCATCCCTAATACAATCTTCATCTGAAACAAATTAAATAAAATAAAAATTTAAATACAATTCCATAACTATTTCGAAAGAAACATCTACCTGATATGCTAAAAATATAGTTAGAAGGAATATTTTTCTTAGAAAGAATATTTTTCTTAAATAGAGATTCTTTCTTCTAACTGTAGTGCCCTCTCCTCAGCAAGAGAAATATCATTCTGTGTAATTTTGAGGACACATTACAATATGTACAGCATCAGCATGAGTGATTTGTATTAGGTAAACTAAGTGACAAAATGAACAATTGAAGTTTATTGGCAGATAAAACAGTAGAAATAGAAATATCTTCAAAGAATTTTAAGAGAGAAACATCTACATTAAGAATTTTAAGAGAGAAACACCTACATTAAGAATTTTAAGAGAGAAACACCTACATTAAGAATTTTAAGAGAGAAACACCTACATTAAGAATTTTAAGAGAGAAACACCTACATTAAGAATTTTAAGGGAGAAACATCTACATTAAGAATTTTAAGAGAGAAACACCTACATTAAGAATTTTAAGAGAGAAACATCTACATTAAGAATTTTAAGAGAGAAACACCTACATTAAGAATTTTAAGGGAGAAACATCTACATTAAGAATAAAGTCGAAAAATTATTAAAAGACTAATTCTGGGGTGTAGGAAACTATTGCTCAAAACTAGCTGTATTTTCACTTGTCAACAAGTAGAATGGTTCTGTTGTTCAGATTGATTCATGGGGTCTCACATACGGTAACATATACATTATCTTTTATGACACCTGGACATAAAAATGAGCAAAGGGTGATGTTGCTATAGAAAATAATAAATAATTTACCTGACTTCTCCAGGGAAGTTCATCAGTATGTATTTTTCTCATTCTACGTTTTTTATGAGCTGATCGGTACATATCAGCAAAATACAGTGTGAGGGCTTCAATGGCCTGAAATAAAAAGTTGGATGAATAAGTACTGTTCGCAAGCTTTCATATTTTTGAGATCTTTCTAATCCTCTGACCCAAAAAACAATTCCTGCAAATTTGAAAAAAATCTGCCAAGAACTGTAATGTGAAGAGCATTCTCACGAAAAGAACAACAGATGGGCCACAGACAAGTGTAATTACAATATACCTCTACATTAAATAATAAATATCAGATTCACAAAAACACAATATGTAAGCTCAAGGATGCTTATCCAAGTAAAGTGTAACTTACCTTATTTTCTTTATCTTCTATAGCATGTCTAGCAGCATCAGACATATTACTGTAGTTATTAAATGGCTGTAAAAAGATAAAACTAACTATTGTAAACAATATAGTGACAAATCAGAAATTCAACTCAATAAAATTGTCCCTGAAAAAAACATTCCATTGTAAGAAATCATAATAAAACATAATAATTTGATTACTTTGGGGCTAAAATATGGATGAATTAAAAAGGGATTGTTGTAGGGGTGGAAGAGTGTTGAAACATATTTTGATTGGATTGTTGACAGTTCAAAGACCCATCTTTATAAGTTTATTCAGTGGACTTGTGGTAAAGAGGCAATTTTCTGCTTCAGAGCTTCGGGTATCACTTTGAGTATTCTCATTTGAAGGTAAATTTTAGTTATTATGGTTGTTGGTGTAAATGTGATGGGAGAATTTTGTCCAGATATCAGAATTTCCAACTAACCCTCTTCGAATTCCAACTGTCAAGGGATCGTTTTTTTTATTTATATAGGACCTGTGAACTTAAAACTAATTGAAAATAGTGTACCAGTAACTCAATATCATCAATATGAATTGTTTTACTACTAGTATTTCTTGTCTTGGCTAAAACATGAAAAATATAGCAAAATGTCTGCCAACTTAACTTACCCTGTATTTTTTACGTTTCGTTTTAGTTGGGATTGCTGGTGTTATAATTTTGGTTGTTTGTCCTGGTTTATTGGTCTTAGGAGGAGAAGTCTCCTACAAAAAAAAAAAAAAATATATTAAAAAATTCTTAACTATAAACCATTTTCTTACATATTTTTCATACATCAAATCAACCCTAACCCCTCCCAACCATGCCGGGGGGTGGGGTGGGGGAATTAAAAATGAACAATACATGTACCTTATCTTTGCTGTATTCAACCATGGCAGCAGCAAATTTTCTTGGATCATCGCCTGATACTGTTATAGCTCCTGGTTGTTTAGTCATGTAGGCTTTATTACCAATAATCTGTTCGTTGCGTCTAAAAAATAAAATACATTCAAAATTTCATGTATTGTTACATAAAATAGATTTTGATAAAATAAAAAGGACAGATATTACAGCCTAGATTCTATATGCCATGAACATTGGCTATCAATATGAATCCCAAAAAGTCTTAATAACGGAAAATATATCCAAGGCAACCAAAACCTCCAAAACAACCACCTTTTTTGCTTGATTAGCATCATCATGTTTTAAATTATGTAAATACCAAGTGCACCAGAAGCAAGACAAACTTAAGTCAAAATCTTAAACTGGCATACTCTACCGGTATTTAAATGGTAAAAGGATGAATTATGAATTTATGTGAATTTGTTCAGCCAATAATGATAGCATCAACCTACTCAATGTGTTCAAAGTCACCATATGATGATCAAGTTATTCCAACCTCGATGGAAATAGCCAGTGAAGGACAAAGATTGTATTATGGTCTAAAGTTAACCATCCAGCTCTCTAAATTTGATGAAAACTTACTTCTGTAACCAGTGTACGCAATCTTCACACCAGTCAATAACCTGTTCAGCCAAACCCTCTAATAATCCTTTCTGTGCTACTTGTACAACAAACTCTAAATATCTCGCTCTGCGCTTAAACTTCACCACTAAAATAAATACAACATTTCATCCAATGGAGATGTAAGAAAAAAAATGTGTAAGGTGGCACACATGTGCGGATGATTAAAATTATTAAAATAAGTCACCAGAGTTCAAGAATGCTACAGACAGTACATCAGATAAACTACTTTCAAAGCCCAAAACTGTTCAACTAGTCTCTTATGGTCAGCGCTCTTTTAGTTATCAAGCACCTGTTTTATGGAATAATCTACCATTTAGTTTAAGATGTTGTACATCTCTATATTCTTTTAAAAAACAACTTAAAACACATTTATTTAATCAGGCTTTTAACTGACTCTGTATACAATCGTTAACATGCCCATAATCTTGTTGTTTATGTGTGATTTACATTGTCACTTTGTAAAGTGCCCCTGAACATGTTATATGAAAAGGTGCACTATAAATATGCTGTAATAATAATAATAATAATAATAATATTAGACTTAATTGATGGCAAATGATATTGAATCAAACAATACATTTTTAGCAATTGGTGGATATCAATGAAGAAGAGTTCCACTTACCTTCCTTATGTGCCGATCTAGCTGGTAAGAAAGCTATATAAGCATGTAATATATTAGGATCTTCATTACCAGATAATTCCATCTCATTCTGAGCTGTAGACACAAAATATACAAACAATCAAATTTAATCACAGCAAGATTTACATGCAAAAATTAAAATACTAGGCCTAAAAATAAATATCAGGTGAAGTACAATGTTACATGAGATGACTGAAGCAGCAAAAAAATCTGTCTACTTACAAGCTTTAGTAAGTCGTAGAATATGGGCCTCTAAAGCTTTCAGTTCTTCGTTAATTACAGGTTCTATCTCATCTTTAGGATTAAATAATCCAACCTTTTTATGCCTTCGTTTTTTAAGGGCTTGTAAAGTAACAGGTGTCGTGTCAACATTAATTTCTACGGTCGGACTGTCTGGTTGATCAACTGACTTATCTCCACCTCCTTCCTGTTTAACTTCTTTATCCAGTCCTTCAATAGCCAATAATTTCCTTCCAGCTTCATTTATACTGTTAGCTAATGTCTTCTGACCCCATGTTCTCAGTGCCTAAAAAATACAATGAACTATTCAATTCACCAATAGACGGGATCCAAGTGACTGTGTTGTTAGGAACTTCAGTCACAACGCGACTATCTCAAGGTCAAATCCTGGTGTTGGTTAAGAAGAACTGTCTGGACCTTAACTGACTTGTAATCAGGAAATATAACGGCTGAAGTCAAATGTAGTGTAGGAGTAAATAGTCACGATGTAATGTAACACTTGTGTAACTATTTTCCTAACTTTTGACCTCAATTAAAGTGTTAAGCCGAAAAGGGAGATAATTAGAGCTTTATTTTCATTTTCACCACTGGTAGTGTCCTATTGGTGTCCAAGTAAATTAAACATACATTATGCAAGAGCTAAGCTAAATTGCAGGTCTTTCTTTAGGCCTGAAATGTTATCTAAATTATCAATTAGACATTAATTAACTTATCCAGACCATAATAACCTCTCGCTGCCATTGCTAGCCTGTGATATTTAGCGGATTGGAATACATTTTTTGAAAAATAATTAAATGTAAAAATGGATAATCAAGACTGTTTTTTATCGTACCGACTTTAGTAATGATGATCGAGGCTAGCCTAAAATTCAAAAGCTAATATTTTAGTTCAGAGTGGTGTAATTTGACTGAAATTTTCAGCATATTCTACTTATGTTATCGAGAACTGTCAACTCTTTATCTAATCTCCCTTAATTCCCCTTTAATAGGAAAGTTTCCATGAGCTGAGATTAAGGAATCAATAGACTAGAGTGACATTAGTGTTGGATTCACTTTGCTAGAGTAATAAAAGCTAAGATAATGTTACATTTTGGTTGAGGTCAAAACATTGAGTCATTGTTAAGTTTAGAGCTAAAAAATTAAGTAAAAAAAAAAGTGTCAACTGCTTATCTCACGTGAATTATAAAATTATTCCTTTAATAATGTACTTAGAGGTAGATAGAACAAAATTATGGAAAAAATGACCATGAATTTTAATTTTAGAATTTTAAATATATTTTCCAAAGTGTAACCTTTTTTCTAACCTGAACATCAGATTAAGGGGCTGGGGCTAACTCTTTTACTGACACAAACCCTAACACTGCACAAACTTTCTGTTCTGACCTCACCCATTTTAGGTGAATTTCTTAAACTCATGAAAAAAATATTCTGTGTGGTTTTAAAGATGTTTTATCTTACAACTTTTCAGTTCTATTGAACATTCAACAGGTACAACATCAGGGCTTACCACAAGCAAATTGGAGGCGAGTAGATGACTACTCACGTAAATATAGACTTGCGCGAGTGAGGCGAGTACATGTATTTACTCACGCAGAATGATGTGCGTGAGTAGCCATTTAAATTTCATGTGCCTAATGGCAATGCTCTTGTCACTTCGATGGAAGCAGACGTTGAATAAAGCTATTTCACACACAATGGCAATGCATACTCTTTTATTTCCTAATAGTTCATGATATTTGACGAAACTTTTCCTTTAGTAGACAAAGATTTTAAAAAGTTACTATTTCTAGCATATAATTTACAAAAGACATGGCTGACAACCGCTTTTTGTTTTATGTGGTCGAATTCTTCTTTATATCCAAATGAATTCTGTAAATCGTCTTCCCATGACAAGAACGTTGCAAGGGAAACTGGGTTTCCCTTTGCCATCATTGGCGTGCTGAGGGGATTCGGGTAAAGCTTAGAAAGGTAAAAGAACAGGCAAAACAATTTCAATCCCATCAATTTGCAGAAAAGATGCGGGATCGAAAGAATTGCTATAGAAACGACAACATCCGCTCAATTTTTGATTATCCAGACACGGCAAAGGACATCCGCTTAAAAACCGCCTGGCAGTACGCGTCTCAAAGTATTTTTAGTAACAACAGGTGGCACTGGAAAGACACGCCGCGTGCGCAATAGTGCATCAATATGAAGGCATACAAATTGTTTACGGCTTTTTTTATTACGATATTCCATTATTTCGGAATAAATTATCTTTTATATTTGCGCGAGTACTTAATCACTCACGTAAATTTGGTTTTACGCGAGCGTAGCGTGCGCGCGAGTAATTAATCGCATCTCGTGGCAAGCCCTGCAACATTGTACATCATGTAAAACTACACAGATTTTTTCCCCTGAGTTTGAGGAATTCGCCTACATTATGTCTTCTACATTTCTCGATACCCCCTGCAATTACAGATCCTCTTGGAATTAGATTTGATGCAGGATTCTTTCTCACCCTGCTGTAAGTCTTTCTCTAACCACTAGTGGCGCTGCTTGGGAAATATTTCTATAAAATTCGCTTAACTTACCCTTGCCATATGAAATGTAATACATGCTGTCATGTGATGTAGACTATCACCGATATGACCTTGACGTTTTAATATTAAACCTGTTGGTATCTCCTGTAACACAGTGTGACTTCTCTGTAATATCTACAAGACAATTAATAACTAAATCAGACCTTAAATCAAATAGCAAACATATAGAACAAATTATTTCTTTAAATTTAACATACTTAATTTCCACACAAAACAAACATAGCAATAACTTAAGTGGAGAAAGATGCAATTCATCGATCCCCCCAATGGGATTTGGACAGATAACTTAACTTCTCATCAACACAATACACTTTGGTAATTTCTACGGAGAGAAACTTTCCATGTACATGGATCTTTTTTGCATAGTCATTTAAACAACTATTACTAGCTTTAATAGCCCTTGATCAATCCTGAAGTTTCTACTGGTACTGCAGCCATTCAATGTGGTATCAGTTGATTTAAACTAAAGTGCATTCAATTGACAATTAGATGAAAGCAAAAGGTAAGCAAAGTGACAAGATTACTTGAAATAAATTTTTTAAATTATTTTTGTTTACCTGTATGACACTATGTGATGGTATTTTATAAAATAAAAGTGGTGCCAATAAACCGTAACACTGTATTACACACTGTAATGCTAGATTAGCTTCATTTAACCAACCGGATAACTCAATACCGATCAATAACTTCTCACATTCAACCAATCGTGACACCTGTAACATAAATCATACTATATTATAATCTATTATCTTTAATAACATTGAACTTTAAGAAAATAAGTTGAATTAAAATAACTCCAAAGAATGTTTCAATTTTAAACTAAACTTTGGCCATAATTTACTTTGGGTATCACAGTCACACTGTTGACAGAAGTTCTCAGTGACCCTTTGTGATTATAACATCTACTAAAGGATTAAACAAACTTTAATAATAGTAAGAATAGTGTGTATGGCCCTGACTTTTTATAGATTTATTACTAAACTACACTTGCCTGATTCTTGTAAAGAGGACCTTTATCACAGAGAACATCACAGAAGAGTTGTCCTTCCCTGATACTGACATCAGTGTTAATAAATATACTAGTTAAAAACTGACGTAATAAAACTGGTGATGACAGACAAATAGCTCTCTGATTTAATCTAGAAAAAAATAATTGTGAAATAAACTGTAGTTTAAAAGACAATGACAAGTGTGATGCCTTAGGCAGGGTACACATACTCTTTCCAGAATACAGGTTATTATTTATCATTGTCCTTAAAATATATTCCCCAGGTCCTTGAAATTTGGTCAATTAGACCTGGGAAGGCTGGGAGATAATGCTAAAATCAAGCTAGCTTTCGTATTTATGCTTTAATTTTAATTATCAAATATTTCATATAATGTACTTACTTGTTCAGTGTCAACTTAAAATCATTTTTATCCGGTGTAACATAAGTAACCCCAGTTGGTTCAGGTTTCTCCATGACAAAATAATCCCATAAAAAATCAAATGCTTGTCTTGTCACATTGTAAAATCCTACTTGATAGGATATCTAAAATAGATATAACAATATCTAAGCTCCTGATATTTCAATGTTTGTTCATTATTTACAGCAGATTATTCACTCATCTGATGGTAAAACGCGAAAATAAATTTGTTCTACATAAAGAAGCTAAACCTAAGAAATTTGTTTATTATTCAAAATAGGAATGATAAGTTAAACATCTTCAAATCAGCATCTCTTCTTATTTTTTAATTCTGATATATATAGTTATTTTCATTTTTTTTTTTGTAATAGGATAGATTTAGTTTCCTTGCTTCTGACCAAAAATGTATGTTCTAAGAAATTTGAATTGATAGAGAATCTTGAATGTGGACTTGTTCATACCTGTACTAAAATTGCCCATGTCATTAAGACTGGTAAAGGGTGGGATGCTAAAATAGGTTTACTTGTATTTCCAACAGATCCTATTATATTTCCTTCTGCATCGTATGCAGCTACAGCAAATACATATTGTTCATTCGGTATTAATCCAGATACATGCATCTCTGTATGAACAGCAGGAACCTAAAGAAAGAAAGGAATTTTTATCATATTTTAAAAAAGATTTCAATGAACAATGCTAATTTAATTTAACAACATGTGCTGTGCATGAGTCAGGGTATGCTTACTCTTTCTAAAACACCTGATACCACTACTTGTTCAGGAGTTCACACAGCTAACAAATGATTGTTGTACCTTTGTATTATAACCATGTTGAATGAACTTTAGTATCAACAAGCCAACAGTCAGGCTAATGAACATTACATCAAGTTTAAACATTCTACCTCAATTAAAAGCAGAGTTGTTACGTTCCAAAGTCTCAACCAATCAAATTGCTTATCACTAACCTGATCACCTGTACCAGGTAGATTATAATCATTAACACGAACTTTAATATTACTACCTATAGCATTACGACCAAACAATCTATACCATGCAACCTGTAAATATAAATTTTAAAACAGAATTAAAGCAATTTATTATAATTTACGCAGACAAAAGTTAATTTGTAAAATAAATATCCTTTACTTTCGTAAACCAAATATGCATAAAAGGAAAATGCAAATTGTGTTGAAATGGTTACCAATACAATTAAAATCAGATGCATGCGTTGTGAAGATAAAGATGAGGGAGGGTATTGCCCATGTAATCTTTTTAGTAGTTCCAAGGGTTTTAAACCCATTCCCATTCTACAACTACAATTTTCTTACACAGAAAATTAGCAATAATTGACTATGAGCTTGAGTAAAGTGTTTTTTCTACCTTTTGTCCACTAGCTGGTCTGTATGGGGCAGGTCTAAACACCATGGTTGTATCAGTTCTAGATAGTAACAATGGTGGTGGAGGATTCTCACAAGTTTTAACATCTTCAGGATAAAATTGATTATCTAAAAATATTCTCTTTTCTTCTTGTTGAGCTTTCTTAATAAAATTTGCTGATTCCTGTAAAGTGAAACAGATTTACAATTATAAACAGCAAGACAAATACACTTACATGTCAGACAGCTGTGACAATGAGAGGACAATGTAATAACAGATTATGAAAACAATTGGTTATGGTAAATTAAAGTTTTTGTGTTGAAAAGAAATCTGAATGGGAGAAAGAAACCCTGGGGAACAAAATAGCCAAATATGGGCCAATAAGAATAGGTTAACAAAAATGTAACATCACCTCAAGAAGTTTTTTCTGTTTTCCATTATAAAATCCACCATTAGAAGATAACAAGGCACTCTCCATATACAATAAAGCTCTAGAAATATTATTTTTTTTACAAGCTGCACTTAATTCATCAAAATTATTGATATAGGCATCATCAGTTTTGTCAATTTCCACCTACCAAAAGATAAAAACACAGAAAATAATTTGGAACAATGCAGCCAAACTGCATAACAAAATATAAATTCAAAAGTTAACATGAATCAAGCTGCGGGTTATATGAAACCACCACAAGACAATTTCCCTCTAGTTATAAAACTAATGATGTATTGGCAATGAATACCATAATATGATTTTTAGCTTTTTAAATTTATGACATTTTTTTTCTTAAATTTATGACATATCTTTATTAAATTTATGACATTTTAAATTTATGACATTTTAAATTTTTTTATGACATTTAAAATTGATGACATAATTTTTTTAAATATTTTATGACATAACTTTTTAAAATATTTTATGACATAACTTTAAAAAAAAAAATTAAAACATAATTTTTTTTAAAAACTTCAAATTTATGACATATAAAACTTTAAAATTCATGACATATAAAACTTTAAAATTCATGACATATAAAACTTTAAAATTCATGACATATAAAACTTTAAAATTCATGACATATAAAACTTTAAAATTTATGACATAATTTTTAAAAATTTATGACATAATTTTTAAAAATTTATGACATAATTTTTAAACATTTATGACATAATTTTTAAACATTTATGACATAATTTTTAAAAATTTATGACATAATTTTTTAAAAAATGTTATGACATAATTTTTTAAAAAATGTTATGACATAATTTTTTAAAAAATGTTATGATATAATTTTTTAAAAAAAATGATATGTTATAATTTTTTAAAAAATGTTATATAATTTTTTAAAAAATGATAAGATATAATTTTTTAAAAAATGATATGATATAATTTTTTTTTAAATTTATGACATGTTTTGTTTAAATTTTTGACTTTTGTTCAAATATATTGGGCTCTAAAGAATTTGAAATGTGATTCCCCATTTACATTCAAATATGGAAGTTAACTTACAGTTGAAGAACCTCCTTTTTTCTTTTCCATGGCAGATTTTGATATATCTTCTGCAAAACACATGGTTTATAAGATAACAGAAATTGATTATTAAACATGCATTATGTAAGATTTAGATAAGAAGCTGACAGTTCTCGCTTAAATAGTTAAAAAAAAAAGATAATGAAAATGGAATATGTTGAAAATTTCAGTCAAATTACTTCATTCTGAGAGGAGTTATCATCGTTCGCAAAACGGTGTAGTCTTGGTTGTCATTGCTACCGTTGCTATGATAATAAATAAAAGTCTTGATTATCCAACCTTAAATTAAATCATTAATTGCCAATCTTATTTAAATCGGTTGAAAATCAAAACCATCCGAAGTTCTAGCGAGTTGATCATGGGCCTGGCGTGTAAATAAATGTCTAATTAATGATTTATATAACACTTGAGGCCAAACAAAAGATCTACATTAGGCAGATTTCGCTCTTGAATAATGCATCTTGAACAAATGAAATCACAGACCGGCACATTGGCCCAAGGTTTCCATGTAATATCTGAAAAAAATACTGATGTCCAAAAGTAACTATACCAAGAAAAATATAATTACATTTAAATCCATGATTTTATAAAAAAAAATGTCCCCTATGTATATTCAATTTATTCAATGACTTAAGGCCCTGTTTAAATTGACAGATATCTTACAAGGTTTATCTATAATAGCCACTCAGATCTTTGGTACAGTTTTTTTTTACATCAGAACACAGTGAAAATAACTGAAAAGGTGTAGAGGTTACAGGATGACAAATAACAACATTAGAATTTTGATGCCTGATCAGTTAATAATATAGCTTACCTTGTTTTAGAGCAGCTAGTTTTAAACAAACTCTATGATACATCAACAACAATTCTAAATGTAAATCCTTGACTGTATTCCATACAGATGTAGCCGATTCTTTTAGACTATCCGGAATGAGATCATCCACGTTTATTTCTTCACCTATATCTGATACTTCATAGTTTAACTGATGTTGAAAAACCTCTGGATTCAACTCCTAAAAGTATAAAACTAAAATTATCATTTTGTTCACAAATTTCGATCCATATTATTAGATCATAAGCAATCAATGATTATCTGAAATATTTAATATATTAGCACTGAATTGGGATTCAAATACTACCCCAAGCTCAAATAATTTCAACTAGCAGTGTGAATTACCAGCAAGTCAATGGATTGAACACTACTGATTTTTGTATAGTGATTGACAGGCTTTCAGAATGTCATTGCCAGTGTTTTAATAAGCTAATTTGAGTCAAAACAAATTGTATTTGGGTTTGTGCATTATGCAATTATGTGAAAATAAATACAATTTTGAAGCTATTATATAGATATGGAATTCAAAGATGTGAATAATAATGATAATAATCATAATTTACATTTATGATCGAGCCAACTCCATCCATATTGCATGCTCTAAGTGCATGGAAGATAATAGCTAATCCTGATAATAAGGCACAACCAACAAGGGCTTATTTTGTGAGCGAAGTGGTCGATTTGGTTGATATGATTGAATGAGATCGTGAGGTAAGATGGGGAAAGATCGTGTTGACATATATAAACCAATGTTAAAATCTTGAAAGTTATCCGGAATTTTGCCCTGGCAGCGGCACTATGGACTACTCTTATATCAAATTCCAACTGCCAAGGGATCTGTTAAATGCACGCCAATGTATACATGGGACCTCAGTTTTTATTCACATATGAACGACTAGACAGCTGTCCTTGTCAGGCCCCCCGTCCTGCACCACTGACAAGAAACCACATCGAAAAATCCCGATGGACTTTCTCAGTCAATGCAGGGATCAAAACACAGGGATCATACGGATACAGAATAATATAAGAAGATCTCATAGTTGTGGTTCAAACCATATAACAAATACTCACTGTTGTGGAGTCCTAACATCATTATTGATTCCCAAAACTACTGATTAAGGCATCAGAATTGTGCTAAATTTTTGAGGTACTAAATACAGAAGTCTTGAATCCACAGCTTGTGAGTTCTTATTAAAATGGCATTTTATTTTTTTTCAAAAATTCTATTTCAGTAAAGACAAATTAATTGCCTTTTCAACTTTTAGTTATAATAAAGAAATGAATCGTTCAAGAAAACACCAAATATTGATTTTCTAGTGATTGCTATAGAAAGATTTATTAGTTCAATTCAGTTGCTTTAATGGTGTGCTAAATCACAAATGTGTATGTGCTGTCATTACATGCAACTGTGTCAACACTTACTTGCATGTGGTATATGGTATGTGCTTTAGTTTAGTATACTTTTGTGCTACTGTGGGTGCAAAACAATAGATATGCAAGATTGGAGAGAGCAACAGGATCAGACTCAATACTATGAATACAAGCCTATCAATTTCTGCTTCCATTCCAATAACTCATGCTCTAGTAAATGGCAGTAAATGACCAAGGCCATGTTTTATGAAGTGCAGCAGTAAAGTTCAATGTCTAATTCAAGAATACATAAGTCTTCCCCACACTTTGAGCAATGTTGGCACCAAAGTCCAACATTTAATAAAGCACACACAATTATAACTCTTTGACTTACCCCTGGTAATAACGTTGATGTATCATTTAGAACGCTCTGTAATCAAGGCAAGAGAGAAACAGAAGAAAAACAGATCAACATATAAAGTAGAAAGATTTAAAAGACATAAAAGGCAATACAGAGAAGTAATATAACAAAAATATTTCTAGATAGTGAAAATAAATAGTAATAAACAAGATAATCAAAAGCTGATTAGGGAAATTAAAATCAAAGAAAAATTAAATGAAGACCAATAAATAATAATAAAGGAAAATGAAACAATGATAGAAGTCTAAGAATGTGTAAGATTTACAGTCAAATTACAGACAACCCGCCACAACCTTAAGGTATCAATATTTGAAAATATTTTCAAATAATTACCTTAACCCAGCATACATCAGCTATAGACTTCCCATCATTCAACCCAACTGTCTGTCGAGCGTAGGACATATCTATTAGACCAAGTTCTAGAATGGATTTAGTGAGCAAGAGTTGACCTTTGGCACTGATATTTCCAGGTGGTGATAATATACTAATTCGACTGTGGTTAATTTCTGTAGGACAAATATCAGTAAGGGTTGTCTTTGAATCTTTTAATGCTGTTTTATCCCCTAAAATACAAAAACACAGAGATATTTAAATTCAATGTATATCGCAACAATTTCAAGATAATTCATAGATGGTGGCTTTTCAGGTCCCTTAATACACCCTGCAGCAAAGAATTCATCTGTATTCAATATTCCATAAAGAATCTACCCTGTATCTCGTTTTCAAGCTTTAAAAGTCAAAATGTGAATGGAACATAATTCTGCAAAATGTGTTGCAAACTTAGAGGAAAATAACTTGATCATTTTTGATCGAAATGTTCTTAAGGTTCCCTCTTAAGCTTCAATGAACAATCAAATTGTTTATTGTGACCCAAGAGAAATCACCGTAAATTTGAAAAGAAATCTGTGGAGAACTCTGACCTTTAGCATGTTCAAATGGACGTAGGTGACAATAATTTACGTCCAAATTAAAAGTGGGCATATAACAACTCTATTTTTCTGTGAAAAATATCTGTGAATAGAGTCTTAAAAGTTTCAGGAAGATATAAGAGAGAGCATAAAATATAACAACTCTATTTTTCTGTGAAAAACATCTGTGAATAGAGTCTTAAAAGTTTCAGGAAGATATAAGAGAGAGCATAAAATAACATACTTTTAATGAGTGTTCATTTTAATTTTATCCTGTCTATGAAAAATATTTGCATTGAATAAATTTCAAAAAAATAAATTAATACAAATTTTGATTAGCACAAAATAAATTTAGGATAGCTGAAAGAAGTTTAAAACAATATCAAGCTTAATCAATCCTAAATATTACCCAAAACCAAAGCTGATGGACTTTTAAAAAATAAAAGTAAAGCAACTTTTTGTTTGAAGCTAACCAGACTCCATGAGTTAATTTTCCCCCTTTCCTATTGTTGTCAAGATGCAATTATGTCTGTTGATTGTGTTCCTTATACAAGACATACTTGAATTATATGTATTCTTTGGAAATATCACTGGAAAATCTTAGCGATGCCAGTGTAATGAGGTATCAAAAATAAATAAAAAGAACAGAAAGGAAAAATGTGACAACAAAACTGCAAAATACTACAAGAAAAACCCACAAAAACACTAAATACTAAGAACAGAAAGGACAAAAGTGACAACCGTGAAATACTACAAGAAAAACACACGAAAACCCGAAGGTTAAATAAGAACAGAAAAGACAAAATGTAACAAAAAACCCCACTAAAAACTACAAGCTGGAAATAAACAGCTACTAAATTCTAACATCTTACTTTTATTAAATATAGAACTTGGTTGGCTACTTGATTTATTTTCATCTGTGGAAACTTCTGTTTTATTCTTCTTACCTTTATATTATACATTAAATGGTATGTACACTTCTTTTTTCGGTTTTAAATTTTCAGGGTTTAATTCAGATTCACCATTAGTTTCACATAGCTTAATTTTTCTACTTCTATTTGCAATTTTGGATTTTTCAGGTATTTAGGCACAAGAATCCAACATGCAAACCATTTTTCTGTGGCTGTTAAAGCAAGACTATACAGGTAATGAGGGCTAGAATGTTTACCAGTTCTTTTATTTAACTTACTGTAATTCTTTAGGTTGTTACAAAAGCTAGTCAATAAAATGGGCTGGTATTTGTTTACAACTGTTCTATTTATAGCATCCTGTCTTCATTTGCCCAGTTGGAGCAGAACAATAGGACGTTAAACCCCATTTCATTTCATAATTGTCCATGAAAAAAGCACTGCAGATTTAAGTTGAGATACATGCAAAAAAAGCAAGTGATACTTATGCTTTCTACATGGTGTCATTTTGTACAGGACTAACAATCTCTAGTCATGTCTGCTTGGATGCATAGTTTGCGGTTTTGAATATTTTATACTCACCATCCATGGTGTCAAGATAAGCAGAACTTTCATAGAACATTGCCAGACGTAGAACAACCTCGGCTGTTAGAGCTGGATCAACAGAACTAACACCACACCAACATAATGTCTGATGTACTGTATCTAATAAATACATCCACTGTAATCATAAATAAGTAGAATATTTTTAAAATCTCAAGGTTGTCATAAATGGTTGTCATATATCTTTAATTGCACATTCATACAAATGCAAGCCGCATCGACATTACTATGAACGATTGAAATGTAACATGTTTCTGGTCCTACTGATCACATACAAGAACCAACATAAGCAGGGTTGTTTTGGTTTTTTTGTCAATAACAACGAAAGTATTGCAAAAAGTTATTGGCACGGAAAGTTATGTTATACAAGGACTGGCTGAAAAGTTCTAAGCCACTCTGTGAAAGACCTGTACAAAGTCGATGGTTTCTATTTATTTTTCAACATAGTCCCCTTCGAGGTGTACACACTTTTACAAGGCCTGGATGCCGGTCAGGGAGAATTTTTCATCAGCCACCCTAAAAAAAAAAGTCTTGACTAAAATATTATCAGGATCTGCTTCAAAACGTGACGTCAGGAATCTGGCACGTTTCTGATCTTTGACACTCATCTTGCAGAAACGTTTGTATTCCTAACTTGTTGGCAATAATGTGCTCAGCTCTCTCATGAGAGATGCCCACAACACTGGCAATATGTCAAGTGGTCAATTGTCGATCAGCTATCACCATGTCATGCACCTGGGTAATGTTTTCTTGAATGGTTGTTGTTGATGGCCTTTCAGAACATGGGTCATCCCCAAGGCTCTCTTCTGCCATGCTTAAACTCTGTGGAAAAGGAAGAATCATCGTCCCCTAAAGTGGAGACCATGTTGGCATGTATCTGTGTTGGGGTTAGTCCTTTCAATTGCAGGTACTTGATAACTGCCCTATAGCCAGTTTTGTCCATTTCTGGTGATTTCAATGTGTAGGTTCACAAGATGGTCTGGTTCAAAGACAATAATAACAGTTGCAGTTCTTATGTCTATGATTCATTCAATGATTGTACTTGTTGGTGGCAAAAGTTCGTTTCAACCCAACTGATCTATCCATTTCAGGCTTAGAACTTTTAGCCAGCTCTCATAGATAAGCATATTTTACACAACATTTAAATTATTTTCTAAACAACCGACAACAATATGGATAACTGAAATTTTGACAAAGCGCTGTATCACTGACTGATTTAAGATGGAGGCATAGCCTATATTTCTTTTTTCTTTGACTCTATACATAGGAGAGTAATATGAATAGATGGCATATTGTCGTAATTATTCTAATGTTTGAGTGTTCAAACAATCCCCATGAAAACTGATTTTAAGTTTACAATATGTTACCTTATGTGGTTGATCCATCTTGTAAAGATATCGTGGATTATCAACAGAACCTGTTTGATATTTCTGGAAAACAGTTTTACATTTATTCCATAAGAACAGCGCAGCATCAACAATTATATCAATCTCTACTTCCGATTTCTGTAAAAATAAATCATTCAAAAATGAAAGGTTTAAAGAAAATTCTATAAAAATGGAATCTTTTTTTATCAGAGAAAATTCTATAAACATGAAATCTTTTTTTCTCAAAAGAAAATTCAATAAAAATGGAATCAAATTTTGCTAAAACTAGAATATTTCATAACTTAAAACGAGAATACAAAAGCTTCATAGTTTGACACATCCAAATAAACACATTTGATAATGATTATAATAAATTTACACAACTTCACTGAGCAGCAGGGGCGGATTGGGGCTGGGAGCCGGCCCGGGCTCCCGCGTCGGAGTGGCCCCTTGGGAAATTTTAAAAAATGAACCCCAAATATGCGATTTGGTGGCATATCTGATTATAATCACTGTCAAATAATATATCTCATAAATCGATTAATTTAGGCCAAAACCCTGACCTGCAAGTAATTTACAACCATCACCCTGTGAAACTATCATATCGTCATATTATTAATTAACGTATTATCATTGTATCGTCAAGAGTCAAGAGAATTTAACTGGTTAAAAAATGGGACTAGTTGAGAAAATTTTGACCATTTGATAAGTTAGGAATATTGAATAAGTAGGAATATTTTCATTGAAAAATGTCCAATTTTTGTTGCCGGGAGCGCTAGTTGATACCTCCTATGATGGTAGGCCACGAGGCAAATTGGTACAGTTTGGCGAAAGTGAAATTCGTGAAAGCTGCTTTTTGAATTTTGGATTTTTTGTTCCAGGTAAATTATTTTACCTTGACTCCGAACTTGAACATTTGACACACTACATATTGATTAATGAACATAGCATTAGTTCAGATAATGAATATTCGAGTATAAGGCCAGTCCCGACATCCCAATTCTGTAATTTCATCTCTGAAAATAACGAGTTAATAAAAATCTCAAGGAATGTTTAACACCAGCCTCAGGAAATCGTCTCGCCCTCATATTCAGCCAGGAGACCAGCTATCATCAAATTTTGCTGAGGCCTTAAAATTGAATTTTTTTCGGAGTTACGAACCATCGTCAGACATTTCTTGCGTATCCCTACAAACAGGGTGCAGGTGACTTAATAATTAGTAAATTTGATGGCAACAGTGTCGGGTGAATCCGATAAAATTTTCGGATGGAATTCGGAATCCCCATTGCAGGATTCCGAATTCCAGCCCACACCCAGCGCACCCGGCCCAGAAAGTCTATTATACCAGCCCATTCCAGACTCCAGTGATGGCGTGGCGGCCCGTTATAGCGCAAGCGAATTATTGAAATAAAATTAAACAATATGTTAGTCCCGAAATGACCTAGTTTGTGTCGAGTGGACCTTAAACCCCATTTCTCTCTCTCTCTGAGCAGCACATTGTTGATGGAGAGAGAGAGAGAGAGAAGAAATGGGGTTTAACATCAACTCAAAACAAACTAGGTCATTTCAGGACTAACATATATATTGTTCAATTTTATCTCACTAATTCTTTTGCGTGTATGGGTCTTTAGGAAACATCAGGACCTGGCAAAAAGCCACAAGGTTGGAAAGGCGACCCAACTCCTTGTCACGTACAAGCTGGGTATCAAAACAACGCCACTTAACTCACTGGCAGATCTTATGGTCATTAGGCCATCCAAACATTGATAGTTAAAGGAGCACAGGTGTTGCATAAATTCATTATTACATTAGACTTACAGTACTTCATTTTCCTGAATTTTTATTTTCTGTACTTACTTTAAATGAACCTGATACTATGGATACTAATACATCAGCTAAGTTGATATGATCATCATGCATTCCTGTTGACTTCATTGCTGTCCCTAAAATATTTCGGTATTTAATGTTAGTAATTTGTCTATCAGTTTAAACATACATTATGCAGGAGCTAAATCTGCCTATTGCAGGTCTTTCTTTAGGCCTGAAATGTTATATAAACTATTAATTAGACATTTATTAACAAAACAAGACCATAATCGACTCTCGATGGCATCAGATACTCAAGATTTTAACTAGATTAGAATGGTTCGCCATTTAAAAATTTAATTTAAAAATAGGAAAGCGAGGCTAAGTCTCAAATATACCAGTGCCCTGGTTACCACAATGCACACATCTTGTCAAAACTACAAACAGGGAAGTAATTTGAATGAAATTTTCAATATTTTACATTATCTATTTTTGAGCTATTATAGCAAGTATAGTCAGCTCTTTATCTAAATCTTACATAATGTATCTTTAAAAGTTATTTTCATATTAATTTTTCATTAAAATTTTCTAAAACTGGGTTTAGCTTGAAATTATTCATTGTTTGTAAGGAAAAAAAAGGACTGGAGGTTTAAGACAAACATATGGTCATTTTTATCATGGTCATGTGTGCAATGTGAATTATCCAGCCCATCTCATCTGGTGATGCCAGAGAGAATGTGTATAAAGTTAACCTGGTAGAGAGGTTGTATTTGGATCAGGAGGTAATTGTCCTTCTTCTCCAAGTTCATCTGTAATAACTGCATTCTTCTTGTGTTTTTTATTACTGTTTAATTTCTCCATGGCTAATAATAATTCTAACGCTTTCTCATGCCAAAAATATTCTTCCTCATTTAATAACTACAAATAAAATAACATTGGCTGATTAGTTAATCCTTGTATAAAAGCCTCAGCTAAGGTTTCTGCTCCATATCTCAACTTTGACATCTCATCAGGAATATTCAATCAAAGTTCTATACTGATTTTGTAGATTCTTTCACATTGAAATCAATGAGGACATATCTAAGTAAGAAGCAATGGTTATCAGCACTATCAGCTCATTTACCATTGCTACACTCAGTATGGTAAAGAGGTTTATCTGATCAGTTATTTTCCCTTGAAGTCTGGTTCAAAAGAAACGCTTAAAAATAATGTTATTTGCACTTACACTCAGATGAGATAATATGGGTTCCACTAGAGAATCAAAAACTTCCCAATGTTCATAATTGTAGGCTAATTTAACAAATTTAATTGCTGCACTGATAGGTATACCATCTTCACCTGTAATATATAATTGCAATAGATGTTAAAATGCAAGAACTAAAGATTAACTTTCTCCTGGACTATCACCATCTACTAATTAATATATTGTTAAAAGCACTGTATATTTATGTGGTTTTTTTTGGGGGGGGGGTAGTATCTATTGTCGGTCCCTTTTACAGTGAGATTCAAGAAATTAGTGGACATGTTTTGGGAGCTAATGGTTAGTGTTAAAGAGCGTATAAAATGACCACATTGAAAAAATTGAAAAGTGTTTACACCATCTGACATAAACGGTAATATATCGAATAATTTTTAATTAGGATTAGTGTGAAATTGGTGTAAAGTACATATAGTAAACACTGGTTTCAAGTACATACCCCTTTTATATGAGCACTATATGATTTTCCATAATTAAATATGTCAGATGTTATATTTAGATTATATAAAATTAAATGCATTTATCCTTTTGATGAAAATGATAATCAAATATTTGAGCTCTTAGATGTTTCAGTTACAAATAATTAACAAACCTCTGATAGCCAGGTCCATAAGACTAGCATCTGTTGTAACACCTGATAATGGTGGGGCACCAATAGCAGATTGAGCTTTAGGTCCTGGCAGCTTGTTACCACCACCACCTAAAATATAAAACAATTGATTATTAGTGAACCATTACTGCGATCTTGATAAAAAATTTCAAGATCTTTTACCTGTAGAGTGTTTACAAGAATGGGGCATATAATAAAAAAAGAAAGCTTACCAGCCAATAATTCTTGTCCAATCATAAAAAGTTCTACAAACACATCCAGTACTTCTGGTTCATTATCTTGAGCTGGTGGGGAGGTTAAAATAATTCTTCTATTACTGTCACTTAAACTCTCTAACAACGCTAAAAACTGGGCAGCTGTTCCATCAAACATCTCCGCCATTAGTTTCTCACTTGTGGTTCGAGGCCATGCCGTCTAAAATAAAAATAGGTCAATTAACTTAAAAGTAAAATAACATTCCAACTATTCAAAAGAAAGGGGAGCAAATCTAAAAACAGATGTATTTTGACTGTAACTATTTTGGCTACCCTTTGTAAGGGCAGGGTTTTAATTATCACAGCACTCAACGATCAAGAAGCTCAAGAATAAACACCATTGGAACAGTTTCAATCTCCTGTAGTAATTTCATTCTGAAGCCAATCAAATCTCAATGATTCATTAATATGCTATACATAACACTTTCGTCTTAGAAATCGATTATTAATACTTTTTTTTTTTTTTTTTTTTTTTCATTTCTCACTTCAACCATTTTTTTTTTAGCATAAGATAGTAACATCTCAGCAGATATGGGTTTACCATCAAGATTTGGGCAAAATTTGACTATTGTAGGAGTGCTAATAGCACACAGTATCTAGTACTTACATTAATAACATCTTTATAATTTGTTCTAGTTTTAGGTCGTAACAAGCCTTTAGGTTTTCTTCGAGTTTCAAACACAGATCTTTTATAAACCATGATGGCCATTTTAATAGTTGACTCACGAAAGGCTATCATTATTTGTGGATTTTCATCAGCATTGCTCATCATCTCCAGCTGACTTAATTCATTTATTTTAGCCAAACCTCTTCTTGCAAATGCCTGAAAATAATTTTTATAATCATATAAAATATATTTTAGCTTCAATTTTGACTATTTTTTACATTATAGGACAATAATCACATAAAACAAAACTTTGCATGCAAGCCTTTATATTATTACTAAAATGAATTCTAATACACCTAATTTTGTTATACATTGTCTTCTGTTGATTTGATGAGCTTGAAAACTATATGGAGATGGATGAAAGAGACTTACCTCTGCATGTTGTCCAGCCTTACAGTCATAATAACATTGACAAACCGCTGTATATAATGTAGATCTCCAGGGTAAATATTTTACAGACATTAATGGTATTGATGATTCCATACAAATACTAGCCCATATTACATACTCTAATACCTATACAATAAAATAAAATATTTCATCATTTTAATAATAAAAGTTTAATTGGATACAGGAAAGAGAGACCATCAGGTTATTTCTTTTGATTCAACTTAAAATATGAATAATTTAGATAAAGCTAAAACTTATTAACTGTTTTGAAATTTTCTACACTGATTGGTTTAAACATTGAACAATATCAGAATAAAAATGTTGAAAAGAATAAATATCAAACTTGTATTACTGCTTGGGATATCAATAATATTACCTGAGCTGAATGTCCTAGTGACATCAAATGTCTAGAAATCGTGTAGATATGAATTGATCCTGGAAATGATTAATTTAAAATTATTTTTCAAATTTTAAGTGTTTTACTTCTCCTGTATAGGCTACTACCAGTACATTTTTCATGATTTAAACTATACTATTCAAAAAAAGTAGGGGATATTTGATTTTTAAGTGTTGTTAAAGTCACCTAATGAAACTGACGAAGAAACAAATGACAAAATGAAATGAAGTTCACATTCATCGATTTATTCCAAATGATCGTTAGACTAAGTAAGGCACAGACTGACCATTATAAGGGTAAAATGATACCCGGGGTCAAACAGCAAAGTTACCACAGCATCACAACCAAGTCAGTAACAGGTAAATCCTCCTCTGTTTGCCAAACAAGCATTGATCCGACGTGGCATACTCCTAATGAGACGTCTAAGGTCATTTTGGTCCAGATTGTCCCATTCCTGTTGCAACGCAGCAGCAAGTTATTGGACATTGGCAGGACGTTGTTGACGTTGGCGTAACCTCTGTCCAAGCATGTCCCAGACATGCTCGATGGGGGAGAGGTCGGGACTCAGTGCTGGCCAAGGTAATGTGGTGATGTTCTGTTGTTGGAGGTAACCTGTAACGATCCTGGCCCTGTGACATCTTGCGTTGTCATCCTGGAAGATGAAACGGCGGCCATGACGTAGTGCGAACGGCACAACATGGACTGCCAAGATGTTGTCTCGGTAGTACTGGCCTGTAACACGCCCTGCAACAACATGTAAAGCCATTCTTCCAGCAACAGTGATGCCTCCCCACACCATAACAGAACCACCCCCAAATCGATCATGTCTGATGACGTTAACGTCTTGGAAGCGCTCGTTTCGTTGACGCCACACCCTCCTACGTCTGTCCAAAAAATCAACAGTGAACCTTGACTCATCTGAAAACATCACATTGCTCCAGCGTCGATTATCCCAGTGTTGACGATCCCTACACCAACGACGTCTTGCCTGAATGTGATGATCTCTCAAACAAGGGATCACGCGAGGACGTCGGGCGCCAAGGTGACCCCTATGCAGTCGATTCCGAATCGTCTGGCCACTCACTCTCACACCAGTGTCTGTTTGAAGACGAGCGCTGATCTGATTTGCTGTGATGACACGATTTCTCAAGGCCAAGGTACGGATAAATCGATCCTGGGCTTGAGTTGTCTTCTTCGTCGACCTGAGCGTGGTCTGTCCTGTACAGATTGTGTATCACGGTATCTGGACCATAGCCTGCTTATGACAGACTGAGAAACATTCATCGTCCGCGCCACAACCGCCTGTGTTGTGCCGATCTGTAGCATGCCAAGGGCACGTAACCTTTCATTTTGGGTAAGCCGACGCATATCAAAATTTGTTTTCTGGTCACTAAAACAATTAAACTGATGTTTCCACCCTGGAATTCAATGCCACAATGACTGTAACATTCAAAGTCAGAGTCGTGCAAATCTTGGGTTGGACCCCCATGATGATCCCAAGCATCACCTGCATTCCATGCGGTAGCTTTTGGTGCGTTTGGGCGTCACATGTAACTGGAAATGTTTCTTCTGTTAAGTTCTATAGTGACTTTTTTCGTAGTCATTTGCATAGTTTAGTATTATGCCCCCAAAATCAAATATCCCCTACTTTTTTTGAATAGTATATTTTACCATTTTAAATATATATTAATAATTTTTCATTTTTGTTTACAAGTACAACTATGAACCAATCTTGTAATTAAATTTTTCTGATTTTTGAAGAAATTGAAAGATAAACTATAAATTTTACTCAGACGATAATCTAATGATTTAACACTTTTATTGAACTTGGCAAAACTATAGGAATAAACCAGCCAATCATGTGATCGTTTTGTAAATACAACTTTACATACTTTAGACTGAAATATTAGTTACTTAAAAAAAATTGGCTGGGTAACTTGATTAGTTAATCCCTGATAAATATGTCGAGTAATTTAATAATTACCATTATAAATAAGCCAACACAGCGGTTCCTTTGGCAAAACAATCTGCATAATTAATCTTAGAAAAGATAAAATCTGTAGACATTCATCTACTGATTGTTTATTCTGCAATTTTGGATCGTTTAACTTCACTATCTGATACATGCTGATACTCTTTCCCATTAAAGCACGAAACTACAAAAAACAAATGGGAAAATATCTCAGTTTGACATAGGCCTGTACAATAGAGCACGATCACTATATGATTTCAAAATCTGATAGCCTTCGGTTGCAGCAAAGTTACTGAAAGGAAAACAAATCTTGATTCAAGGGCACATGTAGCCATTTTATTATAATCATAAAGAGAAATGGTCATTCTCATCAAGAAAAAAAATATAAGCTTAATTAATGTCATTTAATATCATATCCAAAACAATCTTAAAGTCACCTATACTATAATTACCAAAATAATTGTCATTAATGTCATGTAATATATAATCAAAACAACTTTAGATTGACCTAAATACAGTACCATATATCAAGCACAGGCCTGCTTCTTATAATAAGGTATCTTTAAGTTTGTTATCTAAACTCCTCGAACACCATTAAAATATTTGTATGTCTCATAAATTGAAAGTCAAAACCTATATATTTCAGCAATGTCACAAAGTTTACAAACAATCTAATCTAAACATCCCAAATTCAGATCCTGTCAAATTGAAATTTCTTTACAATCTGTTGTACATCTCAATAGCTCTATACCTCTTTAATGCCATAACCCTTCTTATCAGAACACAAAAACCATACCAACTCCAAGTCACCCCAAAAAAATTCTTCTTCTTTAAAAAGCAAACTCCATAAAAAAAAATTGTCATTTGAGTCTTAAATCTATGGCATATTCACACCAGAAAATATATAATTATTATCATTAGAAAGAATGGGAAATAACAGAAAAATGATACTTACTGTTAGTCCTGAATTATCTGTATCAAAGCCATTGGGAAAAAATAATTTCTCTAAAGTTGATCCATCTGTAATCTCACTAAATTTGATTCTTTCAAAACATAGTAGATATCTTTCATAGCACTGCCTCAAGGCAAGGCGATATTCCTGGAATAAATATTAAATGTAGATATAGGTCAATATCAGTGAATCACCTGATTAAGAGATAGATAGATGATGGTTATTTTACTGGAAATTTCTAAATGTTCATAGATGAGAATCTATTCAGTTTTGTTATGTTTTTAGGTTGTTTTGTTTATTTAATGGCCTAAATTAGTTAGCCTCTCCAGTCTATTGAAATTAATAATTCATCAAATTTACCTTCATCTCCATAAGATAATCTCCCATTTCCAGTAGCTTTTTTTGATAGTAAGCTTTAGGCAGCTTGGGTTCATATCTATTCCATAGATTAAAGATGCTGTCAGCCCTGAATAAAAACAGAAATGAGCTTTTGCAACATATGCAACATAATTTGAATATAAGCTTATACATTTAAAGACCATATGCCATGAGCAGCAAAAAAAATAAGTGTTGGTTGGTGATTAAAATCAGTTTAAATAAAGAATTCAGACCGACAAGAACTTGTTCTTAAAAATCTGAAAGGTGTACTATACTATTTCTAATAACCGGTACCAAATAGACAATACCAGTCCTGTAAGTTCTAAACAGTCAGTGTCTATTGAGTCCTAATTAATATACCATGGTGGAAGTTTCGGCAGCACAGTCATGTTGGACTTGTATTTTTTTGCAGTTTGCAAGAGGGAATGTCGTTAGAATAGGCAATGCTTTATTTTTACCTCGAGACAGGCTATTTTTATGACGTTTGACGAAGTACTCTAGGCTGTAAATTATTGTCTATTTTTATAAGTTTTTTATTAACTTTGAATCTAATCCACCAAATACTCAATGTTCTGATTCTTAGATTTGAAAAGTAATTTCAATAAACTTTAAAATAAGCCACTTTTAAATGTCAAAGTGCCAGTACGCCCCTATTATTCTTTGATAAGGCCCATTTTAGTTATTTTACTCTATTAAAATGATTTATTTTTTTTCGAAAGAAAAATACTTTTATCTTCTGGAGCTTCTTGCTGTGTGCTTCTCTTATTTAGGGTATGTTATGACTTATGTGAGCTTTCTTTAAAATATAAAATAATAATTTAAGATATTAAACCTGAATTAAATAGGCCTATATTAGGCCTATATAGATCATAATTACGGTATCAAGATGGCCCCTTCTGATGTTAGACTAAGCATAGAAGTTGGACAATGTAGTCGTCGTAAAAATAGCCTGTCTCCTATTCCTATGACAATCTGTCAATAAAGTATTGCCTATTTTTACAACATCCCCTCTTAAATTGGCTCTTGCAAACTGCAAAATAGTACACAAGTTCAAAATTTTGTAACTTGCGCATGCGCTATTGGAACTTCCACCATGTCGAAAGAATAGTCCATCAATAATTCTTACACTTCGTCGTAAGAATAGCCACGGCATAATTAATATAGAGTGAAGCTCTAAAGTCTTGCGCAAAGCACGGTGCTTGAGCAAAGCTCTTTTCCAGTAACACAGGAGCGTAACTGAAATTGTCACCCACAGATTGTTGATTAAAAAAAAAATCAGACCGGAACCGGATACACTGGGCAAAGCAGGCAATGCGCATGTGAACTTACCGAATCTCGTCCAAGCGAGATTACGCGCCTCATAGAACTATTTCTATGACGCGTCTAATCAATGACATCACATATTTTTGACGTCAATGAAAATAATTCTCACACTTTTTTGTTCTTTTTTTAAAAACAAAATTATTTAGATCTAAATAAAAATCAATTTGGAAAAACTAAATTATTTAACATTTTTTGTATCACTTGAGAAAATTAACTATGGAGTTTTTATATTTGACAATAATCAGCTTCGCTCTACTCAGGCAATGCCTGTTACATATTAAGCTACGGTAGATCTATCTTATCTATTACATTTAATGTCATATTAATGATTGACACGTACTGACATACCAGTAATAAATCTCATAACATAAAGGATTTGCTCAACTTTCTTTACTTACATTCTGGAACATGGTTCATTCTCGGGTCTTACAAAGTTAGGATTAGATCTTTTTCTGATATGAGTAGTAATGAGTGTTATTTCAGTATCCAATGCCTGGAAAACTGGATTCGTTTTGCTGTTGTTTTTTGGGGATCCAAAAAAAGCACTTGGTTTCCCTCTATTTTTGTTTGACGCCGCAGCACTTGTCAAAATTAAAGCCATGTTTTATTTGTTGTGAGTTCTCTTTAAGGGATTTCCCTCAAAGAACTTATTCACTCTGGAATTGCAATGCCACGGTAAATATTTAATCTTTGTTGAAAATAATCACAGTGGCAGCCATCTTTCAACAATGTCGTCGCTATGGTAGTCTCGGTCATTCATCGAGTCCTTTTACCGATTTCTATTTTGTGACATTGAAGACTATCACCATGGATATGGGAGATAACTCTATTATAAACAGGTTTCAGACTAGTCAATCTCACCCTCATTGACTTCAATGTTAAAGGGCGAATGCTCTGTTTTTTTTGGAACCTTGAAGTAGACAAAAATGGTTCTAAAAGCACATATTAATGTAATATGAATGTAAAGTGATTTATATTTAATTTTTGAAATATATTGTAATTTCTAATCAATAATGTTCTTTGGAATACGTGAACAGTTCAAATTGAACGGCAGTCGTTTACTCCTGCTTAGTGTATTCTAAACATTTTTAAAATTATTATTTTGTCATTTGTGAATCAGCTTTAACTAGTTACTTCCACGTTTTTATTTGTTCATTACAAATTGGCACCCGAAACCATAGGGTACACGACTTGTGTACTGATTGTAAAATGTTAATTATGTCTTAAATATTGGATATTAGGATCCTATAGTTTCACAGCAAGATAACAAGATCAATATTGATTGAAAATGATCAGTATTAAATTCTAATCTTAATCTTTATAACCACAAAGAGCCCAATATGTCACAATCATCTGATAAAAATATTTTCTATTTTTTGCTACGCCTGGTCAAAGGAATCTATTGGAAATGTCAACATTTTTGGCAGCAATCACCCTAATTCATGTTTGTTTACTTCCTGATACTTCTGGCCCAAAATTGTGAATATTTACCAAAACCTGGCAGAAAATGGAAATTCAAACACTTTTCTTTGATTCTAGACCAAAGTGTCAACAAGAAATGACATGCAAAGGGGTGGGGTGGGGAAAGAGAGAGTGGCTATAAATAGATAAACTACAAACCCGACTTCATCAATTATCCCCCCTGGAACTAAACGGGTCACCAGTTTTAACCAGTACTGCAGACTAGCGAATGTTTGAAGTTTTTCTCGTGAACATTATCTAAATTGTCTCTGGTTTGGATTGCTTTTATTTCTATTTTCACCAGATCTCTATTTTATATTCTGCCAATAGACTTCCCAAAATCTTGTGAGTACCAGGTATTTTATAATCAGTATCCTTTGGGTGCCATGATTTACCTTTTGTACCAAAATATTGTTTATATTGGGACTCTGAGGACCACTAGCTAGATTCATGTTATTATCATCTAACATTGAGCTCATGAGTTATGACTGTAACAAGATCCCAGTTTTGAAACCCTAAGCGAGCAAACATCAACCTTCAGCATTTTGCTAGCCTTGTTCCCACTTGTCATGGAAGCTTGATGGTATGAAAGACAAGAGAACCTTGAATTGTTAACACTGAATGTAAAAGATCCCTCAACTGCTGGAATTTAAGAGTACATGTAAGAGGAAATGAAACTGCTCATGCATCTGGAGCAAAAAGGTCCTCTTCGTATTGCATAGTAGTAAATGAAATTGGTACTGCATGAATCTATTCAGACATTAAACCCCATTCCAATCGTTTAACATGGGCTACCCAAATCATGTATATTGACGAACTAAAGAAACTATACCAAGACTTTGTGAGACAAATGAATAAAAAAAATAAATTGATTGTATATAGAAAAAATATTAATTTATCGTTGAATTTTTAAATTTTGCAGGTGTTCAAATCCATTTAAATCTCTGCCATCCGATGCTCTAGAGAGTAGATCATTGATCATAGGCTTGTGAATAAATATCTAAATAATAGTTTATTTTACATTTGAAGTAAAAAAAAAAGACCTGCAATAGGCAGGTTTAGCTCTTACATACTGTGTCTTTAAGTAATTTTTTCTAGGTATAGTTTCATTTGGAAATGAAATGAAATGATATGAAATGGGGTTTGAACTGACTTCTTTTTTTTTGCACCAACTGAAGCTTCTTTTTTGATCCGTTATATACATATAAAATACATACTACAGTTCATTTTCATAAATTCTTATGTAAACTTGTATTTGGGTTCTAAAAGGTAGAAAATTAATTTGGTAATATTTTTATTTCAAAAATATAGATGTCCAAAGTAGTACAGAATACAATGTATATCATATATAATAAAAGATACTAAATAGGACTCTTATGTAGGAATGAATAACATATTTTGCATATAAGATTATATTACATTTTCTACAAGCCTTAAGTTTCAATAAATGAGTGTTGCCTAGTAATATTGTGGGCTGGCAATCCATACTACTTTCAGGTGTCGATAATCACGGACCATCCACTGATCAATAACCGATAATATAGATGAATTATTTTTACTTACAAGTTGTTTTGAAAACATTCCTAATTTGTATATGAATAATGAATTATATGTGCGTTTATGTAGTAATATCATTATGTAGCATTCCATAAAACCTTGGTGTCAAAACTCAATCAACTTCGTTCAGAAGACAGCAGTTAGCACTGTCATCAAAAGCGGCTGATAGTTCTTAACACTGCCATTTTGACTCTGTGGCGCTCGCGTCTGGCGTGAATCACACAACATGTGTCAATGACTTTTCTGTTTAATTACAGTTACTGAGCTAGGCTCAAACATGTGTTGCAAAGATTACTTTGATGATAAGGTTTAACTTTTATAGATATCTTCTTACAAGTGACTACATATAATTACGCAATTATCGATATTTTAAATCTGTATCGATTATCGATCTTCAAAATGCCAACTCTAGTAATATTTGTATAAAATTCCTTAATTTCTGGTCATAATATAGATAGCAATGTGGAAATATTTTATCAGTTCCCATACGGATATGATACGACATATATAGTTAAAACTTTACATAATCGCGTGAATAATCATTAAATGTAGAAATTTGAGTAACTTTGTTAGATTTAATTGTTAAACTTTTAAGTAACTGGTAGGGTATGTACATACATTTTGTTCATATATGTATAGTTTCTTAACACAAAAATAATACATTAATAAATTTCAAAGGAAGCTTAGTACTTTCTGTTATACAAACCACATTGAACAAAGATGTAAACAATGAAGATGTGAATATTTATATAATGCTAAATAATATATAGGTGGTATACAAAACGCATAAAATGTCTGATAGAACAAAAACAAATCAATCTACAATTACAAATGAGAATAGTAGTGGTGAAATGAAGCTTGAATGTTGAGTTGCTGGTTGAAGCTAAAGGGCACTTTGGTCCTGAAAAGAAAAAAGCAAGAAATAATTCAATTCATACCGGTAATCTTAGAAACACACTGTATCTTAACTTCAAATAAAAAGAAAATAATGTTTTACACGATACCCTTATGGTATATTTTGTAACAGTAGAACCTGACATAGACATTGCTGTCTTATGCCCTGTTTTTGTTTGTTAAATTGAAACTTACATTGAATGTGCCATGTTCTTTATCTATACTTTTTCTTTTCTTTTTTTCCTCTACGTGAGTGATCAATACTACTTTTTGGTGATACTGCAGATGAGCCTACAGGTTCTTCATCATCCTTAAATAAATAATTGTGTCATTTTGTTAGTCTCCCTTTAAAGGCTATGTATACATGTTCATTTATAAAATTATATTAAGACATTTACTTGTGCACTGATTAGACATACAAATTCATATTTTCGAATGACTATCCCCCAAGTATAAAAATATGGCTATACATGTAGCTAGAGTCAGTGTGTGCTTCACAGATCACCACCAATATATGTGTGGTGATGTCAGACTGTTATACGAGTCAAGAAAATTATCAATATATTTGAGAGATGATTAAAACATCACCTTCAGGCTACAAAAGTTCCTTTATAGGATTCACATGGATGTCTACACTAGACCCTGCAGAAATGTACAGAGATTTTTCCAAGGCAGGGTCTTCTATGTGGTCATCACAGCCATAAACCAGATTAATCAAAATTAACTTTGGTTAAAATTGCCACAATTTGGTCAAAATTGCCACAATTTGGTCAAAATTGCCACAATTTGGTCAAAACAGCCAAAATTTTGACCAAAATTACTATACTTTGGTCAAATGAAATGAAATGAAATGGGGTTTAACATCCTACTGTTCTGCTCCGAAGTGGGCTAATGTAGATGAGCATAGTAACGCATACAGTGTGCTATGAGGGACATTTTGCTTGGACAGCAGCATTAGGGCCTACTCTTATATCGAATTCTAACTGTCAAGGGATCTTTCACGTGCATGCCAGTCACCAATGTGTACATGGGACCTCGGTTTTTCGACCCATCCGAACGACTAGACAGCTGGATGAACTTTCTTGGCCAATGCAGGGATCAAACACGGGACATGCAGGTTAGCGAGCCAACATCTTACTCACTGAGCCACCGTGGTTACACAGGAAAAAAACAGATTGGAAGAAATCTTTTCTGAATATCTCTTACGTGTTCATATCAAAATCATAGGCCAAAAAACAGTTCACAATTACTAGCTATTTAAGATGATAAACCCCATTTCATTTCCTGATAATGGTTTACTGATCATACTTTCAAGAATCTTGAAATCTGTTGGTCAGATGAAAAGGATGCCACTCTGCTTTGGAGGGCATTTGAGAAAGTCATGCCTGATGTTAAACGATATATTTTCATTTCACCCAAGCTATTTGGAGACATTTCTATGCTGTAGAATTTATTTCAAAATGACCTACACAATAAACAAAAGTAAATATTTACTCGACATGCACTGCTTTTACAAGCCCCTAGAATGTTTTAATGATAATCCAGAACCTACATGTTGACACGCATTCCTTGACAAGCCTGCCATAGATAGCAGTACACTACCAATCGATAAATTAAGAAAACTCTTTTTCGAAAATATTAGAAATGGCACTGATCAAAGTGGGTAATTAAAGCTTATTAACTGGTAATCCCTGTTATTGTAGTATGCGCAAATAAACCTTACAGTTCTTCAGTGGACGAGGAAATTGAGTTGTCAATCAGCGATAATGGTGGCTGCGTGGTGATTCGATTATTCCGACTCACGTAAAAGACATTTAGGCTTTCACAATTATAAAAACATTAGCAGTATTACTAAATATACACAAATTTTCAACAATATTGTATTGTCAAGTTCAATACTTGCTGATGAAACAAAACAAAATAGAGCAAGCAGTGTAAAATCGGTGTTACTGTTATCTTTTTATTAGCCGTCTCAAGAATCGTCGATCCATTAAATAAAACAAAACAAGTATCGGACTCGCATAAAACGAGAAAAAAACCCACCAAAAAACAGGAGGTTAAACCCCATTTCATTTTTTTTCATTTTATTTCTTTTCTTGATGAAAAGTTGATTGACTCATTGAGGAAGCTGTAGTCACTCATCAACTGTACTGTTGTAGTGAGTAAAATAAATTTATGACAGATTTTCCACGAAAAGATGACCCATTCACGGGAGTGAATAACACAATGAACTAAATACCTTATCACTAGGACTCTCTGGCACAAACACCACAGCCATAATACAAATTATTTGAAATATAGCCCCGATAAAGAGGCCATAATGCAAAAATATTTCGTAGGTTGTGGGCTCTGCTATGTGGATCGCCATTTTCCTTGTTTTGTTTACAATACATTTACGACAGTTGTGAGATTTTGTAAATGAATTATTACGAGATATTCATACTTTATCGATTTATTTTTCAAAGTAATAAAACCATCAATGGATTAATCTAGATACACTTATGTAAAATTTAAATTTTTGAGAATGAATCGGTAATATGTTGTCGTAAATATATTATGACCTATTCACGTTCTTTTGATTTTAACCAATCAAAATACCATAAAATGTCACATGACGTTTAAACTGGAGGAGCGAAATACGAATAAAATCTGGTTCAACTTCAAGAGTTCTTCGAGTTATTTGGTAATTTTTATAAAACCAAGGGTAATTGTCTATCTTATCACGCTACGAAACAACAAAATCTCTATTCGTGATGATGTTCACCCCATTTGGCAGCATAGCCACACAGCTGATGTGAGAATTTGGCCGAGTAGACGAGAGTAAACCATTCCTTGATTTCGTTATATATAGGCTATTAGCATAGGCCTATTCTCTGTAGGACTGTGTCATTTCAATAAAATCAATAATATTTTGACAAAAGTCTGTGTTAGATCAACTATGATTCTATGACTGGCCAGTTTATCCATGTATAATGATGTTGATTAATTGTACTTCAAACGTGTCACTAACTTTTTGTTCTCCATATATAATATATAGGCCTAGATACCCCATACGGTACGGTTATGCCGATACCAATACCATTCAAAGCACAATTTACCCTAGTGCCTGCAAGGGGGTCTGCCGTAAGTCACTAAGACTAAGAGAGTAAGTGGCTAGTTAGTAGAAGTGACTAGTTCTTTACTTTAAATTACTTAAGAAGGGTCTCATCGGACATTGTCTGCTGACTGTTCCTATAGCTGCAATACTCCAATAGGGGTTGGATGGTCGAATGGTTAGCGCGAGCGCCTTTTATCATATAAGGTCTGTCATTGAGTAAACTGGTGTGGTTTTGATTCCCAGTTGTACGTGACAAGGAGTAGAATCGCCTGTCCAACCTTGTGGGTTTTCTCTGGGTCCTTTGGTTTCCTCCCACTACTAAAGACCCCTACTCGCTAGCAAATTATTGAAATAAAATTGAACCATATGTTAGTCCCAAAAAAACCTAGTTTGTAGATAAAGTCAATGTTAAACCGCTCTTCCCCACCTCTGTTCTAAGGCTATTTTGGAACTTGATTCTTTATCTTTGGCCAAAAGGAATCATTTCTCGCCTCATCTGACACAAATTTATAATTCAACGCTATTTTACTATTTTCAAGTTTGCGATTAATAAAAATAGTCACAAAATACGTTTGAACTGATTAGCCATTACGAGACTCGAACATCCGCAGACCACAAAGTCTTGAAAAAAGTGTTGAATTATTATAAATTTGTCACTGTCAGATGTGGCAAAAAATAAAGAATCATATAGGGACAGATAGAAATGGTCAGCAGACAGCATCCGATCAGAGACCGTTCCTAGAGGAACTACATAGATTTACCCAAATCCGCCATTATTTCAACTCGTATATTAATAATTTATATCTATTTCTGATAAAATACGTTACTGTTCTTTTATGCCAAATTGGCATTTTTAATTTAAAATCGTAACGTTTTTGTTTAAAAGAATGTTCCTTAAAATGTAATTTCCAAGTAAGCGATTTTGTGCAATGTACGGGTTATGTCCCTTGGTTACAACTTACCAACTTGCTTGGAAATCACGTTTTGAGGGGGAGTTTTTAGTTTTGTGCAGTAGGCCTAAATACCAGTAGTCTTTTGCACAGCTGGCAGCAGTGACTTAGGGATTAAGCTTTCTGAATATGTGCAGTGTTATTGTTTCTGAAGGGGACTCAGTCCCATAATCCCTTTTAATGATTTGGAAATTGCCTTACTACAATGTAACAGACTTAAGGTGCCTATTTGTTTTGACATCGGAAGTTGTTTAAGTCAAAATTATCTGGCTTTCCTTGTTAAAATTAATTAACAAGATGAAAGGGGCACTAACTTGGCTGTAGTAAAGCAGAAAATTAGAAGCAGGGCTCTTGTTTCAGTCATAATGGCCAGATGAAAGGGGCACTAACTTGGCTGTAGTAAAGCAGAAAATTAGAAGCAGGGCTCTTGTTTCAGTCATAATGGCCAGTCTTAAATTGACTGACTATGAATTTCAAAGAGTTTAAATATGATAAATATATTTTGAGTTAGTTTTTATGTGTAACACTTAAAAATATGTAAGTTATGAAATCAGAACTAAGATCCATAACCTCAACTATTTCGAAATTCTGATTTCAACTCATGCACTGAGTTATTATTACAAATTTAAATTAAAAAACTACATTTTCTAATATTTATTTTTATTAGGTTTGTGAGAAAGGAATTATGATATATGAGTTATGAATATGTGATGTTATAGAACCTTCAAGAAATAAATACTCCTACAGACCAAAAGACTTAGATGATTGTTTTGCCCAGTGAATTGACTTTGATAAAAATTGTTAATTAATAATAATTAAAAATGACAGGTGAGAAATTAGATCCAGCCTTGAACATGTAGTAAAAAATACATTGCTCTCTTTTTCTTGCAACCACTGAAACAAATAAGCTACTGAATGTATCTTTTAATTAGGCTAGTAAGCACTGGACAGTATGTAGCATTGTTTAGTAAATTAGGTTGCAGATCTTTAGAGTTTGGTATAGTTTGTAGACAAAACAGGGCTTGTGCAGTGTCTAAATTGTATTGTTTGTCTATTCAAAACGCAAATAAAAGACAAAACAAAACACTTCTCTTGAAGTTATGGTTGTTATTGAATTTCTTTTAATAGATAAATGATTTATTTTGCAGAGTGTCCAACTGGTTGTTTATTAGATTTATCTGAACCATCAGAGGTTGATATCAACTTGTACGATGAAAATGAAAATTTTGATAAAGAAAATTCTATACCTGTGATAGGTAATATCTTATATTGTTAAACAGAGGAATAGAAATAACAAAAAAATTCAAGTTTCTTTGTTTTATTAGACTCTAGCAGTGAGTTTTCATATGGATGGCACAATGTACATGTATGTATACATTCTTTAAAAATATTGAGCAATTGTTGAGAAAAAATCCATCTCCTACTCCTTAGGCAAAAAATGAATATTTCTCTTGCTTTGAGAGAATTTGAATTCTCATATGCTATATTTTGTGCTGCTATTTCTCTTTTATTTAAGCATGTTTACAATATTTCCATAATTGTCAGAACTATACTGGTTATTTTTATTATTGTAGATTCTATAGAATTGGCTAGAAGTGATGATAGTGATAGGAGAAATAGTGTAACAATCTGTAAATCATTAGATATAGATGATAGAATATTTAATGATGTCACAGATAAAACTCTTACTAATAATACTTGTATACTCGATCCTCATAATCTACCTAGTCCCGGTTAGTATATATTTTATTATTTGATAGTTTGCAGAATAAAGAACATCCTTCTGGTAAATGCTGCAAGATATAACTTGATATAAGGCCATAAAAATAAAATATTATGGTTATCAAATAATCCTGCATCACTTAAATTGGTTTTAAAAATTTCTAGAGATGTGCTTGATCTTATGGTTTCTGGTAACACATTCCATAATTTCGATGTGACTACAGAAAAATCTTGATCTCCACTACGTTTCAGTCTTGAGTAGTTTCCTGCAAGAGGATTTTGATTTGGATTATAGTTTCTGATCATCTCTGATATAATCTGGTGCTTTCTCTTCACTGGCTTTGCTGCACAGTTTTGAACAATTTGGAGTTTGTTTAGGAGAGAATAAGTAAGACTATTAAGCAGGGCATTAGTATAGTCCAGCTTTGACAATATTACCGGGTAGGCAATAGTAGGCATCTTATTAATGATGAGGTTGCCTCCACAGTTGGATAATAATGTACGGAATGAAACTTAATTTGAAAATTTGATTTCTTTTTAACTTCAGACGATATGTGGTTAGAAAAAGAAACTTTCGATTTTGATCTGGTTCTGTCACCACCTGAAAGGTAGATAGATCACACTTTTTTTCCATGATATAAAAAAAAAACAATTTTGATGTATTTGATTAAGGACTAGTATTATGAAAGTTCAATATTTATTTTTGTAAATAAAAAAAAAAAAAAAAAAAAAAAGATTCTATTTCCATGACTGCAGTCCTACTTTTCTTTTTTACCAATCACAGTAGCCCAGTATATTTACTGTGATAAACCGAATGAAGAATTCTTCTTGTGATTTGCTTATTTAAGAATAAGATGAACCAAAGTGTCTAAAATGTCAATAGCGAACATCCTTTTCTGTCTTATATTCCATGTGTGTTGCTACAACATTTAATGTCAGTGATAGACCCATCGTGGTGTCTCACGGAAAAAATCTCAAAGTTTTGTGAAATTTTGTTTTCAGTAAAAAAGATGAATTACAAGATGAGGAAGAGATTTTCTTTGGACCAATGGGATTCACGGAAAGATGTGTGGCTGCTGTAGTTGCCAGGCAAACTCCTGTTAAACCCATGAGTCCCTTAAATCCCCAACAACTGGCCGAAGTAATTAAAGAGGCCCATGGAGTGTCGTGCCTTTTTACAAATATGAAATCAGGGGGTTCAAGTTCAGATGATGGGAAATCTCCACAAAAAAAGCTAATATCCACACGATTATTTTCAAAAAGTCCCAGACATACTAAGAATAGAACTTTTTCCATAGAAAAAGATGTTGAGAACATTTCCCCACCAGAAGCTAATAATCACGTACGTCAAGATACATTCACAAAAGAAACTGAAGTGACAAAGCTTGCAGAACAAGTTATAAAACGTCGATCAATTAAAGCACCCGTCAGAGATTTATCTGCCACTCGCTCTTCTACACTTAATAAAACGAAAGAAGAAAATTCATCAAATAAACCTGGTCTAAAACCTAAATTTTCAAGATTACCAAAAAGTCGGAGTGCTACTAACCTGGCAAAGGTAAGATGAATGAAGCATATCTTGTTTACTAGCATGTAAAAATAAAACATGTTAAAAAAAATTCCATTGTGTTTACATGAAATATTTTCTGTACAGAAAGACTGATTCAGGAATATGTAGAAAAACTAACTGGAAATGAAATTTATTTTATGGTACTCACTTGATGTTTTACTATTCTTCTGTTTTATGTCTACAATGATCTATTTACTAATATAAATTCAATTGAAATCCACTAATATTCATAATTAGTAAAACATGAAGGAAAATGTATTGATTTGAAAGGTTTGTAATTTCTTTAAGTCTAAAACTGCACCAAAAATAGCCCTAAATCAGTAAATGGGTCATTTCAATTGAATAAATATCTTAAAAGCTTTCAGATATTAACCTAGAACAATCGAATTGTACAATCAGGATTCGTTGTCACCACTATTATTTTAAATTGAGGCCTTGGATAAGTTTCTGGTAGACTAAACAATGAATCAACAATAGTATTTGGATAGATAAGAGCCGTTTTATTTTATTTTTGTGTACAATATTTTTATATTCTAATATTACAGACTGAAAGTCAGGAAAGTTTAGTGGATAATGAATCAACACGTCAGAGATATAAAAGTGGAGATTCAGAAGCATCTGAGTCAAGTATAACCAGTGATACAAGTGATATATCTCTCAGTAGATTATCTTCTTGTAGAAAGAGTTTTACCAGTAATATCAAAGTAAGGATCATGTAATCATGTTTCCATAACATTTATATTTCTTAGTTCATCCAGATTTTTCGACGTGGTTGCCCCATGTCAGTGATGCAGGACAGAGGGCCTGACAAGGACACCTGTCTAGTCGTTCGGATGGTACAAAAACCCAAGGTCCCGTGTACACATTGGCGTGCATGTAAAAGATCCTTGAGCGTTGGAATTTGACATAGGAGTAGGCTGTAGTGCCGCTGTCTGGGCAAAATTTCCCTCATAGCGCAGTGTGGCGTATGTCCGTCTTCATTAGCCCAGTATGGAGCAGAACAGTAGGACGTTAAATCTCATTTCATTTCATTTATATTTCTTATTTGATGATGTAAATTAAGTGTGATATAAAGACCCAAGTTTTATGTCTATGCCACATCTTCGACTTGCTAGAGACCTTTAGACAAATAAAATTCAGATTACACTTTTATGCACCCGAATTTCTATGAAATCAAAGTGTTAGTCCAATATTTTTGCCATCTTATGTGAGTAGTGTGTGATTGGCACAATGCCTGTACCATTATTAGAAATAATGAATGAAAGGGAGTTTAACATCCTACATTTCAGCAACAACTGGGCTAATGAAGATGACTAATTAGAAATAATGGTACTCCAACATCATAGGATGACATCATATTCTGTATATTAAAAAGCTGTATTAATCAGTTCTGTTGACAATACTGGCATGTGGGTCAAATTTGTATTCAGTGTTCCCAAATGATATAGTTCCACTCAGTATTGAAACCAGAGCTAATTTATTCTTCTCATTTATCCGTGATTTTTTCTAGGCACCAACATCTACTGGTAAAAGAATGCAAGCACCAATGATAAAACAAAGTTTGACTACTCTAAATAAAGTTGGTTCCAGTAAACTAACAGTTAAAAACCTTTCACAACAACAGGGCCCGATAAAACTCAAACACACTCGAACAAATTCTAACTCAAGTATGGACTCTGTGTCTTCACAGACTTCAAATGTATCAAATTCATCGTTCATGTCCCAAAGTTCAAATATCGGAAAACCAATCATCAAATCAAACATCACAGCACCAGCTATTAAAGGGACAATTAAAGCACCTCTAGGAAAATTTCAGTCAAAAATGATGAAACCAGTTATACAGAAGAAAGTTCCGCCATCAAGACCAGAGACAAGAAAATCTTTAAATGGACCAATGAAAGTGCCTCAAGCAATTAAACCAAGTACATCAAATATCAATAAATCTTTTGTTGATAGAAAGACAACCAGTGAGTTAATAAATGTATTAATAAAAACAAAAACACATACTTATAGAAAACAGCTAAACGTGTATTTAAGACAACATTTTGAAGACTATTCTCTTAACGTTATCAAGCTAATACAGATATAAAGCAAATACATATTCATAGACAGTTTGAAATAAGCTATGAATAAATGTTGTTTTTTGAAATGACTAGACCACTTTGATTTGTGTCAAACATAATTTGATTTGATTGGTGGAAGCGGCAATTGAAAATTTGGGCTAATTGTGATCAAATAAAACCAATTGTGTGTTAAAGATACCATGATTTGATTTGATGATATATTTGGGCTAAAAACATATTCAGACTAATTAATCTATCAAAAATTTGCTTTAAATCCCTCTCAAAACTTTGTTTTCGTAAGCAAAAACCGCACTCTATAAAAATTCTGGTTTTTTTAAGAAGCCATGTTTGTCACTTAAATTGATTGAGGGAGAGTCCATATTTAAGAATGTATTTGTCATTACTTAAATTTGCCATACTTTTATTGGAAATAACCACCCGATAAATACTTTTGTGCAAATGTATTTTTAAGTAGTTAATATTTCAAAAAGAAAGGTGGATCGTATAGCAGTTGTTGACTCGTAAACAAAACACATCAGATCAACTGAATTCAAAATTTTATTTTTACCTAAATCAAATAGCTCCTTTAAAATTATACCAAAAAGCTGTAATTTAAAGTCACCTTTCTACTTCATAACCTGTCATCTACTGGATCATGAGATACTGTATTTATTTATCTTTAGAATCTGACAATACTCCGGTAAAGCAAGAAAAATCTGTTAAACCCAAAAGACTTTCAACAGCTATGGGCACTCTTGGAAAATCTAGGTATGATTTTAATATTACTTTTGAGTTTATGATTTTTGTACATAGAAAGGTAGATTGGAATATATCCAGTGTTTGGTGTATCTTTCTTTTGACCATATAACTAAAGTGTGTCTTACGGCATCATATTTGTATTAAAATCACTTGAACATCCATGGGAATGTAAACACTCACACTATTTGTATTCTTTGAGATTTTAACATCATATTGATACACACACTGGCCCATCCATTTTTATACGGCCACATGGAAATGTGATTCTATATCGCTGTCACCCCGGTCTGTCTGTCCGTCCGTCCATCGTCTACAATTTCTTGTGAACAATCATGCCAAATTTGATGAAAATCCATGCAGGCATAACTGCATACTCCTCACAGTGTTTCGTTTGATTAGCGCTAATCCCACTACCCACTGCTGTGAACAAAGCAAATTCTTGTTCTAAATTATGACTGGTCAATAGTCCGATTAACAACCAATAGTTAACTGCGTAACAATACCAAACAGAGCTCCAAATTGGACCAAATATGTTTACATCATGACTCACGATTTTATTATGCCCAATTAACCAGTGCATAGTAGAATATTGCAGAAAAACTAATTGTGTGACAAACAAGGCTATCAACTGTCAACACAATTTTTACCTGTGGATATAATGTAAACAATATTACTTTGAGACGAACAACACTTTCACCTTTTTTAATACCTTAAATCACTGTCCAAAGTTTTAGGGAAGACCCCTGATTAAACGAAGGGCTGTCATGTTGCTGTGCTTTTGGATTGAACGGGAAGAATAGACACACTCTCTCAAAAGCGCAAGTATCAGAAGCTAATCCAGCAATGGCCAGAGAGGGATTTCTCGGGCCATTGCTTCAGGAATATGGCATAACTGAGGAAATTCAACTATGTTTGGAACATAGGAAATAAAATTGCTATTGTTTTGGTGATTAATATGTACATGTAGTTTATCATCCCAAATAACAAAAATTGTTATACCCTGTATCTTATGAACAAAACTTACAATGCTAGCTTTAAAATGTGCATTTTAGGAACTCAATGTCCTAAATATATTGTTTATTTTTAGTTCTGTGAGTTCAACAGGATCATCAGGTTCGATAACTGATGGAACACCAACATCCAGTCGTAAAAGACATTCATTATTACCAACACCATCCAAATCCAGACCAAGTTCATCAGGCTCTATACCTGCCAGGTAAATACATGTATGCTATAGACCTACATTAGCTTTTACATCATTACTCACTTTGTTCCTCCAATAAATTGTGTTATATTGGAAGAGGTGAGATACTGAAAGTTAATCATCATTATAGCTTACTAGCTTCATTCATTCTTATCACAAAATAATGTCTTAAGTTAAATATTATCCATGATTTCTCAGAGCGTTTTAACAAGATTTGTTAACAATAATAATAAAAATAAAAAAAAATGATCGTCATTATTATTTCATCTCATTTTCATTTTGTATCTTATTTCCAGTTTTTTATATGTAAGTTTAAGATGAGTCTTGAGGTCATTACTGTGAGATAACTGTATTTATTCAATTTGCTTTCTTTAAACATTTAATGTTGGGGAAAATCGAAATGAAACTGCCCGACAAAATGGCTGCTCCTTGTACTCAAATAGTGTAAAAGTATATGATACGAAGGTTGTTCGATTTAGATGAATCTTAAAATATATGTTTATATCCCAAAATTCTCAGTTCCTTTCGATATTCGCGCATTTTAGACCATAACTTCCTGGATTTTGGCCCCTGATTGTATGAAAAATCAGGTTTTTAGCTTGTTCTCTATCAATCTCTTGCAATATATGGGCGTATCTTGCATGGCAACCACTGGTCTATTGACAATGACAGCGTTCAGTCAATGTTATGTGGATATATGAACATTAGAGAAGATGACTATAACCATTAATACCACCAGTGCTACTCGTGGGACGTTCTTATCCAAATAACACTGGCTGAACACTACTTCATAAACCGGAGACAAGTTATTTACTGTCAGTGCAGTTATATAAAAAAAATCACAATATTTGATAATGATAAAAACATAAACAGTCATAAAATCTTGAAAATTTGATAAAATTTGATATAAACATCAGAAAATAATCACAAAATTTGATTGAATGATATCATAGAAATCATAAAATTCCACTAAAAGCTTTCATAAAAATATAAATTTTTAACAAAAATCTGTGTATGTTCCCTTAATTTTGTGCAATACAACTTTAAAACTTGCTTGAAAACCGCATTTTGAGGGGGAATTTTGACACAAAAACGTTAAGATCAAAATGACAATCAATTTAGCATCAAGATCAGTATATATTATTATTTATAATGATATAAATTATTGTGTTTTGAGTTAAATTATACTTAGTGGATTTAGTTACAACTTCCAAACTTGCTTTGAAATCAAATTTTAATGGGCATTTTGACACCAAAGTGTTAGGATTGTGAATTAAAAATGACAATTTGGCATAAAGAACGGCATATTATCAAATATTAATATAAATTATGAACTTATAAGTTGAAATAATGGTGGATTTGGGTAAATCGTGCTACCCATTTAAAAGTCCAATCTTCAGTTTGATCCATCTGTGGGCAATTACTCCCCAATAGTAATAGTGTAGAGATAGTGTTTGCTTTCATTATTCATATTAGTTATAGAATATATATATATATATACAGTTATCTCATAGTATTATATTATTTTATCATGCTTTGCTTGGCTTTAATCAAATCATGCTTGCTTGTATATATGTAACCCCTATTATTTGCAGCCCGCTATCATATCGTAGTAGTAACAGTAGTATAACTAGCATTAGTTCACGACTTGGGGCATCTTTAAGTGATGCAACAGATTCACCTGTATTTGAGTTAGATAATAATAAGAAAGCACCTGCTCGAAGACTAGTGGTTAGTGTTAATTCATAGTATGTTAATTGTAAATTGTGGAAAGCTTATTGAACAATGTGCTATAGTCTAGTTATGTTGCATATTCTATGATGGTAACCAATTGCAAAGATATTTCAGTATTATGCTACATATATATGTCACAGGTGGTCACAAGAAGTAACTCAATAATAAATTTTAATGAATCCAAATATGTGCTGTAGGCTCATTTATCAAGTAAGCAACCCTGATACATGTTTCTGACAATCATAAATGAAATGGGATGCTTATATAAAAAAGTGATTCAGCCCAGTAGCGAGTGATCCTTTGACAAACCAAAAACACAAAATTAAAAACCTCTCTCCCACATCAAATTTTTTGGAATGATGTCTAAGCGATAACCAAAATATATGTTTTTGTGTGGCCTTATATGTATGTTTTGATCTTCACTTTGTTCTGCTACTGTAATAGCTACTCTTGATATTATTACTATTAGCCAATCAAATGTCCAGTTTGGGTGTGACTACAACAATAATATGTTTGACTATTACACCACTAGCTAACAGATAGTGGACTGAGGAAAAGGCCAAGATTATAGTACACGGTCTATTTATCAGTATTATTTCTATGCCAAGGAGAAAAAGTCTCATTACAGAGAATTTTTTAGGGTGCATTTCATTTGGATGTCTAATTTCGGAAATCCTAAATTATTTTCTCATAATTGTTTTGTTACATTTTTCCTTCTAATTTTCTTTACAGAAGGAGTCACCGAGTGTTATGAAGGTAAATGTTATTCTTTTATAGCTTTGTACATGGTGGCATTATAATGAATCCGTTGCATATAAGTTATGTAGAACTAGCTGTCCATCAGAAGTAAACAGTAATTAACCCCTCTATTTTTTCGATGTCTTATCACAATGTATATTCAGTGACTAAAGTTATTGATGGTCTTAATGTTTTCAAAATAATCATTAAATTCATCAAAGATTTTTGCATTCCATTGATTTATATCTTAAGTTCCATTCCACATAATTTGAATAATTTAATGGACGGACACTATTTTATTTTTTGTCACCAGCCTAAAAAGAACTTGGTACAGAATACACCAGATATTCCTGTCACAAAGCCTTCAAGATGGTCTCCAATTGTACGACGAAAAGTTGATCTTCAAGAACAGGCTATTCAGTGTACAAAAAGAGCTGCAAAAAATTGATCTTTGGATGGAAATGCTTGGTAATTAATATAATAAAATCTATATCAGATATAATTATGCTAGGACTCATCCCAATATTCGTACTGATTTTATGGTATTCATTATTCGATGTCAATCAAAACTAGTTTTTGAGGCCTAATGATCTATTTACTGAAATCATTTATGTTCAAAAATAAGCAAACGGAGAAAGGAAAATATATTGATTTAAAAATTTTGAGGTTTCTAGAAATCTGAAAATGCACCGAAAACGGTCCATTAATTGAAGATTCCAATTATGACTTAGAATATATGAATAGTAAAATCAGCATTCGATGTAATTTCTTAGTTATGCATTATTTATGTTAGAATTGCATAATATGGGGTGTTTGTAATATAAATATATAACAATATTTATACAATATAGGTATATCTATGTTTTTGGTGTTGGTAAAATCCCCAAAATAGTTCTCTTTGGCAATTGAATTGATTTTGTTGACTATGCCAATAAAATTACGTACTGTATGCAATGAAAAAATAATAGTCCTGAGTAAATTTTAGTTGCACTCATCGTTTCTGTTCCAAGTATAGATACAATTCATGAATCACTGTCCGTGTATTTGTTTCTCAGATGTATAAAAAATGATAAATGTATATACAGAAGAAATCATAAAGTTACAATGTTTTACTGTGTTTAATTTAATTTTGTATATTATCTAATTGATGTGATATATTCAAGACATAAAGTTTTGGAAAATTGTACATAAGATTGTATGTGTATACTGCCAGGGTTTTCATTTATCTGTACAAAAATGTTGAATTTCTGTGTGATAGTTTTTGGTATCCCCGCTTCCATTGAAGAAGCAATCATTTTAATATGGAAAAATATGGGTCATGATGCCAGAAATAAAAATAATTGTTTGGAAATTTTTGGCTGGAATGATATGATAGTGGATATACTAATGACACACAAGATCTCAAACTGTCTGATAAAACAAGTAAATAGCAAATGATAGCTCTGGTATATACATGAAAGATATGGAGTCATAATTTTGGTAAATGTAGAGCTATGTTTTTTTTTATTGTTTGTAAAATTAATCTAATTCAATGCACATCAGATTTTAAATTAAACTTTAATTTGTTAAATATTCTGTTTTTGTAATAGTCCCAATTAAATTTCAATTAATTCAAAATTGTATTTTTTGTAAAATGACTATTTTTCATAGTTCAAATTATAGCAATTTACGTGAATGATAAATATACTTTGATATGAATTAAATGTACTTTAATTTTGTGACAAATGCTATTGTATTCTCCCAAACTTATTTATGTGTAGATTCTAGTGTGATAAGGATTATTATATAATAATGATTTAATAACTACATGTAGTGCTCAGTATCTTTATTTAAAACTATTATAAGTATATTATAATTTGTTTGTGCCAATATTCATTACCATATTATTTGCGAATAAGAATACATAGGTTTGATCAAATGATAATTTTCTTTTTATGACTGGGGCGTCCCATATTCTTTTTTTTAAAGGCATTCATATGATACATATTACTCTTAATTTTAGTGCAGTGTATAGCGAATTTCAGAAAATATAGCCCTAACATCACAGGGATCTCAAAGGCACAAAATGTCTCTTGAATGCTTGAAGTAGTGACCAGTGATGTCATGCTATCTTTTCTGAAAATAACTGTGGTAGACAGAATATGATACCCTTTATCTCTATATATCCCTGTGAGTACATTGTTCTTAATGGAGTACAGAATTTCAGTGAGTAGACGAAATCACCATTTGTAAAATTTAACCTGATGATTTGAAGTACTATAATGCAAATTTTCTTCCTAATTTACATAATTAAGGACATAATTCCAAAATGATTAATGACTTCATAAAATGGATGTTGTGTTGTTAAATTGCCTGTTACAAGGTTAGATGGTTAAATAAGATACTTTTATGGTTTGAACTTCAACCAAATCTATGGAAGCATTTTGTTGTATTTCTTCACATTTTTCTTCAGTTTTAAATTAAAATTTTAAGATATATTTAAACATTTGAAATGTGAGATATTGCAATCCTTTGTTTTATATTCAGTAAATGTGTTAAACTTTCATTGCCTCTATCTTGTGAAAATAAATTAATGGTAGATATAAACTACTTCAAAATTACTAGGTATTTGTTTTTTTTCACTTGAATCAGTACTGGTATTGATGGTATCCCCTATTTGCACAGATAAAATAAACTCCAAACTTCCAAGACTTGTATTTTAAATGTCCGTCAACAATTGGCTTGTGAATGGGATAAGAGGCTACAGTTTTTGTTGGGTTCTTTTCAAATTTGGTGTGAAGCATCGTGGTCATTAGAATACAAACCCTATTGATTTTCCAAGTTCTGTGTCTTTCAGTTCTGGAGTTATCCCCCTTTCCAAAAAAACCTTGTTAATGCAATAGAAGCTGTAGTTTTCCAACAAATTCTATTTATATTCAGAGTTCTGCAACTTTCTATTTCAGAGTTATCGGCCCTTGTGAACGTGATTAATAGAGGCTAGTTTTTGACAGATTTTTATTCAAATCTGGTGTGAAGCTTTGTGGTCATGAGAGGACAAGCCGTATTGACATTCAGTGTACTGTGACTGGAGGCAGACCACCATTAAATCTCACTATCTCGGTACCCACAAATTGTAGTTCGTCTATTTATAGCAATTCTCTCTCTGTCTCTTTTCTCACCTTTGGCATGCCCATTTTTGTTGATTTTTTGGTCTAGAATGGATGAAGAGGGTTTGAATTAACATTTTCTGCCAAGTTTTGGTAAATATTCATGATATATTTTTCAAAAATGATGTGAAGCATTGGAGTTATCGGAGGAGGAATCCTATTGATTTTTAGCATTCAATGCCCTTTTGTTACAGAGTTATCCTCTTTTCCTAAAACATTGTGAACGCGATAGAGGCTATAGTTTTTAACAGATCTTTTGAATTCGGTGGGAAGCATTGGGGTCATGAGAACCCTATCGACATTTCTCCCTTATGAACACGATAGAGGCTACAGTTTTTAAGAAATTTTAGTCAAATTCGATATAAGAGTAGGCCGTAGTGCTGCTGTCTGGGCAAAATTTACCTCATAGCGCACTGTATGGCGTTTGCCCATCTTCATTAGCCCAGTTCGGAGCAGAACAGTAGGACGTTAAACTCCATTTCATTTCATTTCAAAATTTGGTGTGAAGCATTGGGGTCATGAGAGGAGGAAACCTATTAATATTCAGCGATCTGCCCCTTTTCTAAAAAAATCTTATGAATGCAATACAAGCTATAGTTTTTAATGGGTCTTTTTCATATTAGGCTTAAAACATTGGGGTCATCGATCCTTATCAATATTTATATTCCGCAACCTGGGGGGTTGGATGGTCGAATGGTTAGCACGTGTGCGCTGTATCATAAGGCCTGGCATTGAGTCAACTGGCGTGGTTTCGAATCCCCGGTTGTACGTGACAAGGAGTAGGGTCACCTGTCTAACCTCGTGGGTTTTCTCCAGGTCCTCCCACTGCTAAAGACCCCTATGCGCAAATTACTGAAATAAAATTAAACCATATGTTAGTCCCGTAATGACCTAGTTTGTGTCAAGTGGACGTTATATCCCATTTCTCTCTCTCTTTATTCCGCAACCTTCTCTTCCTGAGTTATCCCCCTTTTGTTGAAAAGTGTGTGAATGCGATAGAGGCTTAAAGGTTTTAACAGATTTTTTTTTCAAATTTACTTGGAAGCAATGGGGTCTTAAAATTGCATGAACCCTAGAGATTAAATTTCTTCAGGGATCCTAGAATCCATATCAAATTTGCTTGACATCCAAGTTTTTCTTTCAGATGAGCTGCAGTTGAGACAAAGCTGTTGCCTGTGCCTTTTAAAAATATATTGGGATTGTTTACATTTAAACTTTGGGAAGTTTGTGGAACTAATTTTGTAAAGTTATCTTGGAGTATATTTTGACATTTTAAGTTTGAGAAGTTGATACAAGACAAAATTCTCACCAAAGTGCTAATGGCTCTTTTATGGTTCTATAAATGTACCTTTAAAGAATTTTACAAGGCATTGCCAATTTCATTTTAAATAAAAAGTCACTTTTATTTTAAAAACAATCTTAATTTCATTGCAACATAAAACTTAAATACATTTAACATTTTATAGTAAGCAACATGATATGTACAATGCAAATCTATAACCAAATAAATAATTAAATATATTATTTTGCAAATAAACCATTCTATATTATTTTGCAAATAAACCATTCTATATTATTTTGCAAATAAACCATTCAAATATATTATTTACATTATTATAAGTAAAAACAACAAAGAATTTAGAAATGTACAAGTTAGATTATCTTATCACAGATATAGCTTGACTAGGGTTCATTTAAAAAAAACAACAAAAAACAACTTCATAATAAATATCATTAGTACAACAATTGAATACCATTCATTTGTTAGTTGCAACATAATAATAACAGCTCTGCTGTAATCAATTAATTTTTTTATGTCTTTTTAAAGTTTGTAAGTTGACTTTTTAACATTGTAAATAAACATTCAGGCATTAAAATATAACAATTGTAACTTCTCTCATGATCTATTTCTGAAATTATGCAAGGCTTTTTTGAATTTACATCTAAACCGGTTAGATAAATTTCTTAAAAGATTAATTCGTCTTTAATTATTAAGCACTTGAAAAACTAAAAGGCTAGATGGATTAAATGTGCCTTTAAGATGTTAAATTAGTGTGCTGCATCAACTTGAAAATATCTTCTCTGAGTTCGTCTTCTAATGGATTCAGTTATTTCTACAAAATTGTTGTTATCTTTCAGGTGATTATTTGGACAGTTTCTTGTCTGGGTGATAGCATGGTTAAGTTCTGATTCCTGCAAAAATAAAAAAATATGGTGGGGTGTACTTTGAATTCATTTTTGTCAGTTTATCCAATTTAAAGTTGCTGATCATCATTTGTATTTTTGGAAAATATCTGATTTTTTACGGCTTTATCCACTCAAATTGATTATTTAAACATACATTATGCAAGAGCTAAATCTGCCTATTTGCAGGTCTTGCTTTGGGCCTGAAATGTTATATAAGCTATTAATTAGATATTTTAAAACATGAAAAGACCATAATCAACTCTCGATGCCATCTTATGTGTTGGTTTTTCACTGGATTTTAATCCGACTTCACCCACTTGCTGCTCAATGCTCATTGATGATTTAATCCAAAAATGGATAATCAAGACTGTTTTTTATCGTACCAACTTTAGTAATGATGATCGAAGCTAGGCCTAAAATTCGAACGCCAATATCTTGGTTCAAAGTGGAGCAATTTGTCTGAAATTTTCAGCATATTCCCTTTACATTATTTAGTTTTCAACTATTTTAGTGAGAACTGCCAGCTCTTTATCTAATCTTCCATAATGCCCCTTTAAAGATGCCTTTCAAAGTACAAACTGTGTGATTTAATGATATAAGTTAATTTAGACTAAAATATTCAAACTAATTTATCTCTCAAAAGTTGGCTTCAAATCCCTCTCAAAATATTTTAATTGGAAGAAAACTGTCCCAAGCTGTATAGTCTATTTTAAGCATTCTTGTTTGACAAGTGATTTGATTGTACAATTTGTCGCTACTGGCTGTCAATTTACCATAAATATCAAAGCTTATGTAATTTCTTAGATTATCCTCTGCCGTTTAATTGAAAGTCTATGGTCTGTTTAAGTCTCGCACTTCTCTCAACCTCTAGCCATTTTATTAACAAAACCAAGTGCTACCTACATCATTCAAGCAGGCATAAAAAGACAGATTGGCCATTATTGATCTCCTTAAATTTTTGTCTCGTGGGTGTTTTTCAGGGTATGTATTCTTCTAGTAAGATTGGGTGTCTGCTTTCCATATCAAATTTGTCATACTTTTACTGGAAATTTCTACCTTATAAAATTTTTTTAACTTTTAATTAATATGATAAAAATCAGAAAATCTGTGGTAGAACTTCCCTATAGTACATGAATGTAATGAATTTAAAAAGAGGCTCAGGAAACCAATGTTGTAAAGATTATAGGTAGCACTAGCTTGTTTTGACCATATCCAGATTATAGTTATAGTCTGCAGAAGATGCTGAATGTTAATAAATTTTCAGTTTATCATATATTTGTAAATACTGAAGAAATTAAACCATATTTGGGCTGATATTCCTTTCAGAGATTCAACTTTCATAACATTGTAGATCAGATAGCCTACCTTAAACTTTCTAATGACATGTTCCAAAAACATTTATTTAAATTTTTATCTCTATTTATAAATTTATGATTTCATCCGAAAAAAATAATTTTTCTCTTAAAAAACAATTCCCCCCTACTTTACAAATAGAAAATAGAATGGATTTTGGACAATTAGGATTGTACTTTTTATTAATGGTTCAAGGCCTTGTATAGAGATTCAGAACTAGTAGCCACAGTAACCTATTCTATTTCTGAAACTTGGCTTACACACTGTACAAATTTTACCTGCTTATCATCTTGGTATGGTTTTCTAGAATCAGCTTGTGAGAAAATGGGATCCATTGTAGGACTTGTAGCTAAAATATCTTGTGATTCTCCTGAAATATAAATAGAAGCACTGTAAATGTTTGAAATACTTGACTTTCTCTAGCTCTAAAAAATATTAAAAAATGGCACCTTATCCTCCTTTTTCAACATCAACAGGCATCAAAAATGTATGGGAAACTGTCAGTTATTTCAGATAATGAAACATTTATAAATATTTTCACTCAATCCCATCTGGGATTTTCTTAGAGCTTTATAAGAAAGTGACATACTACAATGCCAAATGTGTCATAATTTTACCTAACATGAACTAATGAACTGTTTCCTCTTTGCAAAAATTAAATAAAATATTATCAATCATCCAAACTTTGACTAATTAGGGAAGTCCCAAATAACATAAACCTAATTCTATATCCATCGTACAAAAGATTTTAAAGTAACATCTGTAGTGACCAATACTGGCCATTAGTAATATTTTGATTCTTTTTATTCCCTCGAACAGGAAGTTGGCTTTTGAACAAATTGATTACCATAATTGTAAGTCTGTGCTGTTTGAAAATTTCTGAGATCTGGAGTTTTCTTATTGTCACATTTGATTTTTCTCTTGATAACAACTTCTGTTAGAGACATAGATGGTGATGACTCCCTACTACCATAGGTACACACACTCTGCAAATTTCATTAACACAAAACATAAATATGTTAGTTTATTTATTTCTGTGGTTTCATGCTCGGAGAAGAATTTTGAATTTTGCCACAACCATATTTCCTCCTTCTTTTCTTTGAATTCCAACTGGTAACATTTTAAGGTCATTAAAAATTTGTAAACTTAATCACACTGTAACAGGATATCCACTAACTATTGTCGCACACCACATCATTCAACATGCCTTACCTTTTTCTCCCAAATCATGCAATTTCTACCTTTTATAATTTTAGTTATAAATCAACTACACACACATACCATTGTTGAAAACACTGTGGTGAGTTATATAAGTTATAGTAATTTTAAAAGATTAATAATAAAAATATTGTATACTTACTGCTGATGGTGGTGATTTGTAAGCTGAAAAACTTCTTTTGTTATCACTCCTAAAATATGTCAATTAAATTTTTAAGTACCAACAGGGAATCCCATACAAGCCATTTTTTTTATATCAACACGAGACACCTACTATTTTATAAAGTATTGTTTACATTAGTTTGATATCATCAAAGACAGATATGTATGATGTTTTATTTTTTACAAAATATCCATCTAAAACCAAGAGAAGGGAAAAAACATAGCTTCTGTGCAAGTTGAGATCAATCCAACCAAATGGAACAGATAAAGATTTACCATATTAGGCCTGAAACAGTCTAGTTGGGAGTGGATATTAAATCACATTTCTTTCATTAAAATTTGAGTGTATTAATGTAAATCATAACTTACAACTTTTGAATGTCTTTGTTTGGAATCTGCTCAATTCTTCTTTGATAGGTAAAAGTAGTTTCTGATGGCCTGTATCCAGGTTTTGATTGCATACACTCATCTTCAAATTGATAAATGGATTTCTGTCGAGAATCTTTATTTTGTTGAAAATCAAAATTATTGGTTACATAAGAGGTGTTGTTGCTTTTCATGGGATAATTCATAACATCTTGTTTGTTGGCTGAGAATTTTTGAGGTATCACATTTTCATTTTGCTCTTGAAAATTATAACCTTTGTCTTCAGTTTTGGATATTGTCTTGATTGTTCCACAATCGGTATGGGTTGGTATGGTTTCATCGTGTGTTTTGGCTCCAGAACTTCGTAAAACTCTTTTTGGAGGATCACTGGCATTGTCTTCTGTTACTAGAGGTGCAAGTTCTATTCCTTCAAATACATATTTATCCATTCTCGGTTTCTTGATTTTAGTTTCTTTATTAGCACCGTTTACTGTTTTCCTTTCCGATTTCTGTTTTGTTAATCTCTGTTTTCTTCTTTTCTTCCCTTTCTTGACAGGTTTTGATATTATATGGCTTTTTTCTTCACGTTTTTCTTCTTCAGATTCAACAAAATCTTCATAAATTTCTTCTTCAAATAGTTCTTCTTGACTTTCTTCTTGTGTCAGAGGTATTATTGAGGATACCAAAGGAGAAGGGGCTGCTTTTCTTTGTGGTAGCACAGCTGCCACAGGTGAGGGTTGCGGTTTACAAAACAAAAATCTAGAACTCAAGGGTCCATAAGCAGAGAGGGGAGACATGCGAGTAGGATACAGACTGCTTTGTTTTTGAAAAGAGCGGGATGGTGGATTCATTATTGTCTTGGCTTTATCGAACGCTGACGAGACTTGGTTTGATTCTTGAGTTATCGCTGCCCTTCGGCCTAGTATTGGTGAATCACCCCTTAAATTTCTATTTAATCCATTGAACTTTGGTACCACATCATTATTGGTCGCAGATAAAGCTTCTCTAGCCAATTGCTGCTCTTGTAGTTCATTTTGTATTCTCTTTATCTCTTCTCTGTGTCTTTCGTGAAGATTCTCGATTTGTTTTTTCACGTCAGAATGATATTTACTGAACTGATCTTCAAAATATGGCAATGTCAATTGAAAATCTGATTCTCTGTTCATCTTTACAATACTTTTTTCCTGATTTTTAGAAACCTTGTCTAATAATAGCTCTAACTGATGTTCTTGTAAGTTAAAATGTCGATTAAACTGGGTCTCCAGAAACATTTCAACACTCTCCCATTGTCTTTTAAACATGTCTTCAATCTTGTCTGTTGGAAGATTCACTGAATCATTTGACTTGAATTTATTTTTAGGAGATTTTTCTATGATGTTAACAAGTTGTTTCTGTAAATAATGAAACTGACTCTCTTGCACTTTATACAGTTCATCTAAACACTGTTTCTGCCAGGCATTCTCACGATATTTAAGTTCTTCCTTTACTGTATTTAATTCTTCTAAAATTCTGAAATGACAGAAAAATGTTTATAAATATAAAAAATGACTTGAAGCTGAAATATACTCATTTCAATAATATTTTACTTTTTCAAATTTGAGTCTCAGCATTGTTCTAAAACAAAACATTTATGTACATACTACATAAAAGAAATGCATTTTCTTATACCTACTATGGGTTTGATGACCTTTAGCTTTCATTAAGTTAAATGATTTCAGAATGATAATTGCAAATGTATAGTTCATCGGGATTTTCCGGCGTGGTTTCCCCCTTGTCAGTGGTGCAGGACGGAGGACCTGACAAGAGATGGCTGTCTAGTTGTCAGATGGGACGAAAAACTGAGGTCCCGTGTACAAATTTGTGTACCTGTAAAAGATCCCTTGGCAGTTGGAATTCGATATAAGAGTAGGCTGTAGTACTGCTGTACGGGCAAAAATTCCTCTCATAGCACACTGCATGGCGTATGCTCGTCTTCATTAGCCCAGTTGGAGCAGAACAGTAGGACATTAAAGTTAAACCCCATTTCATTTGCAAGTCTAAACCATTAGCCTACTTTTGAATAAATCAAAATTTCTAATTACGTCAAAAACACAGATTTACCTATATTCTGTATCTTTCATATTTTTCTGTTGTTTTTGTCGTGTTTCAAGATTTAATTTTCTCTGTATTTCAGCTTGATGTTTATATTCCTGCATCTGTAGATTTGATTGGTCAGTTTCTTCATTAACCCAATCCAGAACTCTGGATAATTTTTTATCAATGGCTGCTGTAGGTTCTTTTATTTCTTTCTTCAAAGTCTTTATAACAACTTCTTTATCTTGTTCCTTTCTTTCTTCCAACTGTTTCTCTAACTGAGCAATCGTGGCATCTCTCTATATTAACAAATTTTGTGATACAAACATTTAAAGCTACATCACCAGATTAGATGGTCTTGAAAAGGAAAGGAATATAAGGACGTCAAACTCACAAATATTTCTACATGGAATTATTGCTGTATTGACAAAATTTGGTTTTTCAAAATTTGAAGTGTCCGAAATGACCATGTGATGATAATCACTTACCACTGATATTTCTTTTTCTAACTGATTAACTCTCATCATTTTGTTCTCCTTTTCTCTCACAGCATTTAATATTCTATCTTGATGTTCGCATAAATCTCCTAGAACTAAAAATAAACAGGGAAAAAATAAGGCAAAAAATGAGCAGAGAGAGAGAAATGGGGTTTAATGTCTACTCGACACAAACTAGGTCATTTCGGGACTAACACATACTATTTTATTTCAATAATTCGCTTGCAGCAGTGGGAGGAAACAAAGAGGACCCAGAGAAATCCCACGAGGTTGAACAGGCCACCCTACTCCTTGTCACATACAACCTGGGAATCGAAACCATGGCAGTTGACTCAATGACATATCTTATGATACAGCTTGCATGTGCTAACAATTTGACCATCCAACACCCCAATGGTGAGCAGAGTTTGACATGTACATGGAGACTATCATGTCTGAGAACCTTATAATGGAACCTGGCATGAAACAATGTAATTCTATTGGATTTTTTTTGCAGATTAAGTGGTGATGCTTTTGTATAAAGCTATTAATTACAAATCCAAAAGGCATTTGGATATGAATTAGAATGTGCAACACTGTACCACACTCTGAAACAAATCATTTCACTTACATGCAGATATTGTTTCTTGAATTTTATCAGAAGATATGTCATTATTTTGTTGAATTATTTCCTTCATAGAATTCATTGTTATTTTCATCTGTAAATAAGTATATTATAATAAATAGGAATCATTTATACCATACTGTTACTGAAACCACTATAAACTGTAGAGTTAGAAATAAAATTCTTTATAATATTACCATCAACAAATCTTTTGAAAACAGATATTAATGAAAGCTTATATTCATAGTACACATACCTCTTTAGCGCTTTCTTGTACAACTGTTGCTACTTGTTGCAAAAGATCCCTGAAAAAGAGGATTTAAAGAAATTTTACTTTTTAGGTATTGAATTATCTCCCTTGACACATTAAATAAATTATGGTACTTTAATTTCATAATAAATTACTTTAATTTTCTTCTAATCAGAACAGCAATATAATTCCAATAACCACTCCTATTAAGTTAGTAAATTACTCTTGGCCATTCAAAATTTTTTAAATATTGCAGAGTTATCCCCCTTGACACATCAAATTTCTTTTATTTACATTTGTGCAGTAAATTAGGTGTACCGGGTACTCATAACCTTGTTAGGTTTATACAAGAGAAAAAACAAAAGCTACATGTTCACCACTCATAAAACATACTGAATAGTGACTTTCATTTTACAAATAATTATATTTTTTCCACACATGATGGGCTGATAAGAGCTACTTAGTTCTTGCACAAATTTTCTTTCGAGGTAAGTCCTGCATTGGTTGCACCCCGGCTATAACCTACCTGTCATCTCTATCTTTAGTCTTAGCTTTATGTATGTTAAGATGTTGTACAGATAACTCTGGTTTATTTGTGTTGGCTTTGGATGGGAAAGATTGTTTTGCCTCTGCAGAAGGTGGCACACCAGTTTTATACATTGGACCTTTACTCATCCATTTATCATACATAGACGGTCTTCTACTTGGCCCACCTGTGGTTGACATCTGATAAAAAATTATTTTTAAGAGCAAAATTATAACCCACGACAAATTAAAACTTTGATAGTGAATAAATGGTTTGTTCAGTTTGGGAAATCGGAATGCATCTTGAATTTATTTAGGGTAGTGGTTAGATATAAATTGTCAGTTTACATTATTATTTTTATTAAAATTATATCAAAACATCCACTGAACTTTATGAATTTATCAATAACTGTCTCAAATTCAAAATCAAATTAATCTGAGAATCAGATGAATCATTTTTCAAATTCTTCAATAAAAAGACCAGTTTTCCTTTAATAATCCGGGATTGTTTTTGCTTAAATTTACCTCTGATTGTGAACTGCTTGAATATTGTTGTGTAAATAAATCCTGTGAATTGATTTGAGAAAATTCATATTGAGAATTCAACTGTGAATTCATTTGTTGTGTAGATTCAATAGCAGAGTCATGGCCATCTCTCCTGTAAAAACAAATGGATATTTATCAGTTTATTTCAGTTTGAAATCTAGATGATCCATATAAAATTTCTGTCACACATTCATTAGAAATCAAACTATGTATAATAACAAACCAAATAATTAACATTTAATTTTGATTCATTCTAAATTGGATTGGGCGAGACCATAGCCAACAAAATTGCTACACATAATATCAACCAATGTCTACATTTAGTTTTGATTTAAATGGAAATCCGAACTTTACAGGTACGACAAGTTTTTGTTTTTTTATTAATGTGATAGCTCTACTTGAATATCATTTATGGATAACATTTTTGTTTGACTGTTTTGTTTACTTACGGATAACTATCTGACAAGAGTTCTTTGGTTGGTACAACATTTCTCATCAGACTGTCTAATCTTCTAAACATCTGATTTCCAGAACTACACATTCTGACTTTGTCTATCCTTCTGTTTGTAAATGATCAACTGTCAAAAATAACAGTACTTATGGTAATTTAAAAACAGTAGCTTATCGTACCAAAAAAAGGTAACAAATAATTGTATGGTGGTGGCATGAGCAAACTAGTTTTCAGCTTGCAGGCAATGACAGCAAGTTTTACAACATCTTGATCTTTGGAGCATAAAACCAATTAAATAAAGGAGCTAAATCGCTAATATTTGGGACCTAGAAATTGACACAAATGGGTCGCAATACAGTAATGTAATATGAATGTATAAACTGATTTACATTCAATCGTATCCCTCTTTAATCTAATTTCAAACCAGTTATATGTTTGGCAAAATAGGCCAGAAGTCTCACGCGAATGGCAATCTCTAGCATCTGGTTATTCCAGTCTACACTGATAGTATTTATTGCTCATGCTCTCCAGATAAGAATATGGTGCCACTGTTTGACATGGTTAGATCTATTTCATAAGGCCAACTTCAAGTTTGGACGTTTGGTCAAAGGTCACCAGATATAAATAGGGCTAGCGCTAATATCAACCCTAAACCTAATCCTCGACCTAGCCCTAACACTTATCCTAACACTAACCTACAATCTCACCAACAATCATGTGCCCTAACCTTATTTACATCTCAGTGACCTTGACAAAATCTTGAGTTGACCGTAAGGAATTGATCTCTATAGCCGTTTGACATGACTTGTAGAATTTCTCTATCCTCTTTCTTCGAGTCCCTTATATTGTTAGTAATGTTACAAACAAATGGCACTGAAATGCATTGCCTATGGTACACGATTCGTGTATCAATGGTAAAATGTTTATTTTGTCTTTTAAATACTGGATATCAGAAGCCCATCCTTTGCCTGTAAGATCACAACATCAATGTTGATTTAAATTGACAAATAATTTGTGTTTCCATGTCGAAGACTTTGGATGATATTGAGTTTAGAGGCTTACTCACTTAGACTAGATCTAGCTACCCAGAAACAGGGCTACTTTGAACATTTTTTTTTTATTTATTAATGATTGCTAATGCTAAGCTATTATATATTTTTAATTACTATTTTTAGCTATAATTCATGGGGAAGAAAAAGTTTTATCATAAATTCACTTAATTCAGGTTTATTTTGGTGTAGGAATATAATTTTGTTAAAAACAAGCCAACAGCAAGGCTGATGTCCCCCACTAAAAATCCCAAAATAAATAGATGACACATATTAATTAATTGCACGTTTATCTTTTTCAAAAGTATTGAGCAATCAAACTGATTATCTACTATTAACTATACACTAAGTTTCATCACTCTCTGAGTCTCTATCAGATAGAATCAAAGTCAAAAAATTGCTTAGCACTGCTTAACTTTAAAGCGGAAATGTTAATCATTGAACTTAGTCAAGACATTCACCTAATGAACATCAGCATTAAGTTTAAACATTCTACCTCAATTAAAAGCAGAGTTATTATGTTCTGAAGTCTTGACCAATCAAATTGCTTATCGTTCCTTAGCCTAAGCAGAAAATTCTCATCAAACTTAGTCAAGGTAATGACATAATGAATCATAGCTCTTACTTAATTATAATAACTGAAGTCATCGTGACCAAAAGCATCAACCAATCAAATTGCTTATGTCTGTTTACCCTAAGGCTAAGCAGAAAATGCTCATCTTCAAACTCCTTCAAGACATCATAAACACCTACACCAAGTTTGAACATTCTAGCTCAATTAGTAGAAGGAGAGTTATTGTGTCCCAAAAAGTGTGACAGACAGGCGGACGGACGGACAGACAGACGAACCCATTTTAATAGTCCCCTGCTTTCTTCGAAAGGTGGGGGACAAAAATGTGGGTGTTCAATCTTGCCTCGCCAATAGGGTAACTTTGAACGACACATAAATTTCCATTCAGTATAAATTCAATTCATAAAAATACTTAGAATTAACATTTCAACAACAAGTCATTTAGGTGTTTTTTAATCTTGAAAAAGTGGGGTTACTTTGAATGGTTCATAAAATTGCAATCGATAAATTATTAATTAATGGAAATTTAATAAATCTATCAAAATGCGACAGTGCATTCATTTGTTATAGATAATCAAATGCAAGAAACATAACAAATGTTGTGAATAATTTATGTCTTTGGGGAGAGTTCTAAATCATGTTCATCAAAGTTGCCCCATTTTATTTTACTTCATAAATTCTACTTCTTTCTAGTCTATTATTTTTAGTATTTCTGTATATAAATTTTTGGCCAAAAGTTAAAATTTGACCGGGTACGCGAGTCAAGAAAAACCTATCAACTATCATTACTATATATCCCCTCCACCCCCCCCGCAAAAAACCCAACAACCTTCGTCTTGTCATTATTGTCATTGGACATACACCATCCTTAATCCTTCATCATTCCACCCTTGCCTTTCCCCTGGCCCTTGCATGGCTTGATTTGGATCTCTGTTAGTATTTTATGTTTTACCCTGCCATGTGTGAACTTTTCAAATGCTGTTCGATAATTATGTCTTTAAGCGAAATGCATGTTGCCTTGATTTCTAATTTCTGATGAAATCATTGCTTACCAAAAAACAACCAAACCCGTCCCCAATGTGCTTTGCTAGCAGACGATGTTCGATGAATTCCGGATATTACGTCATAAGTCACGCCTTTATACGCAAATAAGGTCATGTGATTATAATTCCTACCAGTCATTGGGTTAATATTGTGTTTATCTTCAACCAAAGCCACGTGAGTAATTCATCCATTATCAGACTAGCTACGGTTGCAAACAAATATTGTTTACGACGCCATTTCTTGGAGATATCCTTGTCACATACGTACGCGTCAGTGGTTTATTCTTTCTTTGGATCAATGCCTTTGTATATCGCAATGATATGAAACTTTAATTTAATTTGAAAGGGATGAAAAAGAGGGAGGAAGTTAGATAAAATTTGCTATCACTGGCATTGCCATGGCAATTATGTCAACAATGGAGTGACAGAAACACCCATTCGTTCTATTGAGTGCATTGATTATTGAATATTTGATCGATTGATTATTGATAACATTATATTAACTGATCATTTAACAGGTATTGGAAAATGCCGAGCCATATTGTTGGCAGTTGGGTAAGAATTTACCTTTTAGTGGGATAAATATACAATTACTATCTATAGTCTACTAACTATATCAGACATGTTTCACACCTATCTGTAAAAAACCCAGAACAGTATCAGTATTTAAATGATACTCTAGATTTCATTTTGTTTTAATTTAATCAAATTTTAAATATGCTAGTAAACGTTTTTATACAGATTTAAAATCTTTATTTTCACAGGAATCCTACAGTAATAATACAATTTTATGAATTTATTTCATAATCATTCTTTTGATATTATAGTTTCCAACTGGTTTTCATGGACATTTCCGTAATAAAACCCGAAATGATTTTGTGTGTGAATACAGGATATTAGCAAAACCTCAGCCACCAGAAAAATTTCTTCGAAGATCAGTAGTAAGTTTATTCAAAAGGTTTTTTAAAGCTAAAACAATTGTAACAAGACAGATAATTGTATTAAATACTTCAAGGAGATGGAACATAAATGTATCAGGCAGCAATCTATTGAAGACATACAGTACTGCCTTACATTACTGTGGTCATTTGATAAACAACGGTGGCATATGCAGGATTTCCAAATGGGTGGGTAGTTGAGACACACAATGGTATTAAATCTCCAAGATGTCTCTATTTGCTATGTGACATAAATGGTCTATATAAATACAAAATTCATTTACAAAAATGAATTGAATAAAAGTATTTATTTTTAAAGAAGTTATAATGATGTGAAAATTCAATGTCTTATTCAAGAAAAGTGACACATTGCATTATTGGACTGCTGGTTATTTGCCTTTGAGGGGGGTTGAATGGCTGAATGGTTAAAGAAGTTAAAATGATGTGCAAATTCAATGTCTTATTCAAGAAAAGTGACACATTGCATTATTGGAGAGAGAGAGAGAGAAGGGGTTTAACGTCCACTCGACACAAACTAGGTCATTTCGCGACTAACATACGGTTTTAATTTTATTTCAATAATTCGCTTGCGCGTAGGGGTCTTTAGCAGTGGGAGGAAACCGGATGCATTATTGGACTGCTGGTTATTTTCCTTTGAGGGAGTTGAATGGCAGAATGGTTAGCACGAGCGCGCTGAATAATAAGGTTTGTCATTGAGTCAACTGGCGTGGTTTCGATTCCCCGGTTGTATGTGACAAGGAGTATGGTTGCTTGTCCAACCTTGTGGGTTTTCTCCAGGTCCTCCAGTTTTCTCCCATTGCTAAAGACCCCTATGCACTTGCGAATTATTGAAATAAAATAGAACCATATGTTAGTCCTGAAATGATATAGTTTGTGTGGAGTGGAATTTAAACCCCAGCTCTCTCTCTCTCTCTCTCTCTCTCTCTCTCTCTCTCTCTCTAATTGCCTTTGTGCCTTTGAGCTAGCTGTTCTAAGCTAATCTTGATGGTCCAGTTGAAAAGATCACTTCAAACTATGAAACACCTCAAAATTTGATTCCATAATTGGCCTAACCTGTGTGAATAAGTAATAGAAATAAACATATTATAAAAGTCTTAATTTTTAAAGAAGTTACAAGGATTTAGGGGATTTAAAAAGTTAGTTATGTCTATATTTAATATTATTATTAGGCTAATTTATCAGTCAATCATTATGGTTAATAATGATTATACAATCTGTGAATATCTTATGAATACTGACATTCAAATGTGTGTACTGATTAAGATTCACTAATATTCAAAATATTTCACGTGAACCTGTAATATATAGCCAAGTAAAAGTTGTCTGATGGGGGCATAAAGGATGTTGATTAAGTAATTACAGGTGTTAAACAACAGTTGGATAGTGCAATAAACAAAATATCTAAAATTTCAGCTATCCATCCTAAATGCACTGATAAAACTAAGCCACTGCAATTTCTATGCATATATATGATGTTTGCATGAATCTCATCTGTTTTAATTTTCAAAAATTCTCTTTACATTTGGAATCAGGTTACAGAGATACACCCTTTTTTTAAAAAATATGTTATATCCACCATATTCAGAAGTACTTATACAGTGTATAATATAATCATTATTGTGCTCTTTAAAAATATGATTTGCGTTAATTGTAGGTTATATACTGGTTAAATAACTACCTTGTTTAACAAAACATGATTTATTAATATAAATTGTAGATTCAAACAGACATGTCTTGGAATAATGGGGACTCTATTTCACGCATACAGTACTATACATGTACAATGGATAATATAATTCTTATAGAAATTGATTACTTTATTATTGAATGCAGAATAAACTCCCTATGAATACTGTCATTTTATGCCTTGGTAAAGTTATATAGGATATTATATGTTTAATGTTTTCATTATTCATGTGTTATTTCTATTGAGTCTGTGGGCCTTTGATTTTGAAGTACAGGATTAAGTTGTATTTCTTATGTTATTAACTTGTGTATATTTATTAGACTTTCGAGCTATAAAATGGAAATTGACTCACAAAATCAATGACTTATATTAAGGTTTCTGACTATGAAGCAGCTTTTTTGAGAACAGATGACATACTTTAATATATTGAGCTTAGCTTTAACCCAAAACCTGATTTTCATATTCTTAGCCAAGTTCCACTGAAAGAATGCAATATGAAAGCCTAAAAAAAACAAAAGAATGTTGCATTGAATTTATTTAAAGCCAATATCAACTGGAGGATTAGTTAAGGCACTAATCTTATTAAGTTGTTAATCCCTTATAACTTTGCCTCTGTCATGAACTTTTGGATATATTAATTCTAATATGCAGGTGCATGTACTTTACTTTGTATGATTCAGAACTGAAATAAAGTTTACATAGTAAGTAAATGAATAATGTACACAGGGAACATAGACTTGTGATAAACAGGTTTAATAACTCACAGAGAAACAAATAGTCACATTCTAATCATTGGGGAAATTGGATAGTGCACAATAGTTACATCAAACTATCCACTGAAAATGAGTGTCTATAGTCATGTAAATTAACATGCAAACTATTGTACTGGCATTGTAAAGAATTTACATTGATCTTTCTTAGAGTTGTATATCTTCAAAGAAATCTTTCATTATTTTTTTTTTTCTTTTGGCAAATTTTAGAAAAAAATATATTTTGAGTACTGATGAAAGCCAAAACATGTATAAATTTAAATAGATTTATTTATATATTTTCTCATATTGCCAAGACTGGTGCACTTTGTCTATTTTACTTGGAAATGATATGTTCTAAAATGTAACCTACATGTGTTGTTTATAAGTTTTAAGTAAAATTCTATGATTTATATAGAGAAGGTTGTCTCTAATACATTAGTTTTCAACCACTGAGAAGACTAAGTACTTGTCTTCTTGACAGGTACTCTCCATAAAAGATCTTTGTTGGAAAGGACTATGGTATGTAGTTACCAATAAAAGCTCTTGAAAAATAAGCAGGGCTTATCCTAATCGATTTTAATCTACAGATACCAAATATATATATACACAGTCCAAGAATATTGTATATGCCCTTACTTTCAGTTAATATTTTATTTCTAGAAATATCAGAAAAATATTAATTTTTATAACCTGATTAGGCCTATAGTATGGTATTACAAAAAATACTCCTTCGATTAGACCAGATTGTCGACTCTATTATATTGTAAATGTACACAAATGATATATGTTTGGCAAAACCTACTAATATAAACCAAAATTACCCTGATGTATTTATCAACCATTTGAACCCTACATTGTATGTTATAATACATCCACATATAATGAATAGCAAGTAGAATCACTCCAGGACAGTTGACCATCAACATTCACGTAACTAAATTGAGGTAAATGTAAAATACATTTGTTATTTTGTCTATTTCAGCAACCAGGAAGTAAGAATGTATTTTCACATCATGATAACAGACATTCTTTTTTGAATGATGCTATGATATTTGAACAGGTAATTTTACCTTAAATAAGTTTATCACCCAATAACACATTCTACAATAGATATCAATGGTGTGATAACTTTCATATTCTACTGAGCGATATCTTCTAAAAGATTATACACTTTACATGAATTTGATTGGTTAGTTAAAAAGGACGGAAAAGGTTGGGTGATCAATAAAATCTTCTACTCGTCTTTTTTGATATCAATAAATATCAACACTCGTCGATAAAGTAAAAAAAAAATCAGCAAACCCTCGTTCTTTTTTTACATTATCGACTTGTGTTGAAATTTTTTTATATCAAAAAAGACAAGTAGGATATTCTCTATTTATAAATGGTAGGATCAGGGCTCAAATAGTAATGGTAAAATGAGATGTTTTTGTATAAGATTAATATTTTTATCTTGTAATGTTTAAGTAAAAACAAAGAAGAGCTTTTGAGCAAACCATTGTACTAGATTACATTTATTTCATATTTTTCAAACACTTGTAATTTATAATCCTTGTTTAATATACATGTATATGCCGAGTCATATTACATCATGTTTTATCTGATTATTTAGCTCATTGGGTGGCTACCCTGGGTCCAGTACTCGCATCCTCACCAATCTACCCTTGCACCTCACCAAATCCACACCAATAACACAAACAATTACCTCTTATTTCTTTGTTGATGTTTTTTTAATTCATCAAATATCTTGATAATTCAAGATTATCGTTATTAAATGAAAATTGTAAAGAGATCTTGGTGTATTTAATAAGCATTTAATCTCCTGTAATTCCCAGCGATAAGCCTAGACTACTAATCAATATACTAGACTACTGATATATCTATAACTAATTACACTGATCTATATTAAAATACACTAGCCTGTATTATACCCTTTTATATCATGTATCACTGGTTAATCAATGAATCAATACAAAACTAAATAGCTTATCAGTCCCTTGAAATAATATAAGGCATTTTAGTAGCCATATTTATTTGTATGCTGTATTGTACTGGACAAATGTTCAGCAATGTACTTTTATAAAAAAAACTGGCAGATATGATTTTGAAATTCGATAGGTTCCTTTGTTAAACCTTAATTAATAAATAATTCTGCACATTTTTTTTATCAAGAACTCTATAAGTAACTCTAGAAAGAATGCTTTCTTGCATTCACAAGATTTCATAAAGATAACTCCTCAACTGTTAAGCTCTGAATATGATCCTATAAACAATCCTTGTAAATCTGTCATATACTCTGATCAGCAGAGTGTTCACCAGACAAACAACGTCTGTATACATCCACATCAAATGTGGGCATACAAAAAAAAATCTATAATTTCTAGTTAATCTTGGCATCAAAATAACAGAATGCAATGAAGGATTTATTAATAAACTAGGGATCAGATAAGATTGATTTTTGAAAATAGCAATATTTTAAACTAATATTGAATGCATATACCACTAGCTTCGTATTTGGTTATTATTAGCATTTCTAACTACCAATAAACGCAGTATCAATAGTAAATTTTAACCTTGACGAAGGAAGGTCTTTGCCATAAATACTTATATTCTCCCCTAATGTTTTATTGTCTGCTAATAATGAAATATTGCCCAATCTTGCCTTATTTCACAGGCTTATTAAACCACAGATTATGTTTATCCACTGTAAATAAAGATCTAGAAACTGACTATTATAACATGTAATAGCTACCTACCAGTACTATTGGATATAATGATATTAAAGTAGTATTTAATTATTGGGAAAGTGTAATTTGTCCCGATATAAACAATCAAAGATGTAGTCAAGTATTGATATCAAAGGGACAACAAGCCAGAATAAAAGGCAAATACAAGAGGCCAGATTTATGGGTGTGACATAATGCTGCCCACAATACAAATAAGATCTTGTCTTAAAATGCATTTGGTGTTCAGATAGAACTTATGAATAACTTGATATCGAAATTGAAGGCTATATTAAAGACATCAATTGTGTTATATAATAACACCCAAAAGATTAAAATGTGAATAGACAGGTTTATCTACTTGTGAAATATAGGGGAAAGTCAATATACTTAACATATTGTTTACTTTCACTTGATATACCTTCACTTGATATACCAAAATAGTTTTATCCATTACTTAGATACCAATATCAATAATGCACATTTATTACAATGGTGTATATGAGATATTCTATAACCAAGATATTTTGGTTATTTTGTGGAGTTAGACGGGAGGTATATTTTAACAGATTAATTGCTTTTTAGGTACTCTCTTGCCCAACTAAATCAGAAATCTTGTCTACAAAATAAATATGTAAGAAAAGATTATGGTGGCTTTATAAGTCATTTATCATTTTTACCTACACAAACAAAACAACCTAGCAATCATGAATTGTTTTAATTTACATTATTCAAAAAATCTGATATTTTAGCTTGTATCAGTATGTTGCTTGTACTACAGTGTAAAGATAGCATTTATATTGTAAAATAAAAACTTCAGCTGTAAAAAAATATGTACTAAGAAAGATAAAGATGATGGTGTGATATCCATTGAACAATTTAACCATAAAACAGCCATTAGAATTAATCAAAATGAATAGGTTTTTTTAAAAAATATAATTGTACTTTTTGATTTTTTATTTTGGCATATAAGGACTTTAAAAAAAAATAAACCCAATAAGATATATCCACCTATGCCATCTAGTGAAAAGAAAGTTGATTTTCCTTACCATTATCCTGGAATTTCAGTGTCCTATGTCCTACAGTCTGGGTTATGTTTATATTATTAGCCAGGTATCTATTTAGAAAATATTTTACACCCCACCCCACCCCAAATACAAATGACCCTGTATAACTATCTACCTTTAAATTAAAATTAGCTTTTATTTTTTCAGGGTCTTGGTCGAAAGAGAATACAAAACTCAACGTATGACTTTAAACCAAATTTTATTACCTGGATGCCCGAGAAGGAATATGTGGAAAGAATGCGGCCATTACTCTCAACTTATCACATAGATTACAAAAGGGAACAAATTCGTCCATCCACACAACTATTAGTGGAACGGCCAAAAACATCTTTTGATTGTACACCCACAACAACGTATAGATATTCCCATTGTAGTGCATCCCCAAATCAGAATATGATTAATGCAATGAATAATGAAGCGTTAAAGATAACAAAACAACATCAGATACAGAGAGCGAAATCAGCAAAAGCAAGGGTTCGAGAATCTGTAGCAAGCTGTTTAAGCTGGTATAACCCCCCACACCCACCTACTAGCCCTAAAGTTGGTGTCCAAATAGACTGTTTGTCTCCAGAAAAAATAGATCAAAATCCAACGTTGGAGCAGCCTGTTGAAAATTGTACGGCTTCAACAAATGTAGCAGTTTGTAATAATGATGACAATGGAGAGTAGTTTCCTTTTTCCAAAGAATCAGGAGCTAAACATAGAATTTGTACAGTAAATCGTTATCAATGGCTAGTAATCTCCCTTTAGTCTTCAAGTTTTGTTCTGATTTACATGCAATATGACATTGGAGTTATTATTTTGCTCATTCTTGGATATAGAGCAAAGCTGATTCCTTATTTGCTATATAACAGATATTATCATAAATAAAAGTTAAATGGTGTAGGCTTTCCTAACTGAAATAAAGAATAAATAGATTTGCCTCCCTTTAGTCTCCAGAATTCTCTTGATTTCCTAAGGTAGAAGAATAATGATATGTTCTACAATAATATTATTTTCATAGCAAACGAAAACTCTCTATTTTTCATTTGGGTTTTTTATAATGGGAAATTGGGTTTGAAGGTCAATTGATTAAAACTTATTATTTTTTGTTTTTATTAATCAACAACTCCTTCCGATTTCAAGGTTACAGAAAAATAAAAAAAAGTAGAAAATAATTATTTTAAATCTTGCTTATCTGTGATGAAAATAATGCAATAATTTGTTAATGAATTACATGACTTTTTCTTTTTTAACTTTTAATTTGTTACATTTTGATATATATGTATATAGTTTTAAGATAATATTGATTAGACTGCTGATTAAATTTGCATAAACTTCTTTCTTCTATATTTATACCATTTTGACCAGCTCTTGGCCAAAATATAAAATTCACAACACTTTATACTGTTATGAGACATACAAAATGTAGGCAGTCAGCTTTGAAATTATTATACACCATAACATTAATTTTTTTTTTAAGAAAAAGCGACACAAATTACTGATAGGCATGAACCAGTTTTCCATAGCAACCTAAAATGGCACATTTCAAGCATTTCTGATAATGTTTTGCCTTTGAGAATTGGGAAACTAAAGACAATTATGCTGAAGACTGAAAATCATAACACAAAAATATTTAAATGTTTGGTGCCAATCTGAAATATAGATTGTATGACATACATTTTATTTAGTCCAAGCTGCTCATATTTATTGCTTTGTGTTTAAATTTAACCTTAGTTTTCTATTTTTTTATAAAGGACTGTATGTGGTATACTTTATTTTAGACTGGTGTTGGACATTATAAAGTTTTGGGAAGGCTTATAGCTTAAGTTAAACATACAGCCCTCAGCCCCTCACTCTATTTCCAGTACATGTTTTCCAGATACAGTTTTCTGTGACCCAGGGGCCTGTTTCACTAAATTTTAACTAAGATAAAATCCAAATTTTAGTAATTTGATTGGATAATTTTAGATTGGTTTTAGTGCTTAGCCAATCAAAATTGAAGTATCTACTTAAATTTGGATTTTATCTTAAGTTAAAATTTCGTGAAACAGGCCCCTGGTGGATAGCTGGAAACTTGAACTAAGTTGAACTGGGAAATATTCTAAAGAAACATATATTAATGTTAATCTTAATTTCCATGTAGTCAGCATTATATTTTATTAAACTGCCAGTTTATTTTGTATCAGAATTAAGAACGAAATTAGTTTACCTGTATGTACAGGTACTAATAAGAAATTGTATGTTAATCCAATATAAGTGCTTAATATTGATGAGGTTCATTGGGAAAAAGGAATGTGTAATATGTATCCCATTCATCAAAATGCACCCCATTAATAAAACATTTATGGAGTGTGCATTGCATTAGTCAGTACCTAATAGAATTTTTATTCCATTAGTATGTGTATTTCATTTCTCACATATGGATGGAATGTGTATACCATTGTGGGTGTTTAAAATATAGGCGTACTTATTCATAAGTAAGTGTAATATGTACATTTAGTTCACTGCCTTAAAATCTTATTGGATGGCTATAACTTTCGAAATTCTAAAATGACTTTTTTTGCCAAAATCATTTTTCAAAAGCCATAACATAAGTAATTGGCTTGCCAGAATGACAAGAGAACCTCTATTGTTGTGATTAAGATGACTAAAGATAAGTAAACTATGGCTGCTTCATCTTTGCAAATATTTATCACTTGTGCTATCTTAGATTTCACATTTATTTACATCTAGTATATTTTTTCGTGTTATAATCACAACTAAACTATTGTAGATAAATCTGAATATACCTGCACAGCTATGTTTTTGTTCTATATACCCGAACCTTACAAATTCATTATTCCAGATGATTGTAGTTCATATTTTATCTCCACTAGTATTGATAAAATATCACTAAATTTGTATACATTGTCATGCAAAGATTTTTTTTCTCCAGTGTATTTAAAATACGAAGTGCATTGTTGAATGAAATGGACACACAAACAGACATTTACACAATCAATGGCTTTGTCCAGAAATTTATTCGTTGTAATCGATGTGGAGAATGATCAGGACTCAATGTCAAACATGATATTAATACTATTCAACGAATTTTTAAAACCAATGAAATATTAAATGAATCCCGTTTTTATTAATGGCACCATCAATACATTGTTTAACCTTTAATTTTGTCATAAATTTTGTTATTAAAATTATATAAAAAACATACCCTGTTTGTGTAATTATATATCAATAATACAAATATAAAGAAAATCTACCTCAATGAGGCATTATGTAAGGTTGAGATACAAACATTTGCTTTTCTTGCTATAATATTTCAAATGAAATGAATATACTAAAAATTTCAAGTTATGAACATTTGCAGCTGTGACAATAAAAAGTCCAAATTGTATCTGCTGATTGCCAATTGAGTTGCCCAAATAATAAACAGTCTCTATTTTCATTCCTTCAAACCACAGTCTGCATAAAAGGCGGCCATATTATAGTTTAAAGATGATGGACATTGTCTAATCCACTCAATATTTAAGCCATTGGATAATGTAGAGGGTTAAGTATGGGCTTGTCATGTGATAAATGTCTAAATAATAATTTATATAGCAGTTAAAGCCAGTAAAAAGACTGCAACAGGCAGATATAACCTTGTATAATGACTCTTTAAATGTAATGGAAATCGAATTGGGACCTGTTTTTTCACTGTGGCGAGTGTCATGAGGTTAGTTTCAACAATTTTAAAATATATGCTTTTTGAAATTACCCTATGAAAGATCCGTTTGATCAACAGCATTATTAAGATATATATTGTTAAACATTGTTAACCAGATTTAGAATATGCAAATAAAATAATATGTTCTGTGTAATTAATATCTGTACCACTGTATATTACTATATGATAATTTGTTTATTGTTTTCATAACCATAGAAATGGAAGTTACCATATGTTTGTCTCAAAATGATTGAATTATTTTGTTGACCAGATATTGAACCTTTTTCCATTCCATTACTGTCTTGATTAATATTTTTGTTAATTTTTTTAAAATTACAAGTCAAAAATAATAAATTTATTATCTAATGCCATATTGTTTTTTTTAAAATATATTTTTACTGATTCCCTTAGAAATTTATCTATCCAAAGAATGATTATTTAGAATAAATCATGATGATCTATTAAAAGAAGAATGTGGATGACACCAAAAGTTATCAATTCAGAGAATAGCATATTTAATCACTAATTGGTCTGTCAGAAGATATGTATTATACATATGTATAACAGTGACACTGTGGAAGTATTTGACTCAATCAGAAACATAACAAAAATCTTTGGGATCTGATGCATGACACACCCCTTCCCTACTAATAGCTATTAGTAGTAGTTGGTAAGCTTGGGTCAATAAATAACTCAACAAAAAGGTTTTACTATATATTACCAAAATGGATGAATATTTTGTAATCAAACTTATCAAACAGACCCATTAAACACTAACAATTAAACTTATTAAACATCACAATAACTTTTATCCCATCCAACCTGCCTTTATACAGTTAGCTCCGCTTGAGAACAGGCACTAAGTTAGTTGATCGACATTTTAAGTCCTAAATCAATGATTTTTGTTGAAAACACTATGTATACTTCGAGAATTTTGAGAAGTATTTATTACGCATCTATTCAATAACATTGAAAAGGTTTATTTGTTCTTTATGTGTATGACAGATGTGAAACGGAATAAAACTGCAATACAAAATAGTATACTAATTTTCGGATATGGCAGCCATTTAGGGCAAAGATCTATTCTCGAAGTATGAAGTAGATGGATCCAACCTTTGTGAACAGCCTAGAGTCCCTTGAAAAAGTCACCATATCATGTCAAATTCATGTATGTTTTTCTCTCCTGACACACAAGTTTAATCTACAAAAGCAATTCTATTTTCAGTTTTTGGGTATCATTCCACTTTCACTTTATTTTTGCATCATTTGACTGTCACTTTGTAAATAAAGTTTATTTCCAGTTATAACAATAACTATGCACACTACAGACCGTCTCTATCTTTTGGAGGATTAACCTTTCTATATTTTTTCTCTGGTCTGAAATGTAATTGTAACATGGATTAAAAGAACATAAATACAATACAAATAATATATACATTTATACTAGTTATTTTCCCCCATCCGTAAAGCACATCTGGATGTCCAAAATATCTGCCCATATGATCTATCTGACAGATTTTAGTAAATATTAATTATTTTGTCTTACATAAAAAAAATCACTATACAAATTGAGGGGGTGAGGCTAAACAAAGTATGATAATGAAAAACTCTAAAGAGGGTTGCATGGTAGCCCATTATCAACTTACCGTGGAAACCATCTATGTTTTGTTTCATAAAATATATTGGATAATTCAGCGTCTGTTGGTCCATCAGGTCTATGTTTTACTGACTCTTCTTTTAATAACTGAACTTTTAAAACTGTATCACCCTGGAAAACATATGAATAATTATACATGGAAAATGGAATGATACATATTAAGATCACATCATAAAAAAAACTAAGAGATGAAACAAATGCTAGTAATCAACTCAAATTAAAGGTAAGTCATTTGTTTTTTCATAATACTAATATTTGTTTTTAAAGCAGATAGGATTTTATCATAAAATAAGGCATTTTGTAAATTCCCATGGCTATCGTATGTGAAGTTTCTCCTCACATTATGATAGTACCATGAGAAACTGTTGAAGCTATTAGTCATTTTCCCATAAAACAGAATGGAAATGAAAAATAAAAGAATGATCAATCAACTGAGTTACATCGTAGATATTTTATTATTTTGATATATTATTTACCTCTTCTAATTCTTGTACTTTTCTAGGAATGGGCTAAAAAAAATAAACAATTCTTAAAGAATTACATGTATAGGCTAGTTTCACAAAATAAAATGAGTTGAAAATTCTCAGTTCTTGAACAAAAACTTTACTAAAAAAATAAACAGTCAACCAGGTCATAAAAAGTTGTTTGGACTACAATATGTTGTATCGACTCCCATTTCTATCTGTTATATCACGAACTGTGCAAATTTGTCTGATGACTGATAAAGATGGCTCCAGGAACCTTGTTTCAGACATCAGGAATAGGATTTCAATGTGGCCAGAATATTATCCAATCCTGAATTTCAAACAACTCAGAGATCGGATTTCAAATTCAAAATGATTCATTTCAGTCAAAGAAATCCAAGTGGTTTGAAGTAATTGAAGTGCAATAGTCAATAATACTCATACTGTCACATTCTCAGTTGACTTGTGTATTGGCATATTATGTCAGCAATGGACTGGCATATTATTTCTAATTTTTCATACAGTTTTATTTGAAAATCGCATAAAAGTATAATAAATGATTGCTAAGCAAAAATTACATTTTTATCAGCTGGCAATAATGACATACACCTACCTGTGAGTGTTCATAAGGAAAATTTTGTTCTGGATGCCAGAAGAGAATGGCACTACCGTCAGGTGACAAACATGACTGGGTGGATCTATATGTAAAAATACGAATTTTACAGTACATGTAATACAGAAAAAGCTTTCAATTTATGTTTGCAGTATTCAACAAAATCTGATTATCAATTCTGAAACAAATTACATATTTTGTCTGATATGGCATCCCATAAAACTAGGACTTCTCTTTCAACATTTGATCTAATGAGCCAACAAAATTCAGCATATTGTAGATTAATTACCTTTTGTTTGAAGAGTCATCAGAGTAACTTGATAATCTTCTCAAATATATTGGAGATATAGCTGAAAATACACAAACAACACATTAGTCGCAGGGTTTTGCTATCTGAGGGATAAACTCCACTTATTGAGAATGGTCTTTATTTTAATATTACACCACTTTCGATAACTTTCACTTTCGATAACTTTCACTTTCGATAACTTTCACTTGCAGGAGTTTCATTGTAAAATCAATTTACAAATCTTATAAAATTCATGAAATAATTTCTCAAACAGTAAATAAAAGAATACATACAACAACATACATCATGCATATCGCATTTTAACAAGGCGTTGGAATACTTCACTGTTGTAATTAGGGATAATCAAAAAAATGGGGAGACAGATTTACAGACTGTTAAAAAGCCTCTGTGCAACATTTGTATTTTGCCGAAAAATATCAAAATATCAACGACTTAGTCCATGCTAAAATGTACTCAAACTAATTATTTAACATTTTATTAAAGATGTAGTATGTAAGTTCTAACTAAATCTGCCTATTGCAGGTCTTTTTGGGAGGCCTCAAATGTTATATAAATTATTAATTAGGCATTTATTCACATGACAAACCCATGATCAACTCTCTAGACTATCGATGGTCGTGAATTTTAATGGACTGAAACACAATCGTCGTTTCGTAATTACTTTAATTTCAAAATGGATAATCATGACTTTGATCATTATCATAACAATGGTAGCAATGAAAATCAAGAGTACACTAAGTATTCTTATCAAAACTTCCAACTTTTATTAAACTTGGCTCACAATAAAGTAATTTAACTGAAGTTTTGAATATGTTCCTTTTTCATTATCCTTTTTTAAAGTATTATAGCAAGAACTGCCAGAACTATATCGAAATCTTATATATTATAATTAAAAAAATGTCAAAATATCAAGGGTAGATAATCTCCTGGTTTGGCTGGATTCAATTGGATTTGTCTTTCTAAATACATTGTATGTAAATTCCAGTTTTTATCATCTGCATAATGATTTGACATTTTCAAATACCGGTACATCATTGATTTTTCACTGAATGATTTTTGAGATATTAAACATTCACAATATTGTAATAATTGTAGTAGGCCTATGCAATGGAATCACTCAAATGACATTCAGAGATTTTAACAATAACTATCAGTGCATGTAAGTAAGAGAGAACATTCGATCAAAAGACTGACTAATTGACTATAATAAAAAAGCAAGATGAATACAACAAAGCTAAAAGGTCTGTAAAGTAAAAAGTTATCGAATGCTTTCTTAGAGAGAATGAGACATTAACCAAAAGGCAAATAAAGCCTTTCAATTTCAAAAGAAAAAGAATGGCTTACACAATTTAAATATATAGGTCTGTGTACATGTGTGGCGCCATCGAGACTGAAAGTGAAACTAAATTCAAGACAATGTTGTTAAAGGAACCAAGTCTTCAATTCAATATCATCCACAGTCTTTGTTATTGCAATGAAATGAAATGGGGTTTAACGTCCTACTGTTCTGCTCCGAGCTGGGCTAATGAAGACAGGCATATGCCATACAATGTGCTATTAGGGAAAGTCTGCCCGGACAGCGGCACTACGGCCTACTCTTATATTGAATTCCAACTGTCAAGGGATCTTTTACGTGCACGCCAAAGTGTACATGAGACCTCTGTTTTTTGTCCCATCCGATTGACTAGACAGCTGCCCTTGTCACATTGATATTGCAAACATGACTTATTGGTCAATTTATATCTTACCAAGAAAAGTTGGGCTTCCGATATCCAATATTTAAGACAAAATGAAAATTTTAAAATTGGCACACAAACCGTGTGCTAGAATGCTTTCGAGCGTCAGTTGCATTAAGCGACTCAATGTATGAGGCTAAACATAACCCATTTAGGAGAATACTAGTTACTACCGATGTAGACTGAAATAACCAGATGCCAAAGGCTGACATTCAATTTTCAGACTCTTTGTGTATTTTGCCGAACATAGGCTATTAATATAGCCGGTTAGAAATTACAGTAAAACTAAAACAGAAATGGCCAGGGTTGTAAAAATCCACTAGCCCTACGCCCGGGGCTACCAAAAATAACTTACGGGCTAGTGATCTATTTAGCCGTACTAGTCCTGGGCTAGTGCCCTTTCACCGGTTTGTGAATTAAACTAGTGACGATATAGATAAATAAACTGTAAAATATCCCACATTTATTTCTCAAATTCCAAGGAAAACCCAATCATATCAATATATTTTCTGTAGTAAAACTTAGAGTCGTATGGACATTTTTTGTACCCCTTCTATTCATTCATTCTTGACATTTCATTTCTCCATCTTGCATGCTTTGACACGTATAAACCAGTTGAAATCAGGTTAAAAACAAAAGACTCCCTTATACTTTATATTAGATTAGTTCTGACATAAATATTTGAAAGCATACCTTTGTATTTTTAAATACAAGATAATACAAGGTATTTCCAAAGAATTTACTACACATGTTCATTACACACACGCCATGATGAATTGTTCCAGTGACCCGTGTGTCGTCAACTTTGACCCTATCGGGCGCACTCAAGTGAAAATGTAAACAATTTTACTATCCTGTCTATTTTGATATTATATCAGTACATAAACCTGATTTGTTTTATTTTGAGACTTTGATCCCTGCATTGGCCGAGAAAGTTCATCCAGATTTTCCGGCGTGGTTCTCCCTTGTCAGTGATGCAGGGCGGAGGGGCTGACAAGGAAAGCTGTCTAGTCGTTCGGATGGGACGAAAAACCGAGGTCCCGTGTACACATTGGCGTGCACGTAAAAGATCCCTTGGCAGTTGGAATTTGATATAAGAGTAGGCCGTAGTGCCGCTGTCCGGGCAAAATTTCCCTCATAGCACACTGTATGGCGTATGCCCGTCTTCATTAGCCCAGGTTAGGAGCAGAACAGTAGGACGTTAAACCCCATTTCATTTCATTTTGAGACTCTTTATAGAGTGACCAGGTAAATAAATACCGTAATACAATTAATTTTTCATTCAGTCGAGGCTATCTCGTGCTTTGCAGTAAGTGCTAATAATAACACAACGTATACAAATCTTCAAGCGGGAATTATAGGGCGTTAATTTACTGTGATATATTACAAATGACATGTGCTATAAGAAGTATTTATATGGTCTTTAGTGAAAAAAAAACATTGTTGTGGCTACCATTCCTGGTTTTGAAGGTCAGATATGATATGGAAACCGAACTGTGACCGGTTAACCGAGTAGCCGTATTATTATATACATCCTTAATTATTAGGCAATCAAGTCAACGATCTTTATTGAAAACAATTGGCAGGCAACAAAACATATGCCCAAATATTGAAGATTAAATCTTGTACCTAGTCAAACTATGGACTAATGGATATTAATGCCGGGCTACTGCCTGACAGTAGAATACTATTACTAGCCCTGGGCTAGTGGATTCAAACAATTTTTTACGCCCCTGGAAACGACTGAATGTAAATCAGTTTATATTATATACATAACATTCACATTACACTATTAGTTGTTGCGACTCATCGGCATTTGTATCCATCTCTAGGTGCTAACATAGATAATACTGTACGGTTATTATATTATTATGGTGCCAAAGAATACAGAATAGTGATTTTTAACTCCATTAAAATTAAAAATCAATTAGGCCTACAACTAAAATCTTGAGTAGTTCATCGCAAATACATTTCGGTCCGTATACGGTATATCTTCCAAAAGGGTTTAGAGCTAAACTAAATGTCATGTGCAGATATATATATATATAAAAAAACAACCTTTAAACGATTTTAATCTGGAAAACGTACAAAACAACCTTCTCATGGGGGCGGCCATTTTGTCAACCTTCACCTTTGCCTAGATTGAACTATAAGAGGTCAAGGTCTTTTCCACCGTGGTGAAGCTTCGAAAATAATTTTAGAAGTAAATTATGGCTGCTAAACAGGTATTTATACAATATTGTCACTTTTCTCAATTGACACCAATCGGAAAATTATTCCAGATACTATGTTTTTTAATCAATATATTTACCCTGCAATACAATTTGCTCTGTTCATGACCTAGACCAGGGATCCATTTCATTTAAATTAAATGTGCATGATTTTTCCTGTCTCATCAGAAGAACTAGTCGTGCACCACTAACGATGGGAAAGCAAATTGGAAAATCCTGAGTAACTCTGGGATCGAACCCATGGCCATAGGATTATTAGGACTACCTGATGTAGCCAGCGCGGCATCCAAACTTAGCACTTATTGGGGGAGGGGGGCCCTCCGACTGCCAGTGAGTGTAGGCCTAGTGATCCAAAATTCATTGTGGGTCCTTGGGACTTGCAAAACACACCATATTTAGCATTGTGATTTCTGTATAATAATGTCTGTCATCAATTCAATTGTAACTTTGATCAATTAAAGCTTATATACTCTTCAAAAAAAGTAGGGGATATTGAAATGCAAAAATACCTACCGGTATGCAGGTTGCGATAATGAATAGTCATGGACATTTGACATATTTTGAGAGTATGTTCACAGATGAAGAACTTATCGCCCCAACATAACCACTGAGCTGCACATGCGATACGCAATAGCGCCATACACGTGGGAGGGGTTCATTGTCAAATTTGGGGATCACGTGGCTAAGTAGGTAAGACGCTGGCTCGCTAGCCTGGAGGTCGGGTGTTCGATCCCTGCATTGGCCGAGAAAGTTCATCCAGATTTTCCGGCGTGTTTTCCCCTTGTCAGTGATGCAGGACGGAGGGCCTGACAAGGACAGCTGTCTAGTCGTTCGGATGGGACAAAAAACAGAAGTCCCGTGTACATATTGGCGTGCACGTAAAAGATCCCTTGGCAGTTGGAATTCGATATAAGAGTAGGCCGTAGCGCCGCTGTCCGGGCAAAGTTTCCCTCATATCACACTGTATGGCGTATGCCCGTCTTCATTAGCCCAGTACTGTTTAGGAACAGAACAGTAAAACGTTAAACCCCATTTCATTTCATTGTCAAATTTGACACTTCAAGGAAGAGTTGATGAAAACTGCCGCGTGCTGATTTATCTATCCATGTTTGCTTTCTTATTGGTTCTTGCATAAGATTTACTTTTTAGCGTATCTTTGCTTTAGTGTTTAACGTTTAATTTGATCGGGAGACGTGTTCTTCGACGTCAACGTCAACCGACAACACTCCAAGTATTGGCCGTGGCACTGCAAGAGGAAATGGTCAGATTGCCCCAAATCATGATTGGGCGGTTGATTAGGAAAATGCCACGACGAATTGCTGAATGTCTGAGAATTGGTGGAGCAATTACTCATTATAAAGATAAAAATCAAAAAACGTCCATTTTCACTTTTGACGGTGTATCTCTTTGTGAGTGAAATGCGGCCGTCAGATAAGCCGTCCATATGAACTGTTTATGTTCATGTGTAGGCAATTGGCCTGTTATTAACATACATTGGTTACCTCTAATAAAAACAGCAGTGCATTTCCGCAGTTTTGTATTGTTTCTGAATATCCCCTACTTTTTTTTGAAGAGTATATGCATGTGACAAGGGATTAGATCTTCTGCCTAAAATCATGTAAGCTGCCTGTATCCTGGAAATATTAAATTAAATAGTTTTCTAATGAAGACATGTTACATATCATATTACATTTGTGTGTGATCTTTCATACTAAATGTTGCATTCTACAATCTATGGTTGGCTGTATTATATAGTCATTTTCCTTCTGTTGTGTTGAAATATTTATTTGGGAAGGAATTACGGCCAATTTAAAAGTCACAAGTTTGCAAGGTTTGTAACTAATTTAAAGATATATCTAATGAGATTCTAAGAACGTAACTATAGGTTTTGCCCCCAAAAATATATTTTAAAAAACAATTCAAGACATTTTAAATATCACAAATATTGGACTACATTCTAGAGTCTAGTGTACTACATGTATATGCTAGAGATGGCAAACAGTGTTTTATTTACTTATTTATTGTTTGGGTCTATAATTTTTCCGGGTCACATTGCAACAAATACTTTACAAATGTCATATATTGATAAGTTCTGTATGTGAAATAGTCTGGTGACCTATAAGGGATGATTAACCATTTAGCACTTAGACTGCCCAAAAACACGCTAACTCCTTAGACCATCTGAAACAGCCCTGTCACGTGCATAGCTGTGGCACCCACAAAATGGTCATATAATACAAAAAGCTATTCAGATACATGTACATGTACCTCAAGTGGTTTAAATCCTGGTCTGTTCAGGGATGTGCCAGTATTATATCACCTTTCTCTAATTTTCTTCAAGGAACTGGGGTAGTAAAGGGTTAAGAATATGACTTGTTCATGACAAGATAAAATTTTACAACCTTTCTGGATTGTGCTGATATACTTTACTGTAGATGGGCCATATCTCTTTTATTCAGGTCAAAATAAAGTACAGTATTTGAATTAGGTTGATCAGATATGTTTTTGATTAGTGATGTGATAACCGAAAAACTCTAAAGTTTATACAATTAAATTGTTGTTAGAAAATTTAAAGGTGGAGTCTGTTAGTTTCAATTTTGGCTATATCTCAATGTTGGATTTATCAATGGGCACAGAATTATGAAGAAGATCTATTGTCATCCCACAACCCTATTTAATCCAATTACTGGTAAAAATATATTTTACCAAGATGAAAGAGTTCTAGCCATTTTAAAAGTCTGTGAAAAATAGACACAACGAGATTCCATATTGCATATATCTTTCTAAAAGTTGATTTCCTCTTTTTTTAGATGGAAGAAATTGTAGAAATTTATCGAAATTTATCATCAATAAGCCAACCAACCTTAGCACGAGTTAGATCAAATAACGATCAGTTTTTAGCCGTCTACACAGAATGGACTCAGAGAGATCTTGAAAAAGCTGATAAAACTAACTTTACAAGAAATTACGTTTTAAATGCATCAGATAATTCTATTCTTTTATCTACACCAGCTCAAGAAATAAAGAATGAGTAAGAATAATTTATTTTGATAACACACCCGGAACATGATTTTTATTTTTAATTCATTGACTTTAAGCATTTTCACAAACTTAGTTCAAGAGTTGTTGTCCCTGACTAAAGATATTTGATTGAAGGATATTGCCCTAATATTTACTGTTGAGTTGAGTTTGTTGCTCATGCAGAATAGCTTACTAAAGTGGATTAATGCATGGATTTTTGATAATTAGGTGAATGAGTGTTTATTTTAGATTAGGTACTTTTCAAAAATTGAGTACCGGGTATTGATACATGAAGGTGATTAATGTCTCTTTAATCATTGCTTCATTGCCATTATAGAACTAGCACAGCTTGCATGGATGACTGTTTGTGGTTTATAAGAAAGCCTGACCTGCTCTTGCTATCTGTGTTTATTGTGATAACCTCTAGGTTATCTCCACACCCTGAGTAGGCATAAATTATATTAGATCTGCAAAAACGTCTGTGTCATTTTTAATTTTATGAGCTTGAATCATGATTTTGGGTAGACACTACTAGGTCATTTTGAGACTTTTATATGGTTACTGTTAGATTTTTAAACCCCTGCTCATTTTCTATGGTCACCCTAAAAAAGATAAAATGCCCCTGAAGTTATACACAAGAACTGTAAGATTTTCCCCATCAGCGTTAATGTCTCTGATCCTGTGCATTTTTTTGAACGATATCTAATTTTTCAACACTTCATACATGCTATAATGTAATGATTGATTATTTAACATTTAATTTTAAAAACAAAAAGCTCAATATCAATGGTAAATAATCTCCTGAATTGGATTATGTCGGAATAATCTAACCCAGCACAGCGCTTACAGGTGGCACTGCCACCACTGGCCTGTTTAAGTAATCTGCAGAGGATATCAAAGGCTGTGAAATTTTCAGGTCATCATATCTTTATGAATACTGAATGGAACTGATTCAAATTTCATCAAGTGATGATCAGAAGATTTAATATCCTTTCTTTTTCCATGCAGACAAATACAAATAAATCTTAGGCCAGTGCTTGAAGAAAATGGCTTGACTATGTTTTTTACTGTTCTAGACTATTTAACGTGGAATCACCATCTGGTAAATTTCAAGCTATTTTGAGAAGTTGGACAAATAAGAAAGGTGATGAAAAACAATTTATAGAGGTGAGATCATTCATTCTAAACTATATTTAAACTATGGCTACTATTGATTATGAGAAGTATCATCCACAGTCTTCGACATTGTAAACACGACTTATTGGTCAATTTAAATCAACATTTGATGTTGTTATCTTCTGATATTCAGTAGGCTATTTGAGACAATCGTGTGCCAGAATGCTTTTGAGCGTTATTTGAAAAGAAGCAACTCGATGAACAAGGCTAAACATACCCCACAGGAGAATACTACTGGAATAACCAGATGCGAAGACTGCCATTCACTTTGGACTCTTCGTCTATTTCGCCGAATATAACTGAATAGAAATTACAGTAACGATTGAATGTAAATCAGTTTATATACATTCATATTGTATTATTTTATGCGATGCAAGCCATTTGTGTCAATTTCTAGGTGCCAGAGAAAAGGATTTAGCTCCTTTAATACTCTTTCTGACTTATATGGAAAGTTCATATAGTTAAAGATTTATTTTTTACTTTTGTAGCAGGGTTGAACGAAACACCAGGTCGTAGGTTCAGATTTTATTAACAGGTGAAACTCTTTAGCGTAATGAGGATGAGGATAATATAAAGATAAGAGTAATCTATAAAATAGAAGTTAATAAATCAATATAATTCTAATGTAGCACTCTATAAAATACAGCTACATCTGGGTTTTTTTAAATCTAGATATGGAACAATGATGGAAAGGTGAAGAATTTTGATATTCTAGCCAAAGAAAAACATGGGAAGATCAACAACAAAGATGGTAAGTAAAGTATTTTAATATGTAAAAAGCTTTGTTTAATAAAAAAAACAAGCAAAAGAACTATAAAAAGAAAAAAAAATTATATGAACATACCTCATATAATTAGGAAAATGATTTATTGCTATTTGAAAAAAAAACCTGATCAGTTTGAGTGTCTTTAAAGATGTATGTTTTGATCAGTTGACCATTGTCAAATCCTTATATATATAACACACAGTGGACATTATAAGGCTCTTTTGAGCCATCCTGAGCCTGGGGGGTTGGGATGGCCTAGTGGTCTAGAGTGCCACGCTTCGCCCTCTAACTGGCCAGTCACATCTGGCTTGCGGTTGTTGTTTCGATCCCTGGTGTGAGCGTATGTGGCTTGGCACCTTCTCAACCTTGTGGCTTTACTCTGGATACTCTGGTTTCCTCCCACAGGCAAGACATCTCGTGTGCGCTAAAATAATAAAAGAAAAATGAAAAATAAGACTTGTCTGCGATATCACCTTCGGAGGAAGAGGATGTTAAACACTAAGAACACCAACACATCCGGAGTCCCACTTTATGACAAGCTAAGCTATAGTGAGGTCCCAGTCTATATTCTTTGGAAGTGATTGTTTCTAAAAGCTAATTTATGAAAATTATATTACAGTTAATTTTGGTAGTTTTCAATGGTCATACTCTGAACAGAAATTAGCCTATGTAGCAGAGAAGAAAAAAACTAAAACTGGTAGTTATTTTGATAACAAAGAAGACGAAAAAAAAGATGACATTGTGAAGGTAAGATGCAGTGAATTTTGTCTTAAGTATGGTGTATTAAGTATTACATTTATTATATTTTCAACACTATTATATTTCTTTTCTTTTTACATTTTCACACCCTGTTACATTAGACTGGTTGGTGCATGGAAGTAGTACTTTAAACCTCATTTCATTTTACATTTCCACACTTAAAGGAGCTAAACCTCGAACTTAATGTTTTCCATAAAATTCGTAATTAAAAACCTGCATTAAAATTTAATATTAGTTCATTTCAATCAATACTGATGTTGTTATCTTACCATGAAAATATTTTTGGATCCTAATTTACAAAATATTTAAGGCACATTGAACATTTTAGAATTAGTACATTAGCAGTGTATTCTGTGGTTATGAACAAACCAAAACATATCCTACAAAACAGTCTAGAAATAATTAATAATGACACATTCACAAACAACAATAATAATATAAGAACATGTAGAATGGACTAATAAGCAAACGTAAACGACTGCATTTCAATTTGGACAGTTCACATATTTCACCAATTAGAAATTACAATGACAATTTTAAAATTTGAATACAAAACACACTTTATGTACATTCATATTACCTTAATATGTGCTTTTAAACCCATTTTTGTCCATTTTAAGGTTCCAAAAAATAGAGCCATACACCTTTTAAACCCATTTTTGTGCATGCGTTAACAAAACACACTTTATGTACATTCATATTACCTTAATATGTGCTTTTAAACCCATTTTCATCCATTTTAAGGTTCCAAAGAATAAAGCCATACACACTTTAAACACATTTTTGTGCATGTTAAATAACTCTTAGAATCGGGGTGAACTTGTAGAAAACTTAATTTGATTAAAAATTTCTGTTTATGATAGGGTCACGAACATGATGTGTTAGAAGATTGGGGAGAACAGTTAACAAAGAAAAGTCAACCCATTGTTTGTATATTGGATATTTCTACTGGATCTGTTGATGTTTTGGAAACTGCAGAAAATGTCTCGTGCGGAGAGGTACCTGTCTGAATAAAAATAGAGCACTTGCTGTTGAAGAAAAATATTTCATTCCAATACTTTTATGAAATAAGCATTTTTGGTTTCAAATTTTGAGAGTGTTATTGTGAAATAGATGTGTCATGAGATTGTTAGGATTAGATTGTACTGTTTATATGAATTTTAGTTTGAATCAACAGACCTGTCATCTATGCCAGCCAAAGTTTGATCCCATGTTTGTTTGGGAAGTAGGGTTGCTTGCTTAATCTAATAGTTTATAGCTGTGTTTACACTTGATCGCGATACGCCTACCATACTCGGTACCATTCCAGGCAGCAATAAAATTCAAGAAATTGCACCGTTTACATTGCTCTACAATTTCAGTCATGGGGGAAAAGTGTCAAAGGATCAAATTTAATACTAGCGCATGTGCAGAAATCCGTACTGTGAACCGCTTTGAGGCAAGATAGCGCTTCCACTACAGACATTTAACTGTGCCGTGCTGAGACCACCTCACTTCAGTGCTCCAGATTGCCACTATTCTCAGTACATATTACAAAAAAAATCTTTCCAGTTCTCGGCACCGTTCCTGGCATGCTTTATAGTAAACAGAGTTTATGTCCACTTTCACTGATTTCCGCTTACTGCTGAAGAACCCATTGCGTGCATGCATTATTGAAGTGATTAAATGTTAGTCCCATAATGCAAGCCAGTTACAGCTCCTGTAACTTTCATCTTTAAACATCATTACATGCATGTTGACTTCTTGCTTTACATTAAAAGTTTCAGTCAAATATTTCTTTCTCTTTACTATAGGTTTTATGGTGTCCCAATGATTCTGGTGTTGTATTTGTTGGCTGGGATCATGAGCCATTTAGACTGGGACTCAAATATTGCACACAGAGAAAGTATGTCAGTTTTATACTTTTTTTGTAAAGTTAATTGATTATTTTTTCTAGAACACCTGATAACTTTTGTTGTGCTTTATATCTATGCTTATGATACCAGTTAATGATACACGTTAAATGTTTTTTGATATATTTTATTTCAGGAGTGGAGTGTATTATTATGATTTTGAAAGTAAAAAAACTGGTAAGATGGAAGATTTTCTAAATGTGTACATTCACTTTGGCTAATAATCATATATTTTGTTTTGAATATTTATTAATCTCATTTTAAAGTTTGTAGTTAGTAATTGATCTCGCACAATCCTATTGCGTTTTGTTTTTTATAGGTTTTCACTACACCAGGATCTGGATTAGTTGTTAAATAACCCATGTTCTGGTTTCTGTAAAGGATTAGCTAATCAGAGGGTCTGTTCATTCAAGTTCTTATCTTGTGGTGCAAGGAACTGTGGGTAGACACTTGTAGTAATACAAAGCAAAAGTTATATTTCCGAATAGTTACTTGGAATGCAGACACTGATTAGTTATTCAAATGACATCATGGCCCAAAAGTCACTATAATGACCCCTGAAGCAACATACCACTGCAACCATTCACATCTTAATGTACTGGAGGCCATCAAGTGAACACAAAAAACGAAACAAAATATAGATCTGTATTATAATCAGATCGGATGTTTAATACTAAAAGATTTTTGTGGGTTATAAAGAATTTTATTTCGATCAAACAGATCAATTGTACCAAATTCTACAATTATTATTGCAATTTTTACAATTTTTCCAGTTTTACTTAGTGATGAAGGTAGAGCTGTCCATGCTCTTAGTATTAGTCCTGACCAATCAAAATTAGTTTATATGGATCAACCAATAGGAGGCGGTCATAAACAATGTTCACGTTTAATGATGGTAAACAAACTAGTTTTAAACATTCTATCTTTTGGAGGCGCTTATTTTTTAAGCAAACTTTGCATGAATGAATTTAATTCTGGTTAGATTGATATATTGTTTTGCTATGGCTTAGAAATATTCGAAGAGATGATCAGGGTTTTCAGTATAGAATTTCAGCTTGTTTTAATTAATATGAGAGCCATGGTGACTCAGTGAGTATGTTGATGGTTCACCAACTAGATTATACCGGGTTAATTTGATTCAAGTGCTGGACAGGAAAGTTCATAAGGATTTTTCTGGTTGGTTTTGGCTTGGCAGGATGCAGGACAAGGAGTTGAGCAAGGAAATAGTGTATAGTCACTCGGATGGGACAAAAACCAAGATCCACCCATGTATTTATTGCCATTCATGTAAGAGAACTGTTCACAGTTAGAATTCCTGTTAGCACATGGCATGAAAAGCATGAAATACGCCTGTCTTCATTAGTCCAGCTGCCGCAGAAAAATAGAATGTTAACCCGAATTTCATTTGATTTCATTTAATTCAGGTGGACTGGAAGACAAAGACTAGCCAAGCTGTTATAGATATTGTTAATACAATAAAAGGTTTGTAGGATTTAACAAGATTAGTGAAATCTCTCATTGCTATATATCGTACATTTATAATAATACTGTTTCGAACAAGTTATGTACATGTATATGTATAATAATTTTATGAAAGTGCTTTGTCAAAGAATTCCAATTTATGTGCATGTCATCCTTGGTTGGAATGCCAATTTAAAATAACATTCAATACATTTCTGGATGTTAGTAAATTAGGGCTGGCAATCGATCCTGGTTCAAGTATCGATTATTGCCGACCATCCACCGATCAATAATCGATAATATCGGCAAATTATTTTGACTTACAATTGGTTTGATCAATAACAAATTATATGCAAGTTTATGTTGTGATATCATTCTGTATACATGTAGAATTTTTTTCATTTATTTGACATTTGACAATAAAATAATAGGATTCCATAGCAAAACCAACTTCATTTGGAAGACAGAACCGCCACCGCTCGCCATATCTTTGTCGCTTATGACCTGAATAATAATGAGTAAAATGTAGTTATTTCCTCTTCAGACATTTCTTCGCAAGTTCCTTGATAAACTAATAAAGGGAAAGTATGTGTTTGACTTAGAAACAGAAGATGAAAGAAATGTTGAGTCAAAATAAGGGGCACAACTGAATGTTACGTGAATCCATTGGCAGTCATCATGACATAAGATTCCAACATTACTCACCAGTGGCGTCTCGCGTGAAAAAACAAAACGTGTGTGTTTTATTATACTGTTCTGTTTAATTACAGTTCTAGGCCCAAGCACACGTTGCAAAGAATACAGTGATACGGATTATTTTTATGGACTTCTTCTTACAAGTGAAGTACCTATAATTGCACGATAATCGATATTTTAAAACTATATCGATAATCGATTTTCAAAACGCTTACCGACGATTATCGGCAATATCAATATTTTCCGCCAGCCCTATGGTACATGTCATAACGTCACAATATAGAGAATGCTTGAGTTTGTTACACTGATCATTTAAATACCTGGCCAGAGATAGACAAACCATTAAAAAAAAATGTTGCATTTACTAATGAGAGAGTGGAAGCTAATATGAATTACAATATTGTCCAGCAGTGACAGTTATATCACTTGCATATCATGCACACAACCATGAATGTGGCATTAAGGGATATTTAGAGTCTTGACCCTAATTAAAAGGAGAGAAATACTGATATATTCATAATATATTACCAAATTTTTAGCTAGGAATACAGTGACTGTGACAAAATTGAACCAAAAAGATGTTGAAAATGCTATTAATCTCATTTACCAATGATTTCTGTAATGTTCTATACAATTTGTGTCATGTGCATTTGATATTTCTTTCAGCTGGTGGTGATTTTTGTGGAATGTATTTTGATGCGTTTCCAGTACGATGTTGGTCCACTGACAGTACTTACGTTTTTATTGATACAAACAGACGTAGTCAAGTCGTGAGTATTGTCTGTATTGCTACACACAGACCTGTCCCTGCCCCAGGAAAAAAAATCAGGAGTGTTAACATGAGGGGACTTCATATTTTCTTTTGTATGCAATGATTCTATTCACTAATGTAGATAGTATGATGTTTCTTCCGATGGGGGGGGGGAAGGGTTGGATGGCTGAATGGTTTGCCCATGCTCGTTGCATCATGGTTTCGATTCATCAGTTGTACATGACAAGGAGTAGGGTTGCCTGTCCAACCTCGTGGGTTTTCTGCAGGTCCTCCGGTTTTCTCTCACTGCTAAACACCCCTACGTGCAAGCAAATTATTGAAATAAAATTGAACCATATGTTAGTCCCGAAATGACCTAGTTTGTGTTGAGTAGATGTTAAACCCCATTTCTCTCCCTTTTTTTCTTCTGATGGATCTTTAAGTGACTGGACAAGCCTCCACATGTTACTGTAATAAATAGTTTGCATTAATTGATATTTTCTGTGTGCAAGTTTGACACTGATACTGTTTGGTACAGAAAAGTAGGATATTAAAATCCATTTCATTTCATTTCTACACTATAACATTGTTGTTTAGGTCCACTGACATAACGGTGTGTTCCCACTTAGCCGGCAGACTGTTAATCCTTTGATTGATCTTAAAACTATAGTCTGTTTAAAAGTAGTCACTCAAGAACTGTTCACTAGTGTTCAGCGTTAATGAGCTCTTAATCCCTCTTAATAAAATTTATTAACCAACTAATTAATGACATTTTGAACACAGTTCATGCCGGCGTTATGATTTCAAACATGAATTCAATTCACTATATTAATATAAATAGGCCTCGAGTTAAGAAATATCGACAACTTGATACCAGAATTGAACATAACATTTGAAAACACAGTTATTAAATGGCTCTTTAAGTGTAAATCGGTATGGAACAAATATTTCCTATTTAGTGGGGCTGTAAAATGATTGTTATGTTGTAAGGCATTTATTTATAAATTATATAATGCTATTTAATAAAAGTTAAATGTGTAAATTGTAATGCATTTTTTTTTGTGTAAATCATTTAATGTTATTTTATAAATATTAAATTTTATAAATATTAGACTCAAAGGGTTCACTATAACACTGCTGTTGAGGTCCACTGATATTCCCCATGGAAAACAAGTTCCCTATATATTAAACTCCAGGGCGTTACTATTACACTGTTGTGCATATTGACTCCATACTCACAATGGGGTCCTTTAGTATATTAGATTTATTTCTAGGGTGCATTTGGTATAAATGTTGTGAATAAGACTGTTCATCCTATTTCTGCAGGTAAGATATATTTTTTCTAATAAGTAGGGTTATAGCAGTCAAGTGATTTGAATAGTAGAGCTTCTTGATTAAGAGTTTAAGAGCAATATTCAACAATAGGATAAGACCTCCAAGAATTTTGATTAAAATCAGTATCAAAATATATATATTTTTTTAGAGCTTTGTCTATGGCATACATAATAATATATTGTCTATTTCAGGGTCTCACCGTGGATCAGTGAATGTTTTAGATGTTTATAAAGATAAGATAATTCTTAGCTGTTCTTCTCCAAATACACCACATTTTCTGGTAAGAATAGAATAACGAAGGATCGGAAAAGTTTCAAATTACCTGGCATCCCACATACTCCTCGCAGTGTTTTGTTTGATTAGAGCTAATCCCACTACTCACTGCTGTAAAGAAGGCAAATTCTTGTTCTAAATTATGACTGGTCAATAGTCCGATTAACAATACCAAACAGAGCTCCAAATTGGACCAACTATGTTTAGATAACGTTACGTCATGACTCACGATTTTATTATGCCCAATTAACCAGTGCATAGCAGAATATTGCAGAAAAACTAATTGTGTGACAAACGAGGCTATCGGCCTAGATATAATGTAAACAATACTGTTTTGAGTCGAACAACACTTTAACCGTTTTTAATACCTTAAATCACTGTTCAAAGTTTTAAGAAAGGCCCCCCGATTAAAAGAATGGTCATGTTGCTGTGCTTGGGATAGACTTGATTGAACAGGAAGAATAGACACACTCCCTAAAAGGCTAAGTATCAGAAGCTAATCCCGCAATGGCCAGAGAGGGATTTCTCAGGCCATTGCTTCAGGAATATGGGCATCCCATAGCATTTAGTGAGACAGATTCACATCGAAACAAACAGCTTTTTTGATTAGCTAAATTTCATTTAAACAGCTTAGTTTAATCTCACTCATTATTGGCATTGAAGCACCAAGAAAACATGGTTTATCAACTTTCAAGTTGCATAGGGTTGAATTAATACTTAACCATTATTTTGTGAATTATTCTATCATTTTTTTTCCAAACAATTTTTGTGGCCGATTTTAGACACCCATCTTTTGACTTTCTCTTTGTTTTCCAATTTTTAGATCATTGAGTATATATGAATGCCATTTTAACAAAAGGTCTATTTCTGTTCACATCAGTTTTTGTTCGCCATTTAGACGAAACCAGCCCCTTCCTGAGTAAGGTAGTTGCAAAAAAAACTGATCACAAGAACACAGTTTTTTTTCTTGTAGATGATTGGTAACCTCAATTCGAAGAACATAGATGAATCAATAAAATGGAACAAACTGAGTGAAGAGGTGGCATTACCAAATATATCCTATGATCTTACAGTGTTACAACCAACAGTTGATAGAGTCAATACTAATTATGGTAAATAAGTATATTTGCTCATTATATTAAAGTGGTTGTATTGCTTCACCCGTTTTTTTTTTTTCATGCTGAAATGCCCTTCATAGCCCTCAAAAAGCCTAAATAAATTACTGACAATATGAAATGTTTCGATTTGCTGTGTAGTTCCAAAATTAAGCGCAAAAATGTTGTAGCCCCTGAAAAAAATCTTTCTTTACTGCATGAAACTATAAATTAAAATCTTTCATTCCCTATTGCGTTAGAAATCATGATATTGAACAGAAATGTCTTGTCTGTATGCAATATGCTATATTTTTAAAGATTTTCTAAAATGCTAAAATAAAAAAAATCGATGTGCAGCCATGTAGTTCTTCTGAACCATTTTGTATTTTAAGATTCTGCATGTAAGATCTACGCATGTAAGTCTAAGACAATGATCTAGTTCAAAAACATTGTTAGGGGATTCCTGGTGTTGCAAGACAACTTCTTTGTATCAAAACAGGAGTCACATTGAGTATGACACTGCCTCACTGATCAGGAGGTCCCGTGTTCAATGCATAGGCCGAGAAAGTTCCGGAGGATTTTTCAGTCTGTTTTTTCTGGTACAGGACAGGATGGAGGGACTAGCATGGAAAAAAATCGGTTCATTCGGATGGAACGAAAATCTGATGTCCCTTGTATACCACTGGCAGCATGTTAAAGATCCCCTGACAGTTGGAAGAGTAAGCCATGGCGGTGCTGTCAGGACAAAATTTCCCTGATAGCACACTGTATGGTGTATGCACTAACTGTCTTCATTAATCTAGTTGGTGTAGGAAAGTAGGACAGTCATTAAAGCCCATTTCGTTTTTTATCCGCCCACATTTTCATGTGGACGTATATTTTCGTCGCCCTCGTCCGTCTGTCCGTCTGGACGTCTGTCCACAATTGTTTGTGAACAGTCTACAGGTCACAATTTTTATCCGATTTGAATGAAACTTGAAATATAGGTTTACCACCTTTCGATATTGGCATGTATTGGACTGTAACTTCATGGATTATGGCCCCTGATTGTACGAAAAATCACGTTTTTAGCTTGTGAACACTGTAGAGGTCACAATTTTTATCCGATTTTGTTGACACTTGAAATGTAAGTTTATAACCCAAAGATCTCGGTTCCTGTCGATATTCACGCATATTTTACCGTAACTTCCTGAATTATGGCCCCTAATTGTACGGACAAACGGCTTTTTAGCTTGTGGGCCCTATAGAGGTCATAATTTTTATCCGATTTAAAAAAACGTATTATTATATCACCGTTATACCCTGACAGACCGGCCCAAAACTGACAGACAAAATGGACGCCCTTCGTTCTCAAATAGCGTAAAAATATGGTATATCAAGGTTGTGGACCCTATAGAGGTCACAATTTTTATCCGATTTTGTTGAAACTTGAAATGTAAGTTTATAACACAAAGATCTCGGTTCCTTTCGATATTTGCGCATATCGAATTGTAATTTCCTGAATTATGGCCCTTGATTGAAGGAAAAATCACATTCTTTTTAGCTTGTTCTCTATCCATCTCTCGAAAATGTGGGCGTATCCTGCCTGGCAGCTGCTGGTTTGTATAAAAAAATATCTTCTTTTTAATATATCTCCAGGTGAACTAATTTGAAAATGATTTGTACAGAAGATACATTTTCTGCATCAGTTTTTATTTTCTTAATCTCTGATCAATTCTGCTTTGTGATGTTTTTAGTTTGATAACTGAAATTATTTTCTCATTTCAAACAGCATGACTTCTTTGATTTGTAAGAAATATAAAAGTTTCAATTTAAGTACATCTGATGAGTTAATATTTGTTAGGTTCGTTTTTTTTTAAACTCAAATATCCAAATAATCAAACCTACTGTTGGTAAGGTTTATAAATATCATTTTTGCATACCAGTACATTCTTATACTTTGATGTCAGGATTTAAGTGGTCTGATGCCATCTTACAAGAGAGAAACCTGTTTTGTTTTTAATACTAGAGTTTTTTGTTGTATGTGTTGACATTTTTCCCTTTCTGACTCTAATCTTTTCTTTATTTTCAAACTTACAGTCTAAAGAACAGAATACCTTTAAATTTCCTGCAATTCACAAATTATGTTTTTAGCATGGCCAGTGCTTTCCAAAATACTACCTTACAGTCAGTCACACATATAAATCTTTCTCTTAAATCTGCTTACAGGTAACTTAGATTGTGAAAGTATTTTAATTAGCAATAAAGAAAACAGCATATCAAAACCGCCACTTATACTTTTCCCCCATGGTAAGTCACATCAGTCAGAAACAATTACTTGTTCCCTCATGGTAAGTCATATTAAAGGGACTATCCCGATTTGAACAGAGTCTCAAAAACAAAAGTCTGAGTTCGTATGCGCCAAAATATAGAGGAATGGTGTATTTACCCTGCCTCAAAATTTCAGCTCAAAATATTGAGTTGTTTGGACGTGATTGTCAAAAATGCTTATCCGGACACGTAACCCTTTTAAGATTTCTGGTCAATTTTTTCGTTGGGTGACCTGATAATCTATTGGCGTTCCTTTAGAGGTCTATACAGTGAATTACCCATGTGCTGTACTTAATAACGAAAGGTAAATTCCACCTACACATTGTTTTTATAAAATAAAAGTCTGGTTTTATCCAGACACCGCATAATAAAGCTTGGGACACCAGTCACTATTTCCAGATGAAGACTGACTGGTGTAAGTTGTTTGAAAACATATCACAAATATTTAATTAGTTGCTCGGCCCTTAGGTACGGGATATTAAGGAGTTTTCACACAAAATTAAGCAGTTTTATTCTCCAAAATATTATCAGGATTGGCCCCTTAATTGGAATCAATAAGTTATATTTTCTCTTGTGGAAAGTGATGTCAATCAGGGACCACCATATCATATTAGTCAGAAACCATTACTTATAGTCTTCCCTTATAAGTTATATTAGTCAGAAATCATTACTTATACTCTTCCCCTGTGGTAAATTATATTAGTCAGAAACCATTACTTATACGCTTCCCCTATGGTAAATTATATCAGTCAGAAACCACTATGTATACTCTTCACTTATGGTCAGATATATCAGTCAGATACCATTACCTTTTCTCTTCCATTGCTGATTCTCTTTGCTTATGATATGTCCTAATAATAATAATATGTCCTAATAATAGTACTCATATAGATTTACATTTATTTCCTTCCTCGTATTACAGGTGGACCTCATACAACATTTGATACAAGTTTTATGTTGTATGTAGCTGGTTTCTGTCAGTCAGGATATTCTGTTCTATTAGGTAAGTATTTGTTTTTGACTTATAGATGTATACTTGGATTTATATTAAAAATAGATAATAAACTTTTTGATTAATCCCCCCCCCCCCCAACACATAACAAACACCATATAGAGCGTGTTGAGGTCATGTTCTCACTACATATACATAACACACCATACAATCCTGCTATGCTCTTAACACGGCCCCTCCCCTTCGTTACGACCTAAAAAATATTCTGCTATATCGTGTCTGAGTCAGGGTTCCCGCGGTCCTTGAAAATCCTTGAATATCCTTAAATTTAAAATTTCATTTTCAAGGTCTTGAATATCCTTGAATTTCGCGGAAATAGGAAAATATCCTTGAATTTCAGTTGAGATCCTTAATTTTGTTTCAAATGTCTTCAATTCCTTTTAAATATGAGATTATAACGATAGTTGGTAATGTTTTGGTTATTTTTAAGGTGAAAAATTGTAACTTTAGGCTAAAAAATGTTCTTGAAAATCCTTGAATTTGACGTAAATTTATCCTTGAATATCCTTGAAAAAATGCTTGACGAAGCCGCGGGAACCCTGTGAGTGTGGCAAGATATTTTTCAGCGTAGTAAGAGCATGATGTGTCATGGTAGGAATGTGGAGAATGGGATAGGCCACACTTTACTACAAAAGTATGGAACAGTGTAATAAGAATCACTCTTACACATGTATGTAATATGTAGCCATTATTCTCTGTGCTCATTATTGGATGAGGACTGATTGAACGTGGTCTTGACAGGTTGTTATCGAATTTTTAAATACAAAACTGAAGTAAATTTGATGACCATATATATTTTTACCATAAATGATTTTTGTTTGTTTTTAGTAAATTATCGAGGTTCCCTGGGATTTGGTCAAAACAGTGTTAATTCCTTATTAGGTAATATAGGGGATCAGGATGTTAAGGATGTTAAGGTTTGTTCATGTTTCCTGTTTATGTTGCCCAAACTCATTTGTATAGGGGTTTCACTTTTCTAGAAATGTCAATTGATAAAATAGATATCAACTGATAAGTTACTAAAAGAAAAGGAATTTTAAAACTATGCAAACTTTCTAAAAATAGCTGACTGTGTGTAGACAGTGACCTAGTCATACAAAACTTTTAAGTGTTGTCATCTTGGTTAATTGACGACTCCCAGATCTTACATTGTTTGAGAGAGCATAGACAATAATGGTCCTGGGTAACAGATTTTTAATAATGTAAATAATGAATGAGTAGATTTTGTGATTGGCATTTTTTTGTGATGGACATGAGATAATAGACAATAAATGATTGACAAAATGTACGCCAATAAACGTGTATTAGTTTGGTAAAATAATATACAGAATTTCTTACACAGCAAAAAATGTACACTCCTATTTAGTTAAGATTTGTAAAAACAAAAACAGTAGACAATGGGTGACCTTCTTCAGGGTATACAAAGGACATATTTGTTAACTAGGAAATGGTTGAAAAGCACTACTGATCTATTTGTTCTTCATCTTTTTGTTCCTCATCATTTTGTTATTCATCTTTTTGTGGGCAACGATGTTTGAAAAAAAAATCAATACACTACAAATTCAGGTGTGATCGAGATGAAACTTGACACGCTCGTTCCTTGGACAATTGTTCATCAATTAAAGATTTCAATTTTTGATATGACATCACAATTCCAAGATGGTAGCAACGACCTCATGCTCATTTCCTGTTCCATGTAGTACTATCGTACTTGTTAAATTTGGTTTAGCTTATTATGAAAATTGACACACAAAAATCAACATGTCACATATTTAGTAAATCCTTTATCACCTACAAGAAAATCTGAATGAGTCTCGTTTGGAAAAGAAATTAATTAGATTTAACCTTGGTCATTTGTAGTTTAAGCATTTATTTCATATTATAAACCTTGTAGCTTTTCTTTTTGACAGGCAGCGCTTGATGATGTCATCCAGCGAGGACTAGTTGACGGTGATCAGGTTTTTGTCTTTGGCGGATCTCATGGAGGGTTCTTAACAACACATTTAATTGGACAATATCCGGTAGGGTAACGTAATACAGAATTCCATTGAACATCTTGGTCTCACAATTGTTTGCTACTAGCATAGGTCAATTTGATGCAGGATTCTGACCCTGCTTCAGTCTGATGAAATTTGTTAATAGGTTCAAATTATATGACAAATTGTGAACAAATCTTTAAGATTAACAATATTTTTTTTGGTATGTTTATTCTTTAAAAGATGAAATTTAGATTTCTGCCTTAAGTATAAAAGGCGTACTGTACTGGAGAATTAAAAGTAAAAATATGAATGTTGTTATAGAGATTTACTTGAAACCTGTAATATTAAAATGTAAGTTTGCTTTTAGTATGAACGTTTCTCATATTCAGTGGTAATTATGTTATTGTGTATTGTTATTTTTACAGGGATTTTTTAAAGCAGCATGTTGTAGAAATCCTGTTACTAATCTTACAGGTAATATATATTATGATATTTGCAAGGGAAAGAGATCAAGGGTTGTCCCATGGGTAATCATCAATTCCCATGTTTGTTACAATCTGACATGGAGTGTCATTTAAAAATCAAATACAGTATGGTATATGTAAGATGTAATCGAAAAACAGAAAGACTACTAATCATCTGTCAATAAACAAAATTATTTCTTATTAATACATAATGTAAAAGGGTTCTAAATTATTTAAGTAGAAATCAGCAAATTTTCCCCATCCACCGCAACTGTGATATCCTAAGGAAATTATTCTGTAATTCTGTAATGGTTCATTCTTATTTCAAAATAAAGTGCTTATTGGGTTGATCTTATTTCTAGGATTGTGACTAGTCAAAAAACTTAATGATATAAGTGCTATGAAATGAACAATAACAGTTGTCTAAACAGAAAATGATATCCACTTATTCTTTGTGTATGTACATTTTCATCTATCTTGATAGATTAGGCAAAAGTCTATTTATAAATTTTAGTTTCATCATGGACCCTATAATACATAAGGTCCATGGTTTCTTTTGGGGTTTAAAACTGTTGAACAAAAAATCGGTTGTGTCATTCAAAATTTTAAAACTACTTGGTCCTGGATATTATAAATGATTGATTCTAATAAGTTATTATTAATGGGATACACTGAATTTTGATCTTTTTTCTTCTAATTGTGACATTTAAGTGACCCTATGCAATTGGTATTAGCAAATCACAGGAAATACATGTAATTATTAAAAAATAACAAGTAACAAGAGCAGACAGGGGGATGGGACGGGTAGTAGCAGATTTTAAAAATATTCTCACCCTTTTAGGACATCTTGTCTGAATGAATGTTGTGAACTGTTTAAGATTTATTACCCAAATTGATACTGTTTCCATGGGTACATATGTTAGGTCAGATTTGGTTTGTGGTATCTATGAAATTGAAATTGCTCTAGCAATGACGTTTGTCTCATACCTGTAATGTATATTGTAAGAGTTTATATCTCCTCATCCATATGTTAAATGTCTACAGTCTGTCTGATTGTCTGTCCTTTTTATTGTTTGGGTTTTTTTTCTATGTACAGTGTACATATATACTATTCAAAAAAAGTAGGGGATATTTGATTTTTAAGTGTTATTAAAGTCACCTAATGAAACTGACGAAGAAACAAATGACAAAATGAAATGAAGTTCACATTCATCGATTTATTCCAAATGATCGTTAGACTAAGTAAGGCACAGACTGACCATTATAAGGGTAAAATGATACCCGGGGTCAAACAGCAAAGTTACCACAGCATCACAACCAAGTCAGTAACGGGTAAATCCTCCTCTGTTTGCCAAACAAGCATTGATCCGACGTGGCATACTCCTAATGAGACGTCTAAGGTCATTTTGGTCCAGATTGTCCCATTCCTGTTGCAACGCAGCAGCAAGTTCTTGGACATTGGCAGGACGTTGTTGACGTTGACGTAACCTCTGTCCAAGCATGTCCCAGACATGCTCGATGGGGGAGAGGTCGGGACTCAGTGCTGGCCAAGGTAATGTGGTGATGTTCTGTTGTTGGAGGTAACCTGTAACGATCCTGGCCCTGTGACATCTTGCGTTGTCATCCTGGAAGATGAAACGGCGGCCATGACGTCGTGCGAACGGCACAACATGGACTGCCAAGATGTTGTCCCGGTAGTACTGGCCTGTAACACGCCCTGCAACAACATGTAAAGCCGTTCTTCCAACAACAGTGATGCCTCCCCACACCATAACAGAACCACCCCCAAATCGATCATGTCTGATGACGTTAACGTCTTGGAAGCGCTCGTTTCGACGACGCCACACCCTCCTACGTCTGTCCAAAAAATCAACAGTGAACCTTGACTCATCTGAAAACATCACATTGCTCCAGCGTCGATTATCCCAGTGTTGACGATCCCTACACCAACGACGTCTTGCCTGAATGTGATGATCTCTCAAACAAGGGATCACGCGAGGACGTCGGGCGCGAAGGTGACCCCTATGCAGTCGATTCCGAATCGTCTGGCCACTCACTCTCACACCAGTGTCTGTTTGAAGACGAGCGCTGATCTGATTTGCTGTGATGACACGATTTCTCAAGGCCAAGGTACGGATAAATCGATCCTGGGCTTGAGTTGTCGCCCTTGGTCGACCTGAGCGTGGTCTGTCCTGTACAGATTGTGTATCACGGTATCTGGACCATAGCCTGCTTATGACAGACTGAGAAACATTCATCGTCCGCGCCACAACCGCCTGTGTTGTGCCGATCTGTAGCATGCCAAGGGCACGTAACCTTTCATTTTGGGTAAGCCGACGCATATCAAAATTTGTTTTCTGGTCACTAAAACAATTAAACTGATGTTTCCACCCTGGAATTCAATGCCACAATGACTGTAACATTCAAAGTCAGAGTCGTGCAAATCTTGGGTTGGACCCCCATGATGATCCCAAGCATCACATGCATTCCATGCGGTAGCTATTGGTGCGTTTGGGCGTCACATGTAACTGGAAATGTTTCTTCGGTTAGGTTCTATAGTGACTTTTTTCGTAGTCATTTGCATAGTTTAGTATTATGCCCCCAAAATCAAATATCCCCTACTTTTTTTGAATAGTATATATAACATTTTTCACCTATCCATTATTTTCACGTTTATCACCATGTAAATATTTTTAAGAATATATATATATATATATAATATGCCATAATAAACATGTACCTTTAGTGAGTTGTTTATAATATATTTGTAGCTATGTTAAATACATCAGATATTCCAGATTGGTAAGTCAAATTTGCTTAAATTTTTAACCATCTAAAAATATCTTTGGGAATTCAAAAAAAATTGTTTGTATACCCTTTACAAAGTCTTTTTATACGCCCCCATTTTCATGTGGACGTATATTGTCGTCGCCCCTGTTAACACTCTACAGGTCACAACTTTTAACCGATTTCAATGAAACTTGAAATATAGGTTTATCACCCTAAGATCTCGGTTCCTTTCGATATTGGCATGTATCGGACTGTAACTTCATGGAATATGGCCCGGATTGTACGAAAAATCCCGTTTTTTGCTTGTGAACACTGTAGAGGTCACTATTTTTTATCCAATTTAGTTTAAACTTGAAATGTATGATTATAACCCAAAGATCTCGGTTCCTTTCGATATTCGCGCATATCGGAACGTAACTTCCTGAATTATGGCCCCTGATTGTTACGAAAAATCGCGTTTTTAGCTTGTGGACCCTATAGAGGTCATAATTTTTATACCCCCTACATTGAAATGTGGTCGTATATTGTCGTCGCCCCCGTCCGTCCGTCCGTCGGTCTGGCGTCCACAATTGCTTGTGGACGCTCTAGAGGCTAAAGTTAATATCCGATTGACTTTAAATTTATACACAGTGTGTAAGGTCATGAGTCGAAGACGGCTATTCATTTTTAGCGATTTTCAAGGTCATAAGACGAAGATGCCTATTGATTTTCAGCGATTTCCGATAATTACTGCCAGAGTTATGGCCCTTGATCACTTAAAAAAATCTTGTGGACGCTCTAGAGGTCAAAGTTAATATCCGATTGACTTTACATTTATACACAATGTTAAAGGTCATGAGACAAAGAAGCCTATTGATTGTCAGCGATTTCCGATAATTACTGCCAGAGTTATGGCCCTTGATCACATCAAAAAATCTTGTGGACGCTCTAGAGGTCAAAGTTAATATCCGATTGACTTTACATTTATATACAGTGTTTAAGGTCATGAGACGAAGAATCCTATTGATTTTCAGCAATTTCCGATAATTACTGCCAGAGTTATGGCTCTTGATCACTTTGAAAAATCTTGTGGATGCTCTAGAGGCTAAAGTTAATATTTTTAAATTTATACACAGTGTTTAAGGTCATAAGACGAAGAAGCCTATTGATTTTCAGTGATTTCCTTTAATGACTGTCAGAGTTATGGCCCTTGATTGCTTTGAAAAATCTTGTGGACGCTCTAGAGGTCAAAGTTAATATCCGATTGACTTTAAATTTATACACAGTGTTTAAGGTCATGAGACGAAGACGTCTATTCATTTTCAGCGATTTTCAATAATTACTTCCAGAGTTATGGCCCTTGTTCACTTCAAAAATCTTGTGGACACTCTAGAGGCCAAAGTTAACATCCGTTTGACTTTAAATTTATACGCAGTGTTTGTGGTCATAGGGCGAAGAAGCGTATTGATTTTTAGCAATTTCCGATAATTACTGCCCTTGATCAATTTAAAAAATCTTGTGGATTCTCTTGAGGCTAAAGTTAATATCCGATTGACTTTAAATTTATACACAGTGTTTAAGGTCATGAGACGAAGAAGCCTATTGATTTTCAACTATTTCTGATAATTACTGCCAAACTTATGGCCCTTGATCACTTGTGACGCTCTAGAGGCTAAAGTTATCATCCAATTGACTTCAGATAATTACTTCATGAGTTGTTACTCTTAATCAGATTTTAGTGTATTATAAATGTTTCATTACCCAAAAAAGTAAAAAATATGCGACAACACTTGTTGACTGCCGGACGATTTAGCTGCTGTGGGCGTATGTTTTGTTGGCTGGCAACCTATCTTTATCCGATTTAAAAACCTGTATTATTATATCACCGTTAAACCCTAAGGACGTCTGAGTTTGAATTTTGTGAAAATCGCCCCTAAACTGACAGACAAAATGGCTGCCGTTCGTTCTCAAATAGCGTAAAAATATGGTATATCAAGGTTGTGGACCCTATAGAGGTCACAATTTTTATCCGATTTTGTTGAAACATGAAATGTAAGTTTATAACCCAAAGATCTTGCTTCCTTTCGATATTCTCGCATATTGGACCATAACTTCCTGAATTATGGCCCCTGATTGTACAAAAAATTGCTTTTTTAGCTTGTGGACCCTATAGAGGTCATAATTTTTATCTGATTTAAAAAACCGTTTTATTATACCACCGTTACACCCTAAGGACGGCTGAGTTCAAATTTCGTGAAAATCGGCCCAAAACTGACAGACAAAATGGCCGCCCCTCGTTCTCAAATAGCTTAAAAATATGGTATATCAAGGTTGTGGACCCTATAGAGGTCACAATTTTTATACGCCCACATTTTCATGTGGACGTATTATGCCGTCGCCCCTGTCCATCCGGACGTCCACAATTGTTTGTCGACACTCTACAGGTCACAATTCTTATCCGATTTTGACGAAACTTGAAATATAGGTTTATCTCCAAGAGATCTCGGCTGCTTTCGATATTGGCATGTATCGGATCGAAACTTCATGGATTATGGCCCCTGTTTGTACGAAAAATCACATTTTTAGCTTGTGGACACTATAGAGGTCACAATTTTTATCCGATTTTGTGAAAATCGGCCTAAATTTGACAAACAAAGTGGCCGTCGTTCGTTCTCAAATAGCGTAAAAATATGGTATATCAAGGTTGTGGACCCTATAGAGGTCACAATTTTTATCCGATTTTGTTGAAACTTGAAATATAAGTTTATAACCCAAAGATCTCGGTTCCTTTCGATATTCGGACATATTGGACCGTAACTTCCTGAATTATGGCCCCTGATTGTACGAAAAATCGCGTTTTTAGCTTGTGGACCCTATAGAGGTCATAATTTTTATCCGATTTAAAAAACTGTATTATTATATCACCGTTACACCCTAAGGGCGGCTGAGTTCGAATTTCGTGAAAATTGACAAACAAAATGGATGCCGTTCGTTCTCAAATAGCGTAAAAATATGGTATATCAAGGTTGTGGACCCTATAGAGGTCACAATTTTTATCTGATTTTGTTGAAACTTCCTGAATTATGGCCACTGATTGTATGAAAAATCGCGTTTTTAGCTTGTGGACCCTGTAGAGGTCATAATTTTTATTCGATTTAAAAAAACGTATTATTATATCACCGTTACACCCTAAGGACGAATGAGTTCGAATTTCATGAAAATCGGCCCAAAATTGACAGACAAAATTGAAACTTGAAATGTAAGTTTATAACCAAAAGATCGTGATTCCTTTCGATATTCGCGCATATCGGAACGTAACTTCCTGAATTATGGCCACTGATTGTATGAAAAATCGCGTTTTTAGCTTGTGGACCCTGTAGAGGTCATAATTTTTATCCGATTTAAAAAAAAATATTATTATATCACCGTTACACCCTAAGGACGGCTGAGTTTGAATCTCATGAAATCGGCCCAAAACTGACAGACAAAATGGCCGCCCTTCGTTCTCAAATAGCGTAAAAATATGGTATATCAAGGTTGTGGACTCTATAGATGTCACAATGTTAATCCTATTTTGATGAAACATGAAATGTAAGTTTATAACCCAAAGATCTCGGTTCTTTTCGATATTTGCTCATATCGGACCGTAACTTCCTGAATTATGGCCCCTGATTGTACGAAAAATCGCGTTTTTAGCTTGTGGACCCTGTAGAGGTCATAATTTTTATCCGATTTAAAAAAACGTATTATTATATCACCGTTACACCCTAAGGACGAATGAGTTCGAATTTCATGAAAATCGGCCCAAAATTGACAGACAAAATTGAAACTTGAAATGTAAGTTTATAACCCAAAGATCGTGGTTCCTTTCGATATTCGCGCATATCGGAACGTAACTTCCTGAATTATGGCCACTGATTGTATGAAAAATCGCGTTTTTAGCTTGTGGACCCTGTAGAGGTCATAATTTTTATCCGATTTAAAAAAAAATATTATTATATCACCGTTACACCCTAAGGACGGCTGAGTTTGAATCTCATGAAATCGGCCCAAAACTGACAGACAAAATGGCCGCCCTTCGTTCTCAAATAGCGTAAAAATATGGTATATCAAGGTTGTGGACTCTATAGATGTCACAATGTTAATCCTATTTTGATGATACATGAAATGTAAGTTTATAACCCAAAGATCTCGGTTCTTTTCGATATTTGCTCATATCGGACCGTAACTTCCTGAATTATGGCCCCTGATTGTACGAAAAATCGCGTTTTTAGCTTGTGGACCCTGTAGAGGTCATAATTTTTATCCGATTTAAAAAAAAACTATTATTATATCACCGTTACATCCTAAGGACGGCTGAGTTTGAATCTCATGAATATCGGCCGAAAACTGACAGATAAAATGGTCGCCCTTCATTCTCAAATTGCGTAAAAATATGGTATATCAAGGTTGTGGACTCTATAGACGTCACAATGTTAATCCTATTTTGATGAAACTTGAAATGTAAGTTTATAACCCAAAGATCTCGGTTCTTTTCGATATTTGCTCATATCGGACCGTAACTTCCTGAATTATGGCCCCTGATTGTACGAAAAATCACTTTATTTTTAGCTTGTTCTCTATCCATCTCTCGAAAATGTGGGCGTATCCTGCCTGGCAGCCGCTGGTTCCCAGAACTTGCAGGAAATGACATATTGGTAGAGATGTTTGTTTTTTATATAATTATACTCTGTTCTGATCTATCAGTGCGTATTAAACCTGATCTGTAAAGAAAGTTAACTTGATACATTGCATTATCTTGTCTGATTTGTCTGACTTAAATACATCAGATTTATTGCCAAAAGCTGATCTTATTGTTCATGATAGAAATTAATTAGTTAAAAACATTTGCAGACTTAGATAAAATGTTGTGAAATCCATTAAATATATCAGTTGTATCCTTTTATGATAATAGTTAAGTACCTCAGGAAACTTGACTTTTCTGCCTTTAAGATATCCATTAATTGTATTAGTTTACCAGTATCGTTTTACTT